AAGTAATGAGAATCCATTTATAAACCAATCTAATTTGTTTATAAACAAAACAAATTAATACCCTTTGTGAATGTTATGTTCCTGCATCACCAATTCATTTAGCAGCACTGAATGTTTCTAAATTGTCAGGTTGCGCTAAATTGTATCTGGCTATTAATTCTGAGACTTTTGAAAATGAGATGAGTAATAAAGTTTAGTTTGTAGCAAATAGTATCAATGTCATTTTCTTTTTTAAAATTAATAATAATTCTTTGAGCAGTTATTCCTTATTACTCATTGGCAAGTAGCCATTGCTCTAGCAAGAAGGCATTGTAGCCAATTTTAGTCATTCTCACAGTAGACCCATTTAAATTAATGGATGTGACTAACTTGGATCCATTCATTTCATCTGAGTCTACTCTGAGGAAAATTGAGTTGTGTACAACCTGTTGTTCCTTGTAATAGTGTGTTTATTGTAAGAACAGCCGCCTCTGGTTCAATCAGTCAACCAAGCTTCCACAAATGTACTTGTGAAGGAAACTGCCCCTTGACCCTCTGGCAGTGACTCCTGCCCTGGTCAAGATGTCCAGCAACACAGAGATCTCTACCTCCAAGTTCATAAAGAATTGAAAGGTCTCCCATGTCAAGCCAAGTTTTAGGGCAAGTAGAAGCTTTTTCCTGGTTGATATCTCAGCACAATAAAGGAGACTTCTTCTGCCCATCCCTGAGTCCTGTCACAGACCCTCGCAAATGGCTCTATTTTCCAGGAACAGTCCTGGTCCTGGATTTACAGAAGCTGTCCTGGTTTCTGATTTGATTCTGGAATGTCCTGCTTTTACTTAGGACATCCCTATTTTCATCAGAGAAATGTTGGAGGGTATAGAGTTATGCAAACCTCGAGCAAAGGAGATAAGTAACTCTGCAATCTTTAGAAGAAATCTGAAGGCAGCCCTGTATAGGGAAGTTTTTTTAAAAAAGTTTCATGTTTTATTATGTTTTTATAGACCTTGGAAGCCACCCAGAGTAGCTGGGGCAACCTGGTCAGGTGGGCAGGGTATAAATAATAAAATTATCATCATCATTATGGAATAGGACGTCCCTATTTTCATTGGAGAAATGTTGAAGGGTATGCTGTTCCACATGCAACAAGCAAGGGGGAGGACTGGAGGTCTCTCATATTGCGTGGAGCCATCAATGAAGAAGCTGAGATGTTTGAGAGTAACAGCTACTGCCTGTTAAAAAACACAGCCAAGTCCCTTTGTTCTTGTTCAAGACCATTTGAATTCTTCACAGACAAGTTTTCCACTATAAACATCAAGTGTGAGGAACCTTTGGGCTCCCAGCTGTTGCTGAACTACACTTCGTTCTACCTGGACACTGAGGTCCAGCACCGAGGGCCTTCTGGCGGTTCCCTCACTGTGAGAAGCAAAGCTACAGGGAATCAGGCAGAGGGCCTTCTCGGTGGTGGCACCCGTCTCCTGCCAGATGTCAAGGAGCTTCACAATCTTCCAATATACCTGAAGGAGAGTCTCCACCCCCATTGTTCAGCCCGGACACTGAGGTCCAGCGCCGGGGGCCTTCTGGCGGTTCCCTTACTGTGAGAAACAAAGCTACAGGGAACTAGGCAGAGGGTCTTCTCGGTAGTTGTGCCCTCCCTGTGGAACGCCTTCGCGCCAGATGTCAGGGAGATAAACAACTAAATGACTTTTAGAAGACATCTGAAGGCAGCCCTGTTTAGGGAAGTTTTTAATGTGTGACATTTTAATGTATTTTTAATCTTTGTTGGAAGCTGCCCAGAATGGCTGGGGAAACCCAGCCAGATGGGCAGGGTACAAATAATAAATTATTATTATTATTATTATTTTCATCATCCCTGAACCGAGGCAAATAGGAGTTGCAGTTAGTCAACAGCAGGAGGACTCATTTAGAGTCAACAGCAGGAGGACTCATTTAGAGTCATATGTATTTTCCGCTGTTAAGGAGATTACCAGGAAGGTGTGGAGCAGGAAGCGATGATTAAATTATTATGAGGTCTACTTCTGAGTAGACACATACAAAATAGCACTGTGAAGAAGTGATTGGTGCAGTCAACAACCACTGCAGCCCCTTCTTCTGAACGGGGCTCTTCAGCACGGGGAAATGTATGAATAACATTGTTTGCATATGTTGCATATGTCATTCTTCCTGAATTTAAAGATAAGTATTCTGACCTGCTTATGGCCTTGCTGGATCAGGTTGCTGCTAGCTGCTTCTTTGTGACAATTAAATGACCAAATAAAATTTCTAGAGCCTAGCAGATTCTTAAGGGTTTACTTTTTTTGCGTGTCATTATTTCATTATTTTGCATACCGCCCTATACCCACAGGTCTTGGGGCGGTTACAACATAAAATCACAATATAAAAAAACAACAAAATACATAATAAAAAAGGAAACAACCCAAGAAATACAGCACATTTTTAAATGGTATTGGATAGTACAGGGTTTTAAATGCACATTTTATGTACACCTCCCCAAACATGACCAAGGAAACTGGAGAATAAGTCAAAGAAAATGTCCTCTTACTTTATCTAGACAATGGGGGCTTCCTGGCTGAATCTATTCTTTCATTAAGTGCTCCTGATGCTCCACCTAGTGGAAGGAAAGTTCCCACCTGCCTTAAATAAACTTTACACAAAACGACTTTTAGTACTTCCTGTGAGCTTTTTCAGTAAAACAGTTTTAATGTGGAAAAAATGTTTTCTGAGTCGTCGTTGTCGTCCTCCCCCTCACCGCAATGCTTGGTTGTATCACGCAAACACATCATGTTTTTTCTTTCTTTTAAAACCAACCAACGTGCAATAGGCAGGGGGAATGGAAGCAAAAATAAATGGAAAATTACAATATTTCCCCTCCTCAATATGTACAAAATGAAGAATTGCCCAGCAACAGTGAATAATTCTGGCTTGAACAGTACGCAGCGGTTTAGACTGCAGTCTGCCCATATTGATCACTTATTTGTTCAGTGTGATCCTGTCTCCATTTAGTGAATTGACTGGCATTCCCTGCTTAACTTTGAGGGAGCTACTTATGCCTTAAAATTAGGTTATCTGCCATGACATAGCTGTTTACCTTTCCAGTTTACCTTTTCAGACCTAATCCTTACTTTTTAAAAAAGAGTTCTTTTCTATAGCTACGTTTGCCAGCACGACAAGTTATTGCTTCTCTTTAGGTCACCCATGTTGCTTTTGTAATTTTGTTAAAGAATAAAAGGATACTTTCTTGGATGCCTAGAGCCAGGTTTGGGGGAAGTACTCTTTGTTGAGAAAGCCACAGCAGAGATTTAAAGTCACAAAACATGCAGCAAAGTTATGCATGGAAATATAGGCTGTTATACCTTTAAATATCCCATTCTAAGTCACTTCCAAAGCTTCTTTAGCATAGAAAGAGACCACACATTTGGTAAGTTAATAACAGTTTACTTACAAACTCTTCCAAGTTCAAATTCATGTGCCTTTCCATACAGCAGCAAGAAAAGACAGGCAATATAGCTTAGTTTCAAAAAGTGGTACAATGTTTCTAAATTTGTATGCAAACACAAAGATGGCTTGCTAAATCCATGTGGTCTAAGCTTGATGTAGACTTTCTTACTGGTAGCGTTCACATGGTGGAAAGAGAGAGAATAAAGAGTTTGGTCAACCTTCCTCCCAAGGTAAGGGTGTGTCATCGAACTAAGCCAGGTGGGGCAGTTTACTCTATGGTTTTAACTCCTTCATGCATTAATTAGATTTAAGCATGTTGGTTATATGAGGCTGGTTATATGCGAACGTTTTTTTGGAAGCCAAATGTCTGACACGGCTTCCGATTGAGTGCAGGAAATTCCTGCAGCCAATCAGAAGCCACGCCTTGGTTTTTGACTGCTTTCGGAAGTCGAACGGACTTCCAGAACGGATTCTGTTTGAGAACCAAGGCACGACTGTACATTCAAAAGGATCTTAAACTGCTTGAGACGATCTTTGACTTTCAGTACCATTTGGTATCAACAGGTTGTGTGTGTGTGACTAGATGAAACCTCATTACCTAGTCTAAACCAGAAACAAATAAATTCAGTGACTATATGAAATGACTTCCATAGTTCTAGTTACAGGTAGGTAGCCGTGTTGGTCTGCGTAGTCGAAACAAAATAAATAAATTCCTTCCAGTAGCACCTTAGAGACCAACTAAGTTTGTTCTTGGTATGAGCTTTCGTGAGCATGCACACTTCTTCAGATACACTGAAACAGAAGTCACCAGACCCTTATATATAGTGAGAGGGTGGGGAGGGGTATTACTCAGAAGGGTGGTGGGAATGGGTGATTGGCTGATAGGTGTGGTAAACCTGTTGACGACCGTTAACGACTGCAATTGCTCTTACAGGAAAAAGCAAGGGGTGAGATGGCTAAAAATAGCTTTATCATGTATCATGAGATAAGAATCCAATGTCTCTATTCAGACCAGTCTCTCCATGGTTTTAAGTTTGGTGATAAATTGCAGTTCAGCAACTTCTCTTTCCAGTCTATTTCTGAAATTCTTTTGTAATAAGACAGCTACTTTGAGATCTTGTATAGAAAGTCCTGGGAGATTGAAGTGTTCGCCTACTGGTTTCTTTGTCTGGTTTCTGCCTACCCTCTCACTATGTACTGTATAAGGGTCTGGTGACTCCTGTTTCAGTGTAACTGAAGAAGTGTGCATGCACACGAAAGCTCATACCAATAACAAACTTCTTCAGATACCATATCCACGTTCATTGGTTAATAATAACAATACTGTAACAATAACAACAACAACAACAACAATAATAAACTTTATTTATACCCTGCCCTCCCCAGCCAGAGCATTCCATTTGTTACAGCGATTTTTTTAAAAAAAGTGATAAATGCAAACACATCCTCAATATTCCCACTAGATGGCAAACTTTAACTGAAAATGTATTATGTTGGCAGGGAAAATGAGTCCATCACATGTCTATTATCTCACTCTGCATATGTTTATGTTTTGACCCACAGTTCTAATGAAACTCTGTTGGTTGTGTAGAAGATGCGATTTTGCACACACTGCTTGACTTGCTAGTGGGAATGAAGCTTCATCAGCTGAACTTCCGTCTTCAGATAAAGCAGTACAGGTAACGGAGACCTCTTCTCCTTCCCATCCAGTAAGACGAGGCAGATAGAGCCTGCTATTACTGAAGGGCCACGGCATCTTTCTGTCTGAAATTTGGTAGGCTTCAGAAGGGGTGACCATGCCTGCAATTTGCATCCAATTCTAGGAGGGGGAAAAAGTTTAAAGGTTTCCTGCATGAAAGCTCCTGGATGAATCTGCCTGAAATATGGAAAACTTGTTTTATTCTAGAGCAGGCATAGGCAAACTCGGCCCTCCAGATGTTTTTGGACTACAACTCCCACCATCCCTAGCTAACAGGACCAGTGGTCAGGAATGATGGGAGTTGTAGTCCCAAAACATCTGGAGGGCCGAGTTTGCCTATGCCAGTTCTAGAGGGACTCATTTCTCTGCAAGTTCCACCCATCTATGTGGGGGGAAAGATTAGGGCCATTTCTAGATTCCCTATTATAACCTATTTGGGAGGGTAGAGGCAGAGCCTCAGATTTAACAGATGCTACAGATATAAGACAAATTTTGTGGTCGCTGCATACCCAAAATTTTAATTTCCTCTGCCCACCCTAGCATTACGTTAATTTTGTATTTCTTTTGGCCACCATCAACAAAATTTGAAGTTGAGGGAACATCAGGTCCCCAGGTTTCAGCACCCCTGGCCTAAATACCTTTCCTAGGAGATAACTTGGTAATTATTTGCCAACACTTGACCAATATATTATCAGTAAAGGTAAAGGGACCCCTGACCGTTAGGTCCAGTCACGAATGACTCTGGGGTTGTGGCACTCACCTGGTCGAGGGAGCTGGGTCATGTGGCCAGCATGACTAAGTGACTTCTGGCGAACCAGAGCAGCATACGGAAACACCTTCCTGCCGGAGCGGTACCTGTTTATCTACTTGCACTTTGACGTGCTTTCGAACTGCTAGGTTGGCAGGAATAGGGACCAAGCAATGGGAGCTCACCCCATCGCGGGGATTCGAACTGCTGACCTTCTGATTGGCAAGTCCTAGGCTCTGTGGTTTAGACCACAGCGCCACCCGCCAAATGCCAAAATTAATTAGACCAGGTTTTTTGTAATGTTGGCTAACTCTCTTTAGTTACTGCTTCTCTTCTTTCTGTTTTTGGTTTCACTACAGTTTTCAGTAATGTTTGGAGGTTGTAAATAATGATGATGATGATGATGATAATTATAAATCTATATCCTGCCCTTCCTCCCAAAGGAAACTAGGCCAGTATGCTGATTGGGGTTTTGAAATTTGGGGTCTGTCAGCTGCCCTGCAAATTGCAAAACTGAAGGATAGGATGGCAAGCATTTCAAATAAAATAACTTTTATTTTACCCTGTAACAGTGAGTTACAGGAGCAAACATTATTTAGCATTTGAAAGAATAGTTACACCAATCTTCTCGATTATTTGGAAATTACTGAGTCACCACCATCTTTACTGATAAAAGTTAAGTTTTCCAATCGAACACATGATGGTGCTAAAGTACAAGAAATGAGGCAGGTAGATTGGAGTGTTTGAGGAAAGGCAGGAGTAAGGGAATCATGTTCATCTCTTCCGTAACACCAATAAACCAACCAGCAAACCAGGCAATAGCACTGACAGTTTGTGGGCACTTCAACCCAAAGAGATGTATTAACAATTTCTGAATTTTCCATTCATTTTGGAATTATCAGTCCCATCCAAGCACTTATGGAGAGTGACATCTGTACTTTTGGAGCTTTTCTTCCTTAAAATTACAGCGAAGCGAGCTGAGCTGTCTTGGTGTTTGTGGGCGCAGGATACAAATAGAATGGATTTCAAAGTTAGTTGCAAATCACTGTCATGGCCTGGCTGGGTCAGGATGCAGGATGCAGAGAGCACATTGTCTGAGGACCCGGGGGAGGGCTCCAGTGGGATGTGGGGAGTCGGGGACCTCTGCTGGGATTGGAGCAGCCTATTAGTGGGGATGGAGGGGGGCAGGGGTGCCAATCTGAATAAAATATTGGGGGGACTGCCCCACAGAACTGATTGCATGACATGGCACAAACACACCATTTGAATGGCATTGCCCATCAACTTTGGGGGGCAGCCCCCTCAAATATTTTATTGGGGGGGACCGAAGGGACCTTGACCACTACCAGTTGGCTTCTGCAAGAGATTGGGCAAAGGAGGAATGTTGGAGACCGCCTCTCCCGCCGGAGTGGAACCTATTTATCTACTTGCACGTTGACATGCTTTCAAACTGCTAGGTTGGCAGGAGCAGGGACCAAGCAACAGGAGCTCACCCCGTCTCGGGGATTCAAACCGCAGACCTTCTGATCAGCAAGCCCAAGAGGCTCAGTGGTTTAGACCACAGCGCCACCCGCCAAATGCCAAAATTAATTAGACCAGGTTTTTTGTAATGTTGACTAACTCTCTTTAGTTACTGCTTCTCTTCTTTCTTCTTCAGAGAAGAAGACAGTTCAGATTTACAACAAGGGAGAGAGGCCACAACTCAAAGGCAGATGAGAGAGAAAGCTAGGAAATAATGGGAGAGGAGGAGGAGGAAGAGGAAGCACCAGGGGGGCGACAGCTGATGGACACAGTGTCTTTAGAAAGCATTCAAGACCTCCCCTCCCAGAACTTGGCGAGCCTTGAAAGTAGGAGAGCAAAGAGCTCAAATGCAGAGGGCACTTTGCAGCATCCATAGCGATGACACGTGAGAGAGGAAGGGGGTGGAGACTCACTTGGGTCAACGCCATTATTCCAAGAGGCTGCATTCCCAAGCTTCTCTCTGTGAATATTGAATAAAAAGCAGTTGGTAAGAACTTTCACTTGCCGTATCTGTTCATGGCAACCTGCAGTGGGGGTTGAATCCTTTGCCGCTCGACAGCTTCTATGGAGCAGGGAGTGTCTTAACTTGCTCTCTTGTCTCACCTGTCCTTGAAGGCACCTGTAACATCACCCACCTTTGCGTTATGGGATGCAGGGATGAGCTCTGCCTTCCCAGACAGGGTGTTTCTCCAGTGCCAGCTGCCAGGATGGTTCAGGGTTTTATGGTCAAACCCCGAACCATCCCTGGCATCTTGGCTGAGGGAACGGGGGGACTCCCAGCTGGCTCCAGCCCACCAGCCAGTGGCCGGTCAAATTCCAGTCCTCATTTATGCATCAGTCTGTGACTCAGAGCTTCAGAAGCCTTTCAGAAGCTGAGCACGCAAGCCAGCAGAGATAACAAACTCCTCGCGACGGAAGGGCAGACAGAGGCAGATGTAAAGCATATTTACAAGCAGTTTATTCAGCATAGATCAGGACAAAGAAAACATGTCTGCTGTCCTTCATGTCCAAGCAAGAAGCAGCATAAGGCAAAAGCTATACACAAACAGAAGTTCCCAGCAAGCTGTGCTGGAATGTAAACAGACATGTGACATACAACAGATCCACACATCTGTTTAGGTGGAACGGAACATCAATATCCTAACACCAGCAACCTCTCAGGAGGCAGAGACACCTCCTGCATCACCTGGGTCCAGGAGGAGCCCGAAAAGAAAAGAAAAGAAGGTTCCACCTACTGGGCATAAAAAGAGATTGCAGAAATACTTAGAGCTCTAAGTCGTTCCCACCCCACTCCTATATATAGGATAGCAAAGGGGTGTGCCAGCCTCCAGCCCCTCATTACAATAGCTTTGTAAATAAATGATCCTCCTATCTGTTCTAAACTTAATTTTTCCCCTTTATATCTATTTTCCTTCACTGGCATTTCAATGGGTCATCTGACCTTCACCTGCCTTTGCTGACATCCGTGAGGCCTGGTGGCCAGGCCACCTCAGGTCTCTGTTGCTAGGTGAGAAAGCAGTTTGCAGGAGGTCCGTCCGTTCCACCTAAGGAACAATTTGCCAGCCTGTGATCTGGCATCCCATCAAAATGCAAGAGCAGATGGTCTGCTTGCCTCATATCGGTGGCTAAACCAAGGCTGACAGAACATTTCAAACTGCATTAGTGAGCCTAGTGAGATAAGACAGCAAACAGCTAATCAGCCGGGATCCAAAAAGTCAATTTTCCCAACAATGTTGCTTACTGTATCTGGATAATAATCAGATTCTGGTCCCTCCTTGAAACAGCATGATGCCCCCTGGACCCTGAGACACAGGCGAAGCAAAATAATAATCACATCATCAAACATGCTTCTTGGACATTTCTCCTCACAACAGAAAAGGCCGGAAGGTATACTAGTTACTGCTTCAGAGCCGAGGAGAATAAAAGATGATTTCTCTCTCCAGATGAGCCCACCAAAGACCTTCTGCACTTGTATTCATACAATAAACCTCAGGGCGAAAAATAAACCCATAGAACCACGAGGGAAAGCACTATGGAAGTTAGTTATCTATGAATAGGCCTTGTCAAATAAATCAAGCTTCACTTGAGCCATTGGCTGGTGGCCAGACTGGAGTCTGTTTAGAATAGAATAGAATAGAATAGAATAGAATAGAATAGAATAATTCCTATGGAGCATAGGAATCATATATATCCCAGAATGGATTACAGCCCAAGGTTGTTGTTGTTTTTAAAAAACAACATTCTAACAATAAAATTATATTTCCAAGTAATAAAAACAGTTAAGAAAGCAGCAGCATAAGGCAGCAAGAACAATCACCTCAAAAGCTGAAGCAACAACAGATCAAATGAAAAAGGAAAGCTGAACACAGAAAGCTCAGGTCAAAAGAAAGCAGAGCAAGGCTTCCTTACCTTAGCATGTTTGGTCGTAAGTGAAATGGGGAGCTAGAAAAAGGGACACGTAAATCTATTTCGTTCAGACTCCAAACCTTTCTTAACTGAATCAATAAAGACCAGTAGAACTATTTATGCACAGCGCGCTGGTAACACTTTAGCCCAAATCTCTGTAGGACTTCGTCTAGCGGTTTCATCTGCGGTAAAGACCATTGGGGATAAGGTACAACCTCTTGCACCCAGGAGCTGAAGTCCGTGCATAAGTTTCTCATCCCCATCTTCTAGAATCCGTAGCGACCCCAAAGGACCTCAGCAGGGTTCTTCCTAAACCCACCACTGAAAGATGACCCAGAAGGAAACTATAGGACTCAGCTACATTACTCAAAAAAACAACACTTTGATTGCATTATAATCATGCAACACCAGAGGGCGCCGGAGAGCAAAAAAATTCTATGCAATTTTTTACGTAGTGTTTTTTTCTTTTGTTATAATGATTTGATTTCTGACTTATTTATAGCGCTTACCCCCCACCCCCGTGTGTAGATCCATCCTATGTTGATGGTACTGAAAAAGATGCTGAGAGGTTCAGGGTCACATTCCCCTCATCTGTCTCCTGGTACGAGCTGTTTATGAAAGCTTCTGTCCCAAATTAGCTGCATCCGAGATGATTAGCTTCATTTGAGTAAATGCAGAGCTGGGTGACACACTCCAAGCATTTTACCTAGGATTGGAATATTTGAACCTGAACAATAATTTTTAGATTTCAGATATGGTTTCTTAACAGAGAGGACATGCTACTGCCCCACTGCAGACAAGTTACACAGCTGTCCCACATTTACAACCTCAGAGGTCCAGACTGTTTAATGCTCTCCTTATTGTCTTAATCATACAGGAGGGGAGATGTGCATAGCTGGCCTTACTTCCTGAAGAATCCTGGCACTTCCTCCAGGCAGAGCACTGAAAGCTATGCACAGAAATCGGCTCATTCCAACATTTCCACCTCTTACCTAACTCCCCAGCAATGCCAGTGTGCATTGCTGTTCCCCCTGCAAATACAGTCATGCCACGTTGGGCAATTCCTGCAGCTGCAGGAGGAGGCGCATGGCTGTGTGCGCACGCATGCAAGGAGGGCTGCAATTAATGTGCTGAGAGCAGCTGCACAGCATGCATGCAGAGTGCGGAATTGACTAGAGGCAGAAGCAAAGATCTGGAAGCCTGAAATCATTACGAAACAAATTAGTTTCATAATAAGATATATCAATCTTCAAGAGGAAATTGAATGTGGAGTGTGCTTAAAATAATTAGAAAGGAACGGATTTGCAAGTGACTAGTGATTAGGAGGCTAGAACTGTGTTTTCATGTATAATGGATTATTTTTGGTTTTGTAAATATATCTGAGCAGGACTGATATTCAGCAACCCACAGCTTTTGACAACGCTTTTTTAAAGGAGCACTTTTTTTTAATTTGCTGCAGCATCCTGTGAAATACTGTTCTTGTTTCTTTTGCTTAGTTTTGGTTCTTATGCTTCTCAGAGAAAGCAGGTGGTGAAGAAAAACATCCCAGCAACAGGTATCAACTCCCAGGGACTGTGGAGAGGAGTCTGCAGCAATCTACAGTTGCAATTTGAGTGTGGCTCGTTGGCAGGTTATGGCACAACCCCATCAAAGACCGAGCTCTCCTCGTGTTATTCTCTGTGCCATATGCTGGAGGCCGGAGAGCAAAAAATAAGTGGGAATCTGGCAGGGCTCCACTTTAAGACTATTAGAACTGAAAACTGGCAATGTTGGATCTGTGCAAGTTTAGACTACCTCAGCATCCTGTTCCCAGTGGCAGGCCACATGCCTCTGGAATAATAATAATAATAATAATAATAATAATAATAATTTATTTATACCCCGCCCATCTGGCTGGGTTTCCCCAGCCACTCTGGGTGGCTTCCAACAAAATATTAAAATACAATAGTCTGCCAAACATTAAAAGCTTCCCTAAACAGGGCTGCCTTCAGATGTCTTCTAAAAGTCTGGTAGTTGTTTTTCTCTTTGACATCTGATGGAAGGGCGTTCCACAGGGCTGGTGCCACTACTGAGAAGGCCCTCTGCCTGGTTCCCTGTAACTTGGCTTCTTGCAGTGAGGGAACTGCCAGAAGGCTCTTGGAGCTGGATCTCAGTGTCCAGGCTGACTGATGGGGGTGGAGAAGCTCCTTCAGGTCTACTGGACAGAAGCCGTTTAGGGCTTTAAAGGTCAGCACCAACACTTTGAATTGTGCTTGGAAACGTACTAGGAGCCAATGTAGGTCTCTCAGGACTGGTGTTATATGGTCTCGGTGGCCGCTCCCAGTCGCCAGTCTAGCTGCCACGTTCTGGATTAGTTGTAGTTTCTGGGTCACCTTCAAAGGTAGCCCCATGTAGAGCGCATGACAGTAGTCCAAGCCGGAGATAACCAGAGCATGCACCACTCTAGCGAGACAGTCCGCGGGCAGATAGGGTCTTAGCCTGCGTACCAGGTGGAGCTGGTAAACAGCTGCCCTGGACACAGAATTGACCTGCGCCTCCATGGACAGCTGCGAGTCCAAAATGATTCCCAGGCTTCGCACCTGGTCCTTCGGGGGCACAGTTACCCCATTCAGGACCAGGGAGTCCTCCACACCTGCCCGCCTCCTGTCCTCCCATAACAGTACTTCTGTTTTTTCAGGATTCAACCTCAATCTGTTAGCAAGAACGCAAGAAGGGCATCATAAAGCCAAGCCTTTCTCCTGCTGTGTCCCAGCATGTGGTCCTCACAGGTACATTCCCTCCGATCATGGGGGATATAGTTTACTGTTCTGGATGTTGTGTATGCAAATCTCAGGCTAAGCTGGGGAAAAGCTGATAAAAAAGAGCAGGGCATTGGAGTAATCTTCTACCAGGTAACCACAGCCACCTGTCGCTTTGCAAAGGCATCCTGATCAAATCAGAATATAGAGCTCAGAGTTTACAAGTGCGTGATACTGCTCATTTTAGAAATTAGCAGCAGAGGTACCATCTGCAGCGCTCGAGAGCAGGGGCTGAGTAATGAAGCAGCATGGAAACGACAAGGAGTTTATATAGAGGATGCTTTAAGGAAGGGACAATGCAGGAGCTGTGGGAAATAAGGAGCAAAAAACGCAAGCAGGAAATGAGTGGGGAATGGTGTGGAGCTATGGGGAAGATGGTGTTCCATGGCCATGTTTGGGTACCTCTCCATGGTTTAGGGTACCTCTCCATTTGTGTTTGCACACACATCCTTCTCTGTCCTCCATGCAGGCAAGCAGAGGGCATTATCAGAGTTCAAAAATGCCTTGCGCCCAGGCAAAGACACTCAAGAAGGATGCAAAGCAGGGCAAGATACCCTGTCCCTGATTTTTAGGCAACTGCAGTGGCTGTCAGAAATGCATCCCTTCTCTGCCTTGGAAGGCTCCGAGACTGGAGAGGAGGGACAATGTGTGAAAAGCCAAGGAAGAACTGCACAGATTTTGTCAAGCACAAACTCTGCTTACCTCTGCAGTGTTCCAGCCCCCTGGGATCAAAGGCTTGAGAGTATTAACACCTGCTCATCCCAGTGGCTTGGCACCTGTTGCTACAAGACATGCAAATGAAGACAAAACGGTCCTCATGGGAAGATAACGCAAGAGAATTTGCACGGAGCAAAGCGAGTAACCATTCAACTTATATCCAGGTCACACAATGATTTCCACTGTCATGGGAGTAATTCTTGGGTGAGCAATGACTTCACGTGTTGGCTATGGGACCTTCACTTACTGTGGCTTGAAGGTCACATCGTTCATGGCTGGAGACAACTCTTTCTGTGTGAGCTACAAAATATTAGACATTTGTGTTCGGCGTTCATCATATCATAGAATTCACACCTCAGCTACGATGATGTTGTGGAGTGGCATGCTGGGCACCCACAGTCGGGGTTCCAAATTGGCACCCCTGTATTGACCTCAGAGGGGATTACTCCTGAGTAAACATTTATAGGGTTTTGCTGTCATTTGCTAGCTTTGCGTAAGTGTTGTTTCGAGGCTGCTGGAGTATTGATGATTCTTGTTTTTTCTCAAAACCAGATGCAAGTGGTTCAACATATATCGGCTGAAACAAGAGCACACTCCTATCATTTCGAATTATATTTTTTATTAGCCTCCACAAAGAGAGCCCATTTCGACTGTTCAACTGTCAGCAACCCACTATGACTGAAGATTAAAGCTATAAATATATACAGAACAAATATACATTTTTTTTGGAAGGTGAATCCTTCAGAGGCTTTGCTTGTATAAATGGATTTTGTGTGTCTCTGTGTTAAGAGCATTGTTATTTATTTCTGTGCAGTATTATCTTGTGGGGGGAATGAAAATTCAGTGTTAAAGTTTACTTGACTTTACTGCACTCAATAAAATAACTCCAGAGAAACCCATATATATATATATATATCTGAAATGAATCTCCCGTTTATTGCATATCAACTATTCTTTATAGCTGAAAGAAACCCCTTTGTGAAAGAAGATAACTAATAAATGTCCTCATCATAGAAAAATATTCAGTCCTCTCTGTACGTGTGCCCAGATCCTGTGTTAATTCAATATGTTACTATAAGGCTTCAACACACACAACAGCCCCAAAATATATCTTACCCCTAAGACCCACAAAACCCAGCAAGACTTACTTCATAGTAAAATTTTGCATTATACAAAATGTGAAAAGGATCGTGACTTCTCTATGTTTGCGGTCATTTCACAATTGATTCCAAGGATAAGATAAAAGGTGCTTAACTTTTGTAAAGTTCTTGTTCTCTTTTAATGGCAATGGTGCCCACCTGAGAGGTGTTGGAACTGAGTTCCAACAAGTTCCGACTGGGGGGGGGAAGCCCTGAGTATGATTGATTTAATTGACACAGAAATGGAAGATGAAATTTAAAATGGAAAATGGTTAAACGTGTATTGGTAACATTGGGATTTTTCCATAGTAGATTTTCTAAGGGGCTCTAAGCTCCTAAATGGATTAATGGTTACCCATTGATTCTGTTACTCTAAACTGTTGTAACTTTAGGTCAGGTGACAAAGGTGGTTGTTGTTTAGTCGTGTCCGACTCTTCGTGACCCCATGGACCAGAGCACGCCAGGCACTCCTGTCTTCCACTGCCTCCCGCAGTTTGGTCAAACTCATGTTGGTAGCTTTGAGAACACTATCCATCCATCCTGTCCTCTGCCGTCCCCTTCTCCTTGTGCCCTCAATCTTTCCCAGCATCAGGGTCTTTTCCAGGGAGTCGAGTCTTCTCATGAGGTGGCCAAAGTACTGGAGCCTCAGCTTCAGGATCTGTCCTTCCAGTGAGCACTCAGGGCTGATTTCCTTCAGAATGGGGAGGTTTGATCTTCTTGCAGTCCATGGGACTCTCAAGAGTCTCCTCCAGCACCAGAATTCAAAAGCATCAATTCTTCGGTGATCAACCTTCTTTATGGTCCAGCTCTCACTTCCATACATCACTACTGGGAAAACCATGGCTTTAACTATACGGACCTTTGTCGGCAAGGTGATGTCTCTGCTTTTTAAGATGCTGTCTAGGTTTGTCATCGCTTTTCTCCCAAGAAGCAGGCGTCTTTTAATTTTGTGACTGCTGTCACCATCTGCAGTGATCATGGAGCCCAAGAAAGTAAGATCTCTCACTGCCTCCATTTCTTCCCCTTCTATTTGCCAGGAGGTGATGGGCCCAGTGGCCATGATTTTCGTTTTTTTGATGTTGAGCTTCAGACCATATTTTGCACTCTCCACTTTCACCCTCATTAAAAGGTTCTTTAATTCCTCCTCACTTTCTGCCATCAAGGTTGCGTCATCTGCATATCTGAGGTTGTTGACAAAGGTTGCTAATTTGCCATCTTGGAAGGGTAGTGGCTAATACAACAAAGGATGTGATAAAGGCTCTCCAAAAAGAGTTGCATAGCCTTAGGTAGGGTAGGCTTAGGCAAGCTGGAATGTGGGAGAGAGAGAGTTATCTTTTATTTCTAAGATTCTGAACCTGTGCTGGACAGCACACAACATTATATGGATATTTTGGATGTATTTTTGATGCTTATATTTTGTTTGTAAAGAATTCTGCCAGTAAAAGTTTGAATAATATTTTTATGGGCCTGGACAGTGATTTATTCCAAAAGGAGTCAGTTCTTATGCTTCAGTCACTTCAAACTGCACAATATTAATATCTGCAATCATTGCATCCCAAGGTGGGTTTCTCCTGAGCAGAGGTGAACCTGTGTCTTATGCACCTCAATGTTAGCAGGTAAGTTGGATGCAGTATATCCAAGCGAAAACACACATGGTCAGACCCTCCAAGCGCCCCTATTTTCCAGGTACAGTCCCAGATTTACAGATGCCATCCCAGTTTCTAATTTGATTCCAGAATGTCCTGCTCTTCCTTAGGACATCCCAATTTTCCCTGGAGAAATGTTGGAGGGTATGCAGTTATTCAACCCCTGAGATAAGGAGATAAGTAACTATACAACCTTTAGGTCAAGACATCTGAAGGGAATGGCGGGAGTTCTGGTAGCACAAGGATGGAAGACTGAAGAAACCCCAACTAAAGAATCATGGCAAGAAAAATTGATGGACTATGCAGAACTGGCAAAATTGACATATAAGCTACGGGACAAGGATAACTGTGACATTAAGGATGAATGGGAACCTTTCACAAAGTATCTGAAGATGCAACAAAGCGAACTGGACTCCTTGGCACGTTTTGAATAAACATTCACAATTTTTTTACTGATAACAATCATCTAAACAGTTTGAGGATCTATACAACTTTGTAACATGCAGAAAACAGCATTATTGGAGAAACCAAAGACTGGAACTGAGGGAAGTCGCGGGTGGGGTGGGTTCTGGGGGGGGGGAGGAAAAATGGGGGGAAAATAAGGATATGTTTTTGGATAATATGTCTTGTTATGACTTTGAATCAAAAAAAAGACATCTGAACGGAATGTATAGGGAAGTTTTTAAAGGGTTTGTTATGTTGTTATATATGTTGGAAGCTGCCCAGAGTGGCGGAGGCAACACAGTCAGATGGGCAGGGTATAAATAAAATTATTGTTATTATCATTATTATTATGGAATAGGACATCCCTATTTTCATCGGAGAAATGTTGGAGGGTATGCTGGGACACATGCAAGGGGGGGGGGGAGGACTGGAGGTCTCTCATATTATGTGGAGCCATTAATGAAGAAGCTGACAGGTTTTATTATGTTTGTATATATGCTGGAACCCGCAAGAGTGGCTGGGGCAATCCAGTTAGATGGGTGGGGTATAAATAATAAAATCGTTGTTGTTGTTGTTTTGTTGTTGCTATTGTTATGGAATAGGACATCCCTGTTTTCACTGGCGAAATGGTATACACCGTGGGGCTACGAGGCTCGCTGGCACCGGTAACCGGGGCTTAATTCGGAGCAAGCGGGCGCAGGCCAGGAGCGTCCACACACTGGAGAGAACCGGAGCGCGCCGCTCCTTTCTCGAGAGAGCGCAAGGCGGAGAGGGAAGCGCAGAGCTTTCCCTTTAAGAGGCCGGCTCGCCTCCATTTGACGTCAGGCTGTTTCTGCACCATCGCCGGCACCCGCGAGCCCCCATTCGGGCAGGAGGGGCGAGAGAGGCAGCGAGCGCGGCCGGCCAGGGAGGGAGAAGGAAGCGAAGCCTAGCTCCCCCGGGAAGCGTCCCGCAGCCCCGCCGGCTCGTCCTCAGCATCCTCCCGCGGAAAGCGCGTCTCCTGCAGCCATGTCTGTGGCAGGTTTGAAGAAGCAGTTCCACAAAGCCACTCAGGTGAGGGGGCCGGGGGGCGCACGCGGAGGAGGCCGAGGAGCCCCGGGCAAGGAGGGAGGCGCGCGGGGGCGGCGGAAAGCGCGGGTCTAACCCTCCGAGTTAGGAACCACTGGGCGCGCGCGGGAGGGAGCGAGGCGCCGGCGGAGGCCTCCAGGGGGCGCTGCGTTGGGGAGGGGGCGCTGGGCAATCGGGAGGACCGGGGGCAGCTGGGAGGAGAGTCAGAGAGGGTGGGGGGCAGGGGGCGAAACTAGGCTTTATTTCACCCAGGGCAAAGACCCAGTTTGGCACCCTTCCCAAAGCGCATTTGCGTGCGCACACACACACGGGCTGGGAGCCTCTCTGGCGCCCCTCTGGAGGCTTAACCCGGGGCAAAAAAAGCGAGGAGGGGAGAGGGTGGGGTGGGGGAACACATCCGAGATCGACGAGGCTCGCTGCTTGGCCCTGGGCCATTGCCAGGTCGTCCCAATTAAGTGGTGTTTTTGCAATAAATAGCGCACCTGCTCTGTGTGACTGCAGCAGAAGCTGGAAAGGGTCCTGGCGGAGGGGCGCTTGGCCGGACCAGGTCTGGCCAATGCAGGGGGCGCGATGGGTACCGCATTCTGCTTTCCAGGGAGACGGAGGATCAGACACCCGGTTTTCCCCCTCTCCCCCCCCCCGCTTTATTCCTCTGCCCGGCCTCGTTCCGTGCTGGGCGCCCACAACTGGCTCGCTGCAGACGCGGGATCTTGCGCTTCTCTCTCCTCCCGCCCTCCATCTCCGCGCTTCCCCCGCATTGGAGCAGCTCAGCCGCTGCAGAGCCCGGCGAGGATTTGTGGCTGCTTTTATCCGCCGCGCTGCTACTGCTGCTGCTCCTGCAGCCTTTCTGGGACGCGGCTGGGAGGGGGGAAGGAGGGGGCACCGGGCGCGGGAGGCTGGCGGAGCTTGCAACGTGTAAGCGGCTGCTGGTGGAGGAGGAGGGCTGGCCAGTTGTACTATTTCCATACCCTTCCAGTGGACTATCCGGCCGGGACTCGGATTATGTAAAAATCCTCCTCCAGTGACCTTGCAGTGATGTAGTTACTGAGCTTTGATTCCCCCCCCCCCGCTGCTCCATCACACGGTGTCCCTAACCGTGCGCGCGTCCCCTCCCCTCCCTCCGCGCCTTTCCCCGTCTCATCAACGGAAAACCATCCTTTCCTTCCATCGGGTTTTCGACTTCATGAATGGAAGTAGATCTATATTAAACTTTAGTCTTTAAAATCCCAATGAATGAGGTGTTTGGGGGTTTTTCGTGTGGGGTATTTTGACGCTCGAGTTGGATATTGCCAAACTGGTTTGTTTTGGTATTTTGTTGGTTAAACCTGTTTGGTGGTAAAGAGCCTTGCCACCACAGCCACCCCTTCATTATAGGAGGGGAAGTTCCTTAAAAATATAATCTAGTGTGTCCGTCTGTCAGGCCGCAGTGTTTTTTTCAGTTTAATCTTGTGTTGTGACCAGTGGCAATGCGCTTGTGTGAGTAACTGATTTGGAGAGTGAAGTCTGATGGTTTAATGGCCTCATGCTGTATTTCTGTAACCAAGGATTAGATTCTGATTCAGTTCAATTCACGCTGGTGCAAACCTGGGACAGGAAGGGGAATCGAATCCCCAATATCTGTCGGGTCACAGAAAACCTTCTGTCTTCCTTTTTTGAAGGCCACGTGTTATATAATGCCGCCTATGAAGTCTCTTCAAGATAACGTCAAGCTGTTTAAAAATATCACCCTAGTGAATCTCCTCTGCAGAATGCAGTGCAGCATCAGACCTTTCGGACCAGCTCTAGCACATTGTCTTATCCTCTAGGAAATGCCGACCTTCCAGAATTAGTACTTCACGATGGAGCAGTTCTACTGGCACATGCCTTCATTCTGATTCCTCCATCATCATTTACTTTAAATTACTTTAATGGCCAAAGTGAGCAATGCAAATACTTTATTAGAGGGAAGCAACACTGTGTTGCAACCGTTCTTCAGTAATTATTATTATTATTATTATTATTTATTATTTATACCCCGCCCATTTGTCTGGGTTTCCCCAGCCACTCTGGGCGGCCTCCAACAGAATATTAAAAACACGATCAGACATTCCAACATAAGATTAAAAACACATTAAAGCATCAGTCATTAAAAACTTCCCTAAGTAGGGCTGCCTTCAGATGTCTTCTAAAAGCCAGATAGTTGTTTATTTCCTTGACATCTGGTGGGAGGGCATTCCACAGGGCGGGTGCCACCACCGAGAAGGCCCTCTGCCTGGTTCCCTGTAACCTCACTTCTCACAGGGAGGGAACCACCAGAAAGCTCTTGGAGCTGGACCTCAGTGTCCGGGCTAAGTAATGAGGATGGAGACGCTCCTTCAGGTATACTGGACCGAGTAGCTTTGATATGAACATGACATGGCTTATCATCACCATGTCATGGGATCAGTGGGCTTCAGATGTTGCCTTCATCGTCTCAATATTTTAGTTCCTTTCTGTCAGTCTTTGGTCCCATCGAGAATATGGGAGAGCAGTATATAAATGTTGGCACTCTTTTGCTAGTCAGGAACATTTAGGGTTAGAGTAAAATGATCTGGAGAAGATTATCCTATAACCAGCAATAAGAATTTTGAATTTTGTTAGTATTAACAGGAGTGGCAAAAGTCTTCAACTAAGCAGGCTTTAAAAACGAGATATATTAGAAAGATGGCCCAACGATATGAGGGCTTTCGTTCTATATGCACAACAGAATAAGTCCCATTGAATTTGATTATTAAATAGATTTGGCAGACAAAGGATGACACTTTAGCTGATGTTGCATTTTAAACGCTGGTTTTGATCAATATTTTCAGCATTCTGACTCCCCTTGTAAAAGGTGGCAAAAAATCCTGTGAATGGTTCAACACCCCCCCCCCCTTACTATATTCTTATGGGGTTACACTTCTGAAACTTTCGTGCCGGTTAAATAAAGTAGGTAGAAATTAAAACTGCATGTGTCATAATTTTAAGGCCTATTTCTGAGCAATAAACTGTGAAATATAGTTCTGAAGGCGAATCACATTTGATATAACTCCTTTTAAAATTTCAGTTTTTAATATTGTGTTGTTGTTATTTTAAAAAAGACTGAATAAGCAGGTAAAGCTCAGTGCTGCAGAAATCTCAAAAACCGCTGCTGAAAACTGAATTAAACTTTCTGTTATTAATTGTAGTTTTCTCAGAGATTTGCATTTAAATTAGTTTGGTCTCCATGAATTGTGTATGGCTGGAGTTAAGGAAATGAATTCCGTGCCTCCTTGTCCTCTGCTCACCTTTTTAACCTATTCTGCCTTCCAGTTAGCGTAATACCTACAATTACTTAACACCTGCAAATCCCTTTTAGCCTCCTACTGCACACGGTAAAAATAGGCTGTGCACTCTTTCACATTCCATGTGAATTTTTATTTTATTTTATTAAACCTCTTGAGTCCTTTTTCAACATGGCACCTGTTTCTGGTTTAGCCTTGTGTGTACCTCTGCAAGTTGCTGCTCACTTATTGCACTTTTAGGTGTACATTTAAAGATTGGAATAGTATATTCAAAAATGGAGTGTTTGAGAAAAGAAGTTGGGAGGGGAGGCAAGTGAGGAATCGCAAGGAAGGCTGATAAATAATTGGAATCGCTTTCCCTCCCCAGTAGCATTAGCACAAGATAGTTCAGTTGGTTAGAGTGTGGTGCCGATAATGCCAAGGTTGCAGGTTCGATCCCCGTATGGGGCAGCTGCATATTCCTTCATTGCAGGGGGTTGGAGTAGATGTTCTTCCATCTCTCTGCTTCTAAGTACAGTGGTACCTCGGGTTACATACACTTCAGGTTACATACACTTCAGGTTACAGACTCTGCTAACCCAGAAATAGTGCTTCAGGTTAAGAACTTTGCTTCAGGATGAGAACAGAAATCAAGCTCTGGCGGCGCAGGAGGCCCCATTAGCTAAAGTGGTGCTTCAGGTTAAGAACAGTTTCAGGTTAAGAATGGACCTCCAGAATGAATTAAGTACTTAACCCGAGGTACCACTGTATAGGGTAGGTTAGTGACTCAGGGCCCTGAATCCCAGCAGCCTGGCACTATTGCCTTATAGCTCTAGTTCCTGTGGTTTAGAGCTAGATGAACAAAAATCTACTCAGTGTTCCCAAAATCTGTGTTGCTCAGTCTGGAGACAGTGTCTGTCTGTCTGTCTGTCTGTCTGTCTCTCTCTCTCACACACACACACAATATTCTGGGAAGAACTGGAGATGGGTTTTGTGCTAGCTGTGAATTCCAATATTTGTTAAGCTGTTGGATGCTCTGACCTCTTATTAAAACAAGGATAGGGGACCTCTCCAGATGTTGAACTCCACCTTCCATTAATCACAGCAGATATGGCCAGTGGTTGGAGATAGTGGAGTTCAACAATGTTTGGAGGGCCACAAACTTCCCACTTTTGCCTTAGATGAAAGAGTTGAGTGTGTGCGATCAGGACTGGAGGAAATGTTTTTCTTCCAACCTTAGTAAATCACCCCCAGGGCTCTTTCAACAGTAAATGGGTTGGGTCTCCTAAAAGTAGATAGCATTCTGACTGTGGATGGGAGAAGTTAGGGTCCAATGCACCTTCTCCTCTTCCCCACTTCCCAGATGCTATAATAATCAGGTTAGGCTCTATTTGGCAGGCTTCCCCATCATCATCTTCTACCCTGGCACCATCACTACTTATATTTAGGTACCAGGCAAAATCATTTCATTTGCACCAGGCCTTTGGCCCTTAATTATCTGTAGCCTTGTTCAGAGGGTAGAATGTGCCATTTTATAACTATGAATGTATTTTTAGGTTTTACTCCATTTTAGTTTTATGCTGGTTTTAATTATATGCGTTTGCTTTTGTAAGTCGCTTCGAGTTTCATTTTGCATAAAACTAAAAAATTCAATTAATAATACTAATTGACGTTTAACTGTTGAGTATTCTTTATCTCTTTGAGGGCAAACAACTTCCACGGTCTAGCTACTGGGTGTATGGGCATGAATTCGTAAGACTCTATTGAAGCCTAATTGTGTAGTTTTGTGAGCCTACTTCAATTTATTCTTTGTATTTATTTATTTTTTGCGTAGTAATGCAAGCAAGCCATAGACTACTTCAGGTCAATCGTGGACAAGTGTGTAGAGAGGCTTAAAATATCCCCACTGGGAACCCTGCTAATAGCATCCCTGCTGAGTAAAACTGAACGGGCATAAACCAATTTGGCAAGTGTGGAAGTTTACAGTTGGGAAGAAATACGCATTTGAGCTTTAAAAGGCTTCCAAGTAAGTGCTGCTCTGGAATGGCTTCTGTCTTCCTATGGTGATCGCTGGAGAAAATGGATCAGTTCTGAAAAGAAATCCATGGGGTTAGAAGGCACTCTATAGACCAAGTCCAACCCCTTGTACAGGATTGATCACCTTTTAATCATAGTAGTCTGTATCATGTAATCCAGACTATATGGTATATCACAAGGAGAGCAAGTAATGGGACACATGGCATGTCCAAGTGAGCCTGCAAAATGCCTGGTTCCAGGTGTTTTCAAGCAATTGGTTTGGCTTATAAGTAGCACCTGGAGAAGGATGGAGGAACTTTCAGAGCTTCAGCTAGGCTGACCAGCTGCAACATATCTTCTTGCCCTCCACAAATGATCAGTGAGTCCATTATAAAATAAAAATGGCAAAGAGACTTTCAGCAGGGGTAAAGACCTGAACCTTTGTCAGCAGCTTTCATGGAGTGTCAGTCGCTTGATGCATCTGGAGTAGACTGTAGCCTACAGAAGCTTCTTCCATAATAAAATGGTGCCGCAATATTTGTTAATGTTTGTGCTGCAACAAGCTGACACGGCTATGTCTCTGGGGGATCCCTAAAAAGCAAAACCTAAGCACCCACCTCTGTCCAACCCAACTTCCAGCCTCTTTGAGAGGTGGTTTGGCAAATGCACACAAATGTAGCCTGATGAGTCTTCTGTTCTTTTGACTGGGCTAGTCCATGCCATGGGCTAGGAGTCAGCTTTGCCTGCTGAACAGCAGCTTGAAGGGGGGAGAAGGCAGAGTGACTCCACCTGCGGTTGATCAGCCTCCACAGAGGAGAAGGCACTGATAAGAGCCAGCTGGTTCTGGTCTTCTTAAACAGAGCTCTCAGCAGCAGTTAGATGCTGGAAATAATACCTGTAGTTCCTGGCTGCTTCCTGCTCTCCACCTGGACCCTTGGCTCTGAGATCACCTGGATTCCCTGACTTCTGGACTCTCTGACTTCATATGTGGATTCTGCTCTCAGGCAAGGGTTTATCAGAGACTCCTAGCCCCTGCTTGCTTGACGAAGGGACCTGGATGGGGCTATGGCAGTAAGATATTGCCGGAGTAGTAAATGATGCCCTACCCAGTCCAGTCAAGGACATTTTGGCACTTAAGGCAGGAAACCAAGCACACCTTCCTCCTTCCTAGCAGTAAAAATACAATAATAATAATAAATGGCTGGTTAGCTATTTAATTTGCTGCCCTTTCACGACACCTTCAGTTGCCTGCCTGAGGCAGCCCTCTCATTCTGTCTAAGGGTAGGGTCACTCTTTTGGGCAGAAAGCAACCAACTGTCTTCAACACTGCAATTCTAGGCATGTTTCTCCAGAAGCAAATACAGTGGTACCTCGGGTTAAGTACTTAATTCGTTCCAGAGGTCTGTTCTTAACCTGAAACTGTTCTTAATCTGAAGTACCACTTTAGCTAATGGGGCCACCTGCTGCTGCTGCTGCGGCGCTGGAGCATGATTTCTGTTCTTATCCTGAAGCAAAGTTCTTAACCTGAGGTAATATTTCTGGGTTAGCGGAGTCTGTAACCTGAAGCGTATGTAACCCGAGGTACCACTGTACTGCTGAGTTATCTCCCTAAAACTCAAGCTGGAACAACATTTTTTACTAGATTTCATTATGTTTCCAATGCTTCCTGGCCCAGGAAGCACTGAAGCAAAGGGCACAGAAAGCTACAAGTCCCATGAACCCCAGGAGGAAACAACACTCTGGGATTATGTCTTTCATCTATGTTTTGGTAACCTCTAGGTTAGATTACTGCAACGCTTTATATGTGGGGCTGCCTTTGAAGATGGTTCATAGACTTCAACTGGTGCATTATTTTATTTTTTAATGCAAGAATATGATTTTAAGTTAATTTATGAAACTTTGGAAAAGTTCAATTAAAATTAAGAAAGGAAGAAACTGCACCCAGTGCGCTTCATGGGAGACTTTGGTGGCCATTAACCACATATTTGTAAACTGAAGCAACCCTAATAAGTATTTGTTTGCAGTAATTGCTGAAAGATAATTGTGCTGGTTTTCTTTAATGCTACATGAACCAAAATAGGAGTGAGATGTCAGGGAAGGTAATTGTGGAAATAGTTATTTGGCTGGAGAGAAGGGAGTTAAATTTAGTATTTTGATCAGTTTAAAATGTTACACAAAGGCCATTAAGCCTAGGGGAAAATACGTCTGAATATTGCATTGATAATTAGTTTCCCCTGGCATACATCTAAAAGCCAACACAGAAAGAGGGGCTTTCTTACAAAAGCTTTGCTAGAGGAGGAGGAGTCTGGACCTGGTGACACCAACCTAATGAGAGGTGGAGGGTTGGGCTCCATGTCAGAAGCTAATATAGCACCAGCCAAATTAGCTGATCCATAATTTCCCCTGGAGATAAAATTCACCTAATTAATGTGTTTCTGACAATGCAAGTAAATGGAATTCTGCACAGTGATTTCTTCCTATACCAACTGAGAAGCCTAGCAGACTAATGCTATAAATGTGCTTTGGTGAGCCACCCAGCAGGGAGGCAGGGGCTTGGTGCCTTTGCCCAATAACTCACTGGAGAAACAGATTTCCTTATGGGGTGAGCTGGAGCCAACTTGGCCTCATCACTAAAACTGGTATGGAGCCAATGGCCAGAGACCTCTCTTTGTCTGTCTCTTTCTCTCTTTTCGTGTGGCCTTATAGTGTACTCTTTTGAGAAACCCCTACTTAGCTTCTCCTAACTTGGAACTTGGGACGTGATGGGATTCTGGCAGCAACCTCACTTTGCAGCATGGCTGAGAGTAGCATTTGCCAAGATCCTGCTGAAGGCTTTGTGTCTAAGCCAGCCCTTTCAAGCTAATACTCTTCGGATAGTTTAGCCCCCAGCCCCAACCAGCTTGTGGTTTTGGGGACAGATGGGAGTTGTAGCTCAAAATATCTATAAGGCTGCCCCAAACCTCCTCAGATGAACCGTTTCCATGCTAGTGTCCATCAGCTTTTGCTTAATCCTCTTGTCGTGGAGAAACCTACCGTGTGTGTATCATTTATTATCACATGTACTGTGGTTACTTAACCTTTCTCCTGCTTGTTCAGTCCCAGAGTTAAACTCTGAATGTGAAGCCAATTCCCCTTTCCATCTTGGGAAAGACAAGTGTCTCAGAAACCTAGCCAACTTTGTTGTACGGGTTTGAGGGCGTTACGAACCACATTATGCTGTACAAAGCGAATGGAAAATGTAGGCATGGCAGGATCTTGCAGAGTTCTGTGCAGTAAGGAGCACATTGATTGTGTCAATGGCTGACCTTAATTTTTTATATTTCTTGGTTACCAAACTGACCCTGCTAACCAGCCTCAGTATAAGCTCCTTGTTTGCTCGTCCCCTGCAGCTGCTGTATTGACTGCAATATTTACCTTGGGCGGGGGGGGGGGGATAATTGGTTCACATCAAAGGGCTGCCATCTCAGCATTCACACCGACCTAAAACTCCATGCTGTTATTTGCCACAGCAAAGCAGTGGGGCATAACAGCTGGTGGGAAGTGACTGGGATAGACTACCAATTTTATTTTAATTGCCTCATATTATGTTTTCCTCAGAAATGATTGTTTTGTTTTTTAAAAAATATATCTTTATTAATTTAAAATAAATACATTTATGAGAAAACAGATGTAGATACAAGTAAACATACAATCAAACAAACAACTAACAGAAAAATCAAACAAACTACCACACTATAATATAGAAGAAGATTAATATAATCATCATCATATATACTCCTGATGCTGAACACAATTATAAAACTTATAGAGAAGAAATTTAAAACTGACTTCCAATTAATCTCACTGTAGTTTGTCTATCCATTACTTTATGCTACACAGTTGCCGCCCGGCTCGGAGCGGTGCTCCCGGCCGGGCGGGGGAGGGAACACCTGCCGCCGCCGCCCGGCTCGGAACGGTGCTCCGGCCGGGCGGGGGAGGGAAGACCTCCCGCCTCTGCCCGGCTTCGGAGCGGTGCTCCGGCCGGGCGGTGGGGAGGAAGACCTCCCTCGCCGCCCGGCCTCGAACGGTGCTCCGGCCGGGCGGGGGGAGGGAACACCTCCGCCGCCGCCCGGCTCGGAACGGTGCCCGGCCGGGCGGGGGGAGGGAAGACCTCCGCCGCCGCCCGGCTCGGAACGGTGCTCCGAGCCGGGCGGGGGAGGGAAGACCTCCGCCGCCGCCCGGCTCGGAACGGTGCTCCGAGCCGGGCGGGGGGAGGGAAGACCTCCGCCGCCGCCCGGCTCGGAACGGTGCTCCGGGCCGGGCGGGGGAGGGAAGACCTTCTGAAGGCGGGCGGGGGCGAAGTCTTTGCTCCCCTGCCTGCCTGTCCCGGAGGGCTTTGAAGGCGGACATATTTCTTATATAATTTCTTTTTACCTCCCTACGAACTTATATTTATACAATACAGGATCAGTCTAATTCTGCCAAGAAATGATTGTTGTGAGGAAAGATGATCTCCGTAAGCTGATGGCTCTGCCATGCTTTCGATCTACAGTTGTGCTTTTAAGGTTTCATGCAGGTATTATTGGGTTGCCATCTGGCCCCGATTCCAGGACAAAGTGATTCCAATGGAATTGAGACCCTCTGAAGGGTGTTGTAAAAATTCTAAGGTCTCAAATATAGAATAAATGTATAATTCTTGCTTTTGGACCTTGTTGGTCATGTGTACCTCTTTGCATAGTGGGAATCCTCCATAATTCCCCTTGCCTGAGATCACATGGGCAGATATCCATCAGGGGAAGCGCTGAGGGGATTTCCCCCCAAAACTGTGAACCTCAATGTTAATTGTCATTGTTTGCCCAGGCTCTCATCATGGAAGGATTACCTGCGGGTGGCACTGTGGTCTAAACCACTGAGCCTCTTGGGCTTGCCGATCAGAAGGTCAGCAGTTTGAATCCCTGCGATGGAGTGAGCTCCCATTGCTCTGTGCCAGCTCCTGCCAACCTAGCAGTTCAAAAGCCACCAGTGCGAGTAGATAAATAGGTACCACTGCAGCGGGAAGGTAAATGGCATTTCCGTGCGCTCTGGTTTCTGTCACGGTGTCCCATTGTGCCAGAAGTCTTGCTGGCCACATGACCCGGAAAGCTGTCTGTCGACAAACGCTGGCTCCCTCAACCTGAAAGCGAGATGCGTGCCACAACTTCATAGTTGCCTTTGACTGGACTTAATCCTCCAGGGAAGGGACGCGGGTGGCACTGTGGGTTAAACCATAGAGCCTAGGACTTGGCGATCAGAAGGTTGGCGGTTCGAATCCCCGCGACAGAGTGAGCTCCCGTTGCTCGGTCCCTGCTCCTGCCAACCTAGCAGTTCGAAAGCACGTCAAAGTGCAAGTAGATAAATAGGTACTGCTCTGGCGGGAAGGTAAATGGCGTTTCCGTGCGCTGCTCCAGTTCGCCAGAAACGGCTTAGTCATGCTGGCCACATGACCCGGAAGCTGTATGCCGGCTCCCTCAGCCAATAAAGTGACATGAGCGCCGTAACCCCAGAGTCGGTCACGACTGGACCTAATGGTCAGGGGTCCCTTTACCTTTACCGTAACCATCCAGGGATCCTTTACTTTTACCTTTTTTGTTTCAACAATGCTGATGCTTTGTGTAAACTATGTCTGGAACTATGTAAAATTTACTAAACCCCAGGAATGTCACAGCTTGACCTGCCTGAGCCACTGTAACCCCACCTTATGTGTGATGTATTTCTTACTGTAAAGGAGATGTCCTTCATCTTCATGCCAAAATGCTAACCCTCAAAAAGAGGTGCCTCTCTTTGTTCTGGGTCTCTCACTTTCTGTTGCAGCAGAAAAATCAAGACCTGCCTTGCTTTCCACTGGTTCCATCCATTCTTCTCTGACTGATCATGGACTTAGGGGACTCAGAGTCCCTTGGGGAGTTGGGCAGCAAAAGCCAACCCCAAATTTTCTACAACAGCATAATATGTCCTGACAAAGAGCATTCATTGTGTTCTCTTCCTCTTCCTCTCCCTCTCTCTCACTTTAATTCATTCACTATACTAAGTTGCTTCAGGTTTAATGATGACCAAATGGAATTGACAAATTGAATTGCTAATCTGAAACTATTTTGGGCCTATAGCCCTCCCACTCAAAAACCGTAAGCTTCTGTTCTGCACACTTCACATGATTTACTCACCTTGGCAATCAATATAATGAAACAAATTACTCTGCTGGATTTGCACAGAACTATTGTGAAGCCAGCTGCCTGCTCTGTGCCAGGTAAATATTTATGGGGAACCTTTTACAAGCTAAGATCCAAATGTAGTGTGCCTTGAATTGACAGACAATAAAAGAGAAGCTATGTGTATAGTCCAGAAGAAAGTTCCAATTAAAAGCTTCCACAGAATTAAGCTCATAATGAGGTAGCTCACAGTGCAACCCTATGCGTATTTAATTAAGAATCACATTCTGCTGTGTTCACTAGAGCTTACTCTTAGGTAAGTGTGTATAGGATTGCAGTTTCAGGCCTGGAAATGGCTTCTCACCTGGCATCCTGTGACAAACAAGATTGACCTCTAGGGAACTATTGTACATTGGAAGACCGTTGCTCCTCAGCTTGTGTGCATTAGATGTGCCAAAATTAACTAGTACAGTGACTTGCTGGTTAGTGATCCTTCTGTGGGTTAGTTATTTTCCTGGATGATGATGATGATGATGGTGATGATGATGATTGCAATCCTTTCTGATTTACAATCTGATCTGGTTTGGGGATTGCAAGTGCCTTAATTGTCCTGGTTGATTACTTTTGCCTAGAAGTAGGAAGGGAAAGTGAAGCCTTTTTAGTTCTCTTGGAACACTCAGTAGCTTTTGATAATGTTGATCCTGGGATGCCAGGGCTCTTAGCTGGGTGCAGTTATGAGTAACTGCAATGGCTACAGTTCTGCCTATTGGGTAGATCTCATGAGGTCATTCTGGGTTGCTCTGTGAGATTCCACAGCAGAAAGAAATGTCAGACACTCACTCACCTCAGTGCTCTATTGGTCAAGCATTCTTCTTATTAGAAGCAATTAATTGATATTCAGAGGAGAGTCACTTTGCTTCTTGTCTGGACTTCCTCTAGAGCCAATGTAGAAAACCTCTGGCCCCCCACATATTGCTGAACTACAACTCCCATTAGCCTTGGAAAGCATAGCCAATGATTATGAGAGTTGTAGTTCAGCAATACATGGCGGGTCAAAGGTTCCCACACCTGATTTAGAGACATGGTTAATTTAAAATTAAAAGTGATAGTGTGTTCAGTATTTTAAAAGACTTTAGTTTTTAAAAAATGGCTAGTTGGGGCAGAGGGGAGAGACCGAATTCTGTAAGTAAGGCATACATAATTACCAGGCACCTTCATCTGCCTCACCTGCAATAAAACATCTCTCTCCTGTACCAGTCTCTGCTGCCACACTAGGTGTTGTAACTCTCCAATGGTTTGGCTCAACCACCAAAGGTATACTCTCCCGTTGTCTCTCGAGACAGACAGATGCCAACACACATTCTGTAACTACCTGTTTCATTCCACAGTGACCCTTTGGGTATTGCTAGGTTCACACAGGTGCTTTCCATAGATTATCATCCATTCGCTGTTTACATATAATAATGTTAATCTTCCTGCTTACAGTAATTGAACAGAACAATGATGTAACGCCAATAAGTTGGTAGGGAATTTCCTACAATGACTGGCTGTGTCATTGTTTAGCCTGTAATGATTGTTTAGTTGTGCCCTTTGCCCAGGACTCAGTCATTGGCTGCAACACCTATCTAAGCAAATCAGACAGCTAAGCCAAGTTCTGCTGTTAGCTCCCCCCCCCCAAGAAAAACTTCAAAGGGGGAAATTAAAGATTGTGCCATTTTGTTCTATGTAACGTATCAAAGGAGATTTCCATTTTTATGCACACCTGAAGGGCCTCATAGCCGCAGCTGGTGCATCTTCCTAACAAGCTAATCACAGTCTCTGTAATCTGTTTTGTCATGTGTTGTATCAGTTTATCTGTAGGTGTCCCAAACAACACAAGCATGTTCCTGGAAGTGGGATATTTGCAATCTCAGCTCCTGTATTTGCATCTTCCAACACCCACTCTTACCTGCCTGCGAAAATGCGTGACAGTTCTCTCTTACTTCATTGCGCTGTTGGCAGAAATCCACCTCTGTCATCACTGTGTATAACTGTTGAGTGTGAAGTTGTATTTTGGGTTATACATGAAACTTTTTAGCCTGAGCTGACATTCCACGTGTACACATGTGTGTGTTGATCGTGCCAGCTAGGCAGCTTTGAGGCACCCAACTTCCATGTTGACTGTACAGTAGATAATTTATAGACCATCATTGCATGACACCCCCCCTCATTTTGTGTGTGTGTGTGTGTGTGTGTATGTGTATATTAGGGTTAGGCAATATCTAGTTTTCAACATTGCAATATATCACTACCTAAACATTGCAATATACCAGTATAACTTGATGTCTGAAATAAAGATGGAGCTATGTAGAGCACTGGCTAGCTTGACGGTTTTCCCCGTATTGTGATTTTTGCCGGCACCTGCTCTTGTGATTCGCTTTTCTGTGCAGCAGACAGGGGAGAGCTTAGCCAGCAGGGTTAACAGGGGCTGCAGGAATCGAGAGAAGCGTTGACTGGATTCAGTTCCCCCCACATTGCGATTTTTGCATAGCACACATGTCATGATTTGCGATATATTGCCAGTTCAAAATTTTTGCAGCCGATATCATGATATGGACTTCAAACTAGTTTTGGACCCTAGATCAATATATCGGCCAGCCCTAATGCATATATGCATATGCGTCTCTGTATTAATTTTAAAAGCATTTTAAAACTGCTGAATATTCAGCATGGCTGAAGCCTCTAGACATGGGCAGATGTGCACTCAAGATCCAGAAACATGGGACCTTCCACGTGGAAAAGGTCCACTGCAATTAATACATATGTATATATCTTCCTTAAATTCCTCCAACACTTAGAATGAGCAGAAATGTCAGAATAACTTTACATTAAGCAAAAATGGGTGGCAACTCCTGTCTAAATGAATATCTAATTTGCTTTATTTTATTGCATTTTTATTCTACCTTCTCCTCTAGGGAACTCATAGTGGCTGAGAAACAGTGACAGGCCCAAGGTCACCCAGTGATATGAACCCTTGTCTCCCAGGTCCTAGTTGGACACTCTAACCCAGGCATAGGCAACCTCGGCCCTCCAGATGTTTTGGGACTACGATTCCCATCATCCCTGACCACTGGTCCTGTTAGCTAGGGATCATGGGAGTTGTAGTCCCAAAACATCTGGAGGGCTGAGGTTGCCTATGCCTGCTCTAACCACTACACCGCACTGGCTTCCCATCTGGCCTAGGAGACCCCTACCATCTTGTGGGTCCTTGTAGCTTACAGCATGCAACTAACAGTCTCCCCTGTACCTTACGTGGGCTGCATAATGGTTACAAAATACAAGTACTAGCGGATATAATGCATACATACCAAGTCCCTTCTCTTCTTTGCCCCCATCCCCAACAGCCTGCCTGCATATGGCCTTGGCTGGCTCAGTGCCATTCTTTGCAGGCACCTTTAATGCATGATGACAGCCCTATCGGAGGCAGGTTAAGCTGGTTACGAAGTCTCGTTTCCATGCCATTTGGAACCAAATAGCTGCTTTGCGGAAACTTTGTTGCCCAGAGGGTCTTTCCGCCTGTCTCAGCAGCCTGCTTCTTTCAAAGCGGGAGCTGTGCATGGGAATTCCGGCTGCTTCTCCATCTTGGCAGATGCATAATTACTCCTATTTGAGTTTTGCATTATAATGCCTCCTTGCAACCAGTGGTCAATTATCAACACTTGCGCTTCTCTTGAATTAACTCGGTGCCTAAATGTTACAGCTCTGAGGGTTTCCGTCCCCCACGATACGCTGGTGTGTGTGTTTGTGTGTGTTTGCTCTTTCCTCTGCCACTCAGGGCGACTTTCCTTTTCCTCCCATGTGGGTGGAAGCAGGCTTTGAATCCCAGAATCCAATTAAGACCTCCCTGCGGGCCGGCAGGCCTCTCGCCTTCTCTGTTTTCCTTTTGTTGCATGCCTGTAGTGTAACAAGCAGCAGAATGGCTGTTCCCACAGCTCAGAATATGATTATTTATTAAGTGCTTCCAGCCAGCAAGATGAATATATTACTCTCCGACAAAGAAGATTGGGTAATTGAAAATGTATATTTTGCCATGATACTGAGTTGTTTTTTTTAATAGCAGACTAACATGGCTGCAGTGGTCCCTCACCATCATAAACATCAGACCCCAAGAGATTTTATTGCAATGTTCTCAAAGTAAGAATTACTGAAGATGCTAGTATTTGATCAACATAATAGAATTTTAGATCAGTTGAGGCACACAGGGCAGGATTTGCCTAACGATCCCCATCTGAAAGGCTTGCACAGATGGGAAGATTGGAAGAGTGTCATGTTGAACTTCACCCATAGTGTTTTCTTGGCTCATTCAGATTTGTGTGGGTAGTGTTACTGTGCTTATCATATCAATATTCCTTGTAGGTGGGTATGTTGGAAATGTGGCTTATTAGCCCCGTGAATTGCTTACTTGATCCGTAAAGGTCTCTGGGATACCTTTTTCTTAAGAGGGTGATCACCCAACAAGCTAGAACAGGGGTGGCTAACCTGGTGCCTTCTTGAGCTTTTCAGATTGCATTTCCCATCACCCCGTGACCATAGGTCATGCTGGCTAGGCCTGATGGGATTTGGAGTCCAACAGCCTTTGGGGGGTACCATGTTGTCTGTCCCTGGCCTAGGCAAAAAAATACTTGGGGATTCTTCAATATGTGTGCTCATTTCTTGATTATCTCCTAAGATCATGGGTGTCTCGCATATGACAATGAGCCTTCACAAAGCAAATCCTAAAGATCCAGTGTCATCTTATACACAATCCTTCATATTGAGGATAGTTTAGCCATTCAGTTGCCAGGCACCAAATGCTAACAAATCAGTACGTGCTCATGCATGTGTGGAACACCTTTCACAGAGAAGCAAAGGGCAGAATGTAGAAAGGCAGTGTTTCAAAGCTGTCCTAAATGTATTTTTAAATTGTTGTCATCTGCCCTGAGACAGCATGCTGAAAATCTACAAATAAAACTGAAACACAGTGATGAAATACAACTATTCTATATTATTTTCATTTTATTGAGCACTTGTATAGCCCACCTTTCCTTCAAAGAATGTAAGTGGATATACAGGGTTCTCCTCTTCTCGATTTTGTCCTCACAACAACCCTGTGGTCAGACTGAGAGACTGTGACTGGCCCAAGGGTGCCCAGTGAGCTTTCTGGCTCAATTTTGAAAGTCTGGATATAGAATTGCATATGATGAAAGCTGAAGCCAAGTGCCAGTGACCCACAGCAAGAGATACATGGCACCTCTTTTGACCCCAGAGTTCCACTGGGTCGCACACACATGTACATTACATGGTGTATGTTAAGGTGCATCAAAGATGACCAGACAGTTTCAGCTACAAGGCTTTTGGTGAAGGGCACCTGACATAATAGAAAGATGATGCTCAACTGAATTCTCTTGGTAAAGCAAGTCACAGCAATGGAAAAACCATTATCCTCCCTCCTATTGCTTTTCAATATTTTCTGTAAGTGGATATGCAACAAGCCCTCACCTGCTTACATCAAAGGCATCCAACACCTTTTCTCTCTGAAATTGTATGTCCTCTATTCCTTGATAGCATGGGGCTGGGTTCAGAACTTCATTTCTTCCAAAACTGCATGCCTCCACTTCAGGGGCTTTCAGCTCACGATTGCAAGGCAGACGCAATTCTGTTTGATAATTTGCCAGAAGCCCTAACGTCTGGTCTGTTTTGCAAAGACCAGCTCACATTCTGATAGATGGTGTCAAAATAATGGCTGCTATTTCCTGCTCTTGAGACCCAGCACTTCAGAACTCTATAGAGAACCACGGGACTCTGCACAATTAGCGTTCCAGCTTGTTCCAAGTCACTGCAGTTTAACTGAACTCCATGAAGCTGACAGCGTAGCCCAGAAGAGTGCATTATTTCTGAAATGTTGGGAAACAACTCTGCTCATAATGTCGGAAGCCGCAGCAGCTGCAGTTGCCAAGAGACTGAAACAAACAAACAAAAAAGAATTGTTTTTACGTATGTCCAATTTAGTGTTGACTCTTATAGCAAGCAGTAAGATGTCTGAGGAAAAGAGTCTCTAGAGTATCAGCTATTTTTGTAGAGGTGTTGTTTGCTGGTAGTCTCAATTTCTCCCTAAAAATAAAATAAAATTCTGGTACTGAGGCAATTATGTTACTCAATAAATCCACGTAGCTTGAAGCATGCTTAATCTAATGCATGCTTAGTAGACCCCCCCTTCAATTTGGACAATTGTGTTCAATAGAAAGGGGTTTGGGGCCGTTGAAGCTCCCACATGCAGTAGACCCTCAGGGTCTTTTCCAACTCTACATTTCTCTGATTCTATGAGTGAAGCTAGCTGAATGTTGACTTACTTAATTGAATTATACAGTGTGTGCATCCCATTTCTCTATGAGTTTGGGTGTTTCGGGGGGAGTTATTCTGTCTGGAGAAGTGTGTGCAAACTGAGTATGTTGAATTTCAAATTGTAAGGTTCTTGGTGTTGGTTCTCTTGTACTCTTTAAAGTGTTGTGCACATTGATGTTGCTATATAAATAACGAATAAAATCAGACAATGACCACTTCGACAGGAATATTTTGCCCGGTGTGCCGCTACCCAGTTTTGGAAGTGAACTTGTGGTTGATGATGCATGTATGCTGCAGGGCACAGTGTGGACTCTAGAGAGTCAGCCTGGGTGGATCAGCACCATGGACAGTGCTCTCTGCCGTTGCTCCTTCCAACTTTCCATTTTTGAACTGCAATCTAAAAATGGATTTTGGAAATGGCAATAGGAGCCAGTATCTTTCCCAGAGTGAATGAACTTCTTGGCTGTAATGAGTTAAGCAGTTGCCTAGGATGTTTCTTATTGCAAATGTTTGTGGCCACCCTCCCTTCTTGTGGCAACGGCCACTTGATGATATATAGCAACGCTGTGATGGCCTGGGAATCTGATTCAGAATCTGAACCTGAGGAGTCCCAGCCTGCACAGGAGTCCCCGCCTCCAGGGCCGGCTGAGCCGGGGCAGGGGCTTGAATCTGAAGGGCCTGCACCTGTGCCAGATCCTCAGGTGCAGACACCAGATGTATGCACTCTGGCTCCGGAGGTGATTGAGGACCCATTGCCGGCAGGTGCGCCTCTCCCAGCCCTGTCAGGGGAAGGTGAAGCTGCCCCTGGGTCCAGTAACCCTCCAGCCTCTCCTGAGCTGCAGAGGCTCAGGGCAGAGAGGCAGAGGGAACTGGGTTATCTCAGGAGGAGTGCTCGCCTTAAGGCCAGGAGCAGCGGGTCACCTGTGGGCCGGGACCGCCCCTGGCCTCAGAGGCGATAAAGGCCAGCCAGCCCAGTCCCAGCTTGCGGGAGCAACGACGTTGGAAATCTGTTTCTGCCAGCACCCAGACCTGTTTTTCCAGAGTTCCCAACCACGCCCGGCTTCTTGCTTTGAACCCCGCTTCGCCCTTGGTGGACAGTCTCCAGACCCTCGGCCCAGGACCAGACTCTGACCACGCCTCACGGTAACCCCCCCCCCGGGACCAGCACAAATGCCTTTATACAAAAGTTCATGATGCCTGAATGAATCTTCTTCTTTGGCGATCCCTCGTAGCTGAGTATGATTGTTTTCCATAAACACGGTTTTAACAATCAGTCCGTAAGTGACTGTGGAGGCCAGTTCTGTATCCAAACGTCCTTCCACAGTGGGGACATAGGTTTCTGGGTGGGAGTTGATAACAGTGAGGGTTTGCCAAGCGTGTCTTCCTCTAAGTGCATTTCTCCCTTTTGTCCTGAGTTTGAGCATCTTCAAAGTCCATGACACCTTTGGTTAAAGGCTGTTCTCTAATTGGCGCGCACAGGCAAGTGTTTCCCAATTGTTGGTGTTTATACTACATTTTTAAAGATTTGCCTTGAGGCAGTCTTTAAACCTCTTTTGTTGACCACCAGCATTACGCTTTCCATTTTTAAGTTCGGAATAGAGTAGTTGCTTTGGAAGACGATCATCAGGCATCCGCACAGCATGATCAGTCCAGTGAAGTTGAGGTTGAAGAATCATTGCTTCGACACTGGTGATCTTTGCTTCTTCCAGTATACTGGCATTAGTTTGGCTGTCTTCCCAAGAGATGTGTAAAAAATTTTGGAGACACCGTTGATGGAATCTTTCAAGGAGTTGGAGATGGCGTTTATAAGTGGTCCATGTTTCACAAGCATATAGTAAGGTTGGTAGTACAATAGCTTTGTAAACAAGCATTTTGGTTTCCCTGCGAATGTCTTGGTCCTCAAACACTCTGCACTTCAGTCGGGAGAAAGCTGCATTCACAGAGCTCAGGCAATGCTGGATTTCGGTATCAATGTCATCCCTTGTGGAAAGGTAGGAGAAGTGATCAACATTTTCCAACGTTACACCACTGAGTTGGATTTGTGGCACTGCAGAGGGGTTATTTTGTACTTGTTAGTGCAGCACTTTGGTTTTTTGGATGTTGAGCAATAGGCCAAGCTGTTCATAAGCTTCTGCAAATGTATTTAGGATGGCTTGGAGGTCATACTCTGAGAATTCACACATTACGTTGTCATCAGCATACTGAAGCTCTATGACTGATGCCTGAATGAATACACTAAATCTGGAGATGAAGGGGAAGACTACATATTATGACTAGTAAAGGAGATGCCAGTGTTTGCCATAACAAAAGGGTAAATTGTGGTGGTGATGTGCGCATCTTTATCACAACCAACCAGCCATGTACTTGCATCTGGAAACATTGGTGTTTCTCAAACGAACAGTAACATGGCTCAGTATGAAAGTATATGAGAAGGAATTTTCAAATGACCATCTTAAGGCACTGACTTCATTTATTAGCATTGATGAAACTAACTTGTGAATCTGATGCACTGTGTGAGGGTTCTGTCAGTGCTACCAATATGTTGGTAGCGACTTGCTAGTCCTTCATGGTGCTATTTAAATGTCAGTGGAAGGAGAGAAGAAATGATACAAACTGAATAAAAATACGTGAAGAGGCACGTGGGAGAGGGGGAAATAGAAAATAAAAGAAGTTTCTGCCTCTGGATCAGAAAATTCTGCCTAAAAGGAGGGGATGAGTCACGATACTGATAGAACCAATGTCTGTACTTGAAGCTGAGCTATGGGACTCCTTGCCACAGGGAATTAGATAGCCATACCTAATTGCTCTTCCCACCCACCACCACTTTGTGATTGGCTTTGCTTCCCGTATGTTATGGCTGGTGGGATGTGTTGATTTTTAGCCCCCTCAAGAGGGTCTTGAGGGTAGAAAGTTTGATGTAGCCCATTGTGAGCCAGATGGGTCAGTGGTATAAGGCAACATCGGATGTTCCTATGACAAACTTAATGGCAATTTATAAATGCTTTAAAAATGCCTGTGTGCTAGATATGCATGGCAAAAGATGTAAATCCCTTACTATTTTTATGGCATCTGAAATACCAAACACTCTTACAATACTGCTGTTTCACAATCTAATTCTGAATGTCTCCATAAGGGGGCCTTTGAGCCTTGCCTCCTTTCCCCAGGCTGCCTGAAACCTAAAATGATACCCATGTCCCTGTCTGCTTGGCTCTGATGATGCTGTGTGTCCTCTGAACCTATTCCTCAGGCACTCAGTTTTCACTCATTGGAGGAGGAGCCCTAATGATTCACTGTGTAATAGCTTGATTTATTGTGACTTCATACTGCTGGGCAGGACATGCATGCAGAATTGCAATCTGTAGAAGAAAACATTTGCCCAGCTTTAATTTGCCCATAGACACGTAGGTGTGTGCATTATGCTATTGTGTGATTTAAAATAGAAGCTTACTTTATTTTCCCATACATGTTCAGTCTTGATACCTATAGACAATGTTACAAGATAACACTGCAATAAATGTATCTAGCCAAGAATAGAAGTTCTCAAAAGGGCACTTCCTAGAAATCAAGGGTTTTCATAAACACACCATAAGAATTGATTACTTATTTATCATAGGTGTGCTTCTGTTCAGTTTAAGCAATGGTTTATTTTAGCTGCTTGGGTGACAAAAAGCCAGCTGTATGGATTTTTTTCCCTCCCAAGGACTCTGCATTTGAGTTGCTGACAGCAATTGCATTTCTAGGAGCTGTTTTGCTTTTGAACTGTCTTCCATCTCTTTCTCCTTTGGGCCAGATCTGTGCTGTTTGCAGAGAAATTATAGGAGGAAAAACCCTCCAGCTTGGAATGAGGGGGTGGAACCACAGTATAATCAAATTAGTACATGTGATAACCTTAAGATGTGTATCTTTGCAGTTGACTATAAGATTGAATGTGGCACATCATAGCAATCTTTGCTCATTAATAAAGCAGTTATGAAATTAGAGGCAACAGTGATGAAGGATTTTACTTTGCTTTTCCTGTACTGCAACCCTGCAGGCACTGGATAGATAACGGGATTCTCCAAAATATCACAGACATGGAAAATAGATTGGATGCACCTTCTTGCATAGATGATGCGTGATACATGCTGTGACCTGCATGAAGTCCAGTTCTTTAGCTGTTGCAGAAACCATGCATTAACAACACAGGAATGACCCAACCAAAGCTAAGCACATCACTGATTTCAGTGGAGTAGTTAAACACAAGTTCCAAGCATTCCATTTTGTATATGACTCAGATGCTAAAGTTTGGCTGCATTGAGTCTATTCCATATGGAATTACAAAGATTTGGCTAGGATTTCGTGCTTTGTACCCAAGGCCTTCTCAGTTGTAGTCTATTTACTTTCATCTAGCACAGTTGCTTGTTCCCCCTCCTCCAGTTCCTTCTGCTTAATACAAACAACTTGGTTATATAAATACTCATATAAACTTCATTGCTGTTCTTGAACAACTTCTTCTTCTTCTTCTTCTTCTTCTTTTACAAATGCATGAACTGTACACTCAGATGCCTAGTCTTCATTTCCTACTTAATCGGCAACAGTGGGTGTGTGAGTTAGAGAACTGGAGAAAAAGAACCGTTTCCAAACAATGGAAGAATTTTGAATGTCTGTCACTTTGTCTGTGTTCCATATTCTGTTTTGATAAAGTGCTTGTATGGGAGGAACTTAACAGGGCCGGCATTCTCACATACTTTTAAGATGTGCGGTGCTTTAATTTGCCCATAGACACGTAGGTGTGTGCATTATGCTATTGTGTGATTTAAAATAGAAGCTTACTTTATTTTCCCATACATGTTCAGTCTTGATACCTATAGACAATGTTACAAGACAACACTGCAATAAATGTATCTAGCCAAGAATAGAAGTTCTCAAAAGGGCACTTCCTAGAAATCAAGGGTTTTCATAAACACACCATAAGAATTCTAGGAAGCGCAGGTAATATTCAAAGTACATTAACCCTGGATTTCTGTTAAAAATGCTCAAGGCAACTTACAACACAATTAAACATTTATTTTAAAAATACCAATAAAACCTAATGCACAGATAGATGGAGGAACCAAAACTTGCTGTGAGGTTGAAACTCAACAGCTCAACAGTGCAGTTGCCTGGTGATGGTGACAGAAGGTCTTCATATAGCAATCGTATGCCATCAAAGAACTTGTGTGGTTACTGCTATGAGACATGGAGTAAGTTTTTTGCGTTATCTTTGGGCAGAGATGGCCAGTGCCAGCGGTGTTGTTGGACTCCAGTGCCCATCAGCCCAGCCCAAATGGTCAAAAGCCAAGAATAATGGGCACTGTAGGAAGTTGGGAGGGTCATGTTGATGCATGCCTCTTGGAAGAAATATTATCCAGTCCAGTTCCAGTAAGGATTCAGGCCTTGGATAGCTTTAGTCCTGATGTATAGCTTTTATTGGGAGAGGGAAAGAGTGAGTGTGAGCGTGTTGATTCTGTTTTGATACCGTTGACCATGGATTTTTCCTGGAGTGGATCAGTGGCATGGGAGTTGCAGGCCCCGTGTTGCTGTGGTTCTGCTCCTATCTTCAGGGAACCAGAGCATTTGGCAATGCTTGGTCAACCCCATGGCTTTTTGACTGTGAGATTCAGGAAGGTTCCAGTGCTGTTCAACAGCTACATTGAAGCCATTGGGAGTGGCCAGTTGGGAATTTGGAGCAAGGCGTCATCAGTATGCTGATGACATCTCTCTGTGCCAATTGAGGTACGTGCCAGTTCTGAGCCCAGTGCCTGGATGAAGTGGTAGGCTGAAAGGGAGGCAAGAATTGGAAGCTGAATCCTAGCACAATTGAGATCTTGTGGGTGGGAAGATCTCAAGTTTGTTTTCTGACACATACAAAGCTTGCTGGCAGTGAGAGAGGGTTCTCGGCTAAAAAGTGAGGTTTTTAAAGACAACTTCTTTTGTTTTAGTGGTGCCAGTTACCATCTTGCTGCAAACTCACTGTGAAACCCTTTGTTCAGATTATCCCAAGGCAGTGTTAATCTGAACATTAAAAAAACAGCTTGTGCACAATCTCTAACCTCTCCTTGCTTGACTGAACTGAGATAAATGGCTTTGAAACATTGATGCCTTGTTCTTTCTGAGGTATTATCAGTAAAATGCCTGGCTTTTTTCTTCTTCTTCTTCAAAAATAAATTCTATTCTGCATCAGTATTGCAAAACCACGTATACAGCACAAGATTGCTTCTATGTTTCTATACCCAATGGATAAATATTTTGTTTTGTTTTAAATGGGGCCATGGTGTAAGTCAGCTTTCTATCTTGGTTGGCTGAAAGCAGAATTTATTTTCCAAAATGAAGGCTGTCTATTGTTTCTTTATCCCATTCTGTTTCTATGCCATTCTAAAGTAATGGCAGTAGGAACGACCATGAACAGCTCACTTGTATGAATTTAGAAAATCTGAAACATTTTATTAGTCAGACTGTCTGACTAATAAAAAGTTTGAAGAAAAATGAGCTAATAGTATTCCCTACACATACACCAGAAATTGGGAGCATGTGCATGTTCCATATTGGGAATAAGTTATGCAGGTTCACCTTCTCCTGGTATTACATGAGACTTCCACATCCCCGAATGTTCAAAGGTGATAGGTTTATAATTTTCTCTTTGCCTATCCTGGGCCTAAAGTTTGCTATTCTGGTCCAATTGCATGAATAAGCCACCTGGGACGGTATTTGAGCTGCAGATGAAAAATGCCGCTTTTGTGAACTTGCATGTGCTGCTTGAGATGAAGGAATAGCAGAGAATCAGATGCGATGGAAAGAAGGGAGTGACAGCAGATGGTTTCAGGAGCCTCTCTACATCTGGGAGGTATGTGATGCATGTGCATCAGCTGCGCACAACTTGTGCACCTGTGTAGAGTCCCAAGATGCTACCAACATTATGCCTACGCCAATTCCGCAGCCGTGGCCATTTGTTGTTGCTCATAGAGCTGTGCATGCTCAAATACAGAGTGGTCAAAGCTACACAGGGAGCGTAAACTTGGAAGTTCCACATCACTCTTCCTTTCTTTTCCAATAGCCCTTAAACCTGCAGAACAGATTACAGCGAGAGCTTATCTGTCCCTGTTTTCATAGAATAGAATAGAATCATAGAATAGAATCATAGAGTTGGAAGAGACCACAAGGGCCATCGAGTCCAACCCCCTGCCAAGCAGGAAACACCATCAGAGCACTCCTGACATATGGTTGTCAAGCCTCTGCTTAAAGACCTCCAAAGAAGGAGACTCCACCACACTCCTTGGCAGCAAATTCCACTGTCGAACAGCTCTTACTGTCAGGAAGTTCTTCCTAATGTTTAGGTGGAATCTTCTTTCTTGTAGTTTGGATCCATTGCTCCGTGTCCGCTTCTCTGGAGCAGCAGAAAACAACCTTTCTCCCTCCTCTATGTGACATCCTTTTATATATTTGAACATGGCTATCATATCACCCCTTAACCTCCTCTTCTCCAGGCTAAACATGCCCAGCTCTCTTAGCTGTTCCTCATAAGGCATCGTTTCCAGGCCTTTGACCATTTTGGTTGCCCTCCTCTGGACACGTTCCAGTTTGTCAGTGTCCTTCTTGAACTGTGGTGCCCAGAACTGGACACAGTACTCCAGGTGAGGTCTGACCAGAGCAGAATACAGTGGCACTATTACTTCCCTTGATCTAGATGCTATACTCCTATTGATGCAGCCCAGAACTGCATTGGCTTTTTAGCTGCCGCGTCACACTGTTGGCTCATGTCAAGTTTGTGGTCAACCAAGACTCCTAGATCCTTTTCACATGTACTGCTCTCAAGCCAGGTGTCCCCATCTTGTATTTGTGCCTCTCATTTTTTTGCCCAAGTGCAATACTTTACATTTCTCCCTGTTAAAATTCATCTTGTTTGTTTTGGCCCAGTTCTCTAATCTGTCAAGGTCGTTTTGAAGTGTGATCCTGTCCTCTGGGGTGTTAGCCACCCCTCCCAGTTTGGTGTCATCTGCAAATTTGATCAGGATGCCCTTGAGTTCATCATCCAAGTCGTTGATAAAGATGTTGAATAAGACCGGGCCCAAGACAGAACCCTGTGGCACCCCACTAGTCACTCTTCTCCAGGATGAAGAGGAACCATTGATGAGCACCCTTTGGGTTCGGTCAGCCAGCCAGTTACAAATCCACTGAGTGGTAGCATAGTCAAGACCACATTTTACCAGCTTCTTTACAAGAATATCATGAGGCACCTTGTCAAATGCCTTGCTGAAATCAAGGTAGGCTACATCCACTGCGTTTTGCAGATCTAGAGTCTACTGAAGAACCAAGGGACCGTTTTCTTCTTTCTTGTGTGTATACATGCTGATGTACAGTGACACACCACATTGTCTTAAGGTTTGGAAACCAGAAGTTTCAGCAAGGCAGTTGTGAGTCAAGGACCCTCCACCCGCTTAGGATAAATAAGACACAAGACACATGTATTTTAGGTTAATGGGCTAAATAAGGCCACAACTTTATTGATTATAGTATGTGAGAGGTATTGTCTTAGGCATTGGATCAACAATCAACAATATGACCCCACCCCGTGCAGCAGGGAGTCGTTTAAAGGTTAACACCCAGTGGGAGGAGCTTGTTGATACAAATACAACTGGAAGCTTCCCCTGATGTCACCGGTGGTCTAGCCACCAGCGGAGCATCGGACAGGATCCACAACCTCCGGATTCCTTTAACGGAATACCCAACAAGGGGAGGGGTAGGTGATGGCCACGACCTGCCCTCCAACACGCGACAGATATTCCAATGCCTAACCACCAATACCTGAAAAGTTGTGACGATTTGTTACCAGGTAGGCGAAAAACCAAGAGGCTTGTGCCAATTTGCCAAATGGATAAAAATTCCTACCAGGTCCCCTGGTCAACCAGGGCAACCAACCCTGTTCCATAGCAAGGTCAAAAGGCAAGAATTATGACCTGGGGAGGGTGGGCGGGTGATCTGAAGGTACCAGGCAGCAGAGTGAAGACACAAGGCTGCGGCGTCTGCTTGACTGCAGCTCAACCCTGCCCTATTGGCTGGCCTGATGGGTGGGGCGCAGCAGCCAGGACAGTGATACAGGGGGCCGACTATGCCCCGCTGCTGACGTGGGACTGGTTCCCGCTCACAACACCTCCCCTCTGTGAGGAGGAGAGGCCTTGCACAGTATCAGACGTCTTCTGCCAACACACTCCTCCTCCTTGGTCCTTGCACTCTCCAGGGTCTCTTTGCATATCTTCCATTCACCTGTAGCAGCATCACATCAGCCCCAAAGGACTGCCTGTTCTTTCTGACTCTCTGGCTTTCCCCAGATTTATAGGGCTGTCCAGGAGGATCTGGGTGGAAATTTTAACCCCATCTTTCTTGGCCGTTTGCAGCTGCCTTACCTTTGCTGATTGTAAGAGGTGGGTGAGGGGATTCGCTCCCATTTTGTGCCCTTGCTGGCCTCAGCTATGCTATATTTGCTAGAACACACCCATGGAAATGGCATTACCTGGCACACTTTTTTTAGGACATGCCAGGAAGATGCTGTGGGATTGGGAAGAACTAGAACCACCTGGCTCTTTTTAAAAGTCATAATCACGATGATTTCAAAATGCCAGCAGGAAAGCTGTTCGAGGTAAATCGTGAGCTGACTCGTCTTGTTTATAAGGATGTCTAGGAAGAAAAATAAGGCATTGCTGTGTAAGAAGATATTGTCTGTCTTGAGTCGAGTTGCTGGGGAAGAGGAAAAGGCTTGAAGAGAACGCATGAGCGGCTCGCTCGGTTCGCCCTTCTATAAATAATTAAGATACACCAACCTTCCAGAGGGTATAAATAAAACAGTGTCACTGTGTATGTGATCTATGAGACACCCAGGAAAATGGGTCACCAAATCAATGAAATATGACAGACTGTTCTCACTCAATTTGGAAAGCATTCTAGCAGCTCTGCAGCTAATTAGTTGCCGTTATTTTAGTTAATTTCAGTCGCATAAGGACTTCACGTGATGCACACGTTCTGTAAACCTTGGCCATAAGAGTCAGTCTGTGTACCTTTTGCTTAATATTTATAAAATCCAAGTCTAAAAACAGTCTATCCTTCAAGCCCTGCACTTACATGGTCCACTGCGGCTGGATCTAGACGCATTAAAAAAACGTTTGAGGAAAACGCGTTGTAAACCTCATCATGGGAAATCATGTTGCCCAAAGATGGAACTCCACAGTGCCATCTGGTGTCACAGTTTTATAACACATTTAAATTGTGTGGTTTTTTGTGTGTTTTTTTAAACTAATGTAGCTGAGCCCCCAGGTTCAGTATTTGATCCACCTGAGAAGGAATTTCTGAACTCTTGACGCATTCCTACATTCTGTCTTGATTTCTGGCTTGCTCTGCTGTACTCTGTGGTTCTGGCTCCATGTTCTTGACTGCTGACATTTCACGTCTCCTAGTTCCCGACTCCTGTGACCTGACGTGATAATCCAGGCAGGAGATAGATTAAGAGCTCTTAAAATATACATGTAGGTAAACCCTAGGGATTTAAGGGTCAATTTTAATTTCATTTTTTTTAAAAAAATTAAAATTATATTTACAACCTGCTTTTCTTAACTGAAGGTAGCCCCTAAGCAGTAAATGCTGTAATGTCAAAAATAAAAGCAGACAATATGTAACAGTACGTGATAACCAGGAAGCAATTTAGTGGGTTCACATGTTGCTCATGATGCTAATTTTCTTTCCATGTAGATTTTGCAAAACATTCTTCAGAAATGGAATGTTCAAACGTGAATTTCTTTTCGCAGTGAGGGAAGAGGAGTCTTGGTAGAAACTTGAAAGAGTCAGTCAGATTCTGTTTCCCTTTTTAAACAATTTCCACCGCTAGGAAGCTTGCAAGCGAAACGTATTTTCCTGAAAATATGACGGTGGTTTATTTTGTTTCTGTTTGCACAAGCTGGCTTCCAACTGTGTGCATTGTCTGTTTCTCTAAATGCAGTATTATGACCTCTGATACATAGTGAACTGGTAGCTCAGCGTAAAGATCTAAAGGTCAGAAACAGGTCAGAGTTTTCAAGCTCCTCAACCTCAATCGCATCCGTTTAAGTCCGTGGCTGCCTCTTAAACGCTTGCAGCCATCTCTTCCTGTGCTTAATCTTAGTAGCATGAAATGATTAGAAAGCTATTGTCATTCATTGGGATGCTGCATATACGTTGCCATATTGTCAGATATATTAAACTTAGTAAATGTATACTGCATGCGCACATTCAATAGGATTTTGTCCACATTCATATCATTTATGAAGAAAGCTTAATAGCAAAAGGCAAACCTTTAAAATGAGGAAGGAGGGGAGCCAGAAAGCTGTGGTTTGAATTTCTCCATCTTAATGTTCACTTTTGAAACAGGTGATGTTTTAACTGATGTGTTTGACTTGTGGAACAATGCAAGTTTTGCTTTTTCTCTCACTCGCTGATAATGTATGGAGTAAATTCCATTGTTGAGAGCAGCGGTAGATTTTGCAGCATAATTTGTGGGCCTGCCCAGCTCTCCAAGGCTTCTTTATTTCAGGCTCCCAGACTCAAGTAGATGAGGTTAAGCTGCCCCATGGCATGAGATGGAAATTGGGTTTGCATATTCTCTGAAGCGGCTTTTGGCAATGAAAAGAATTCCCTACTGGGTGCAATGGGGGATTTCCCCTTATTGCACATAGCAACTTTAGAGGAAGGGTTTTCCTCAGGATCCATGCTATGGTTAAAGTAACTCACTCACCGCACCATAACCATCAATTCCCACCCTTACCAGATGCTATTTGCATTGTTTAAAACCTGCATGACAAAAGGGAAGGAACGTTTTAATCTTATATCTCGCTTGTTCTATATACTTTCTGGTTCAGGACTGTAAACCTCCCTTTTGATCCACAATCTCTACATATAAAAAGGCTACCAATGAGAATCGTATAGAATTGTTTACAAAATTGCACTTAACTATGGGCGAAGATGACTGAAAGTTCATGCTTTCCTTTTTGGTCCTGTGAGTTATAGTGGAATTAACTCTCCAGTAGTGCAAATGATTAAGTGGATACAGAAGATACTGCCAGAGAAGTGTGCAAAGCACACTTTATGATTATTTAATTCAACTGAGACACAGATGGTTAGATTTGTTGTGCTGTATACAAAGCACGCATAGCTCTTAAAAGGGCTAGCTCATCATCATCACCATCTCATTTATTCGTCATGTAACCAAGATCAGAATCACACTCTGCTTCAAAGGACAGCATTCTAGACCAAATCCTCTTCAGCCTTCAGCTGAGTTTATCAGTTGTAATGTCAAGTGCAATAGACTCGAAAGGGTGAGTGTATTTTTAATCAAGCAAAGGCCGCTGATACAGACTTGAAGGAATTGATGCAGATGCATTAAAAAGACAACAGGAAAGACTACAAAGCAACTTCCCAAGTATAGAAGTACTTGGATATGAAGCCAACCTCTTAACATGCCACAGATCCTTTGATCATTTGTTGTATGGACATTTCCTCCAGTCAAAGTGAGAATAGGACTGTTTGCCTATGTGAATAACCCCAAGGTGAAATTGCTGACCTGCATCACACCAAATTAACAGTCTCTGAAACCACCTTAGGAGCCCAAGTTATGTATACAGAACCTGAGAGGTCTATGAGTGATCCACCTGCAGAACAGAAGGAGCCCATCACGTGTGCAGGAGATTTTCCTCAGGACCATTGCAGAAGAGGAAATGGTTGAACTTCCCCTCCAGGCCTTCTGCAGTGGCATGTTTTCTCTCCACCCCTCTCTGTTTAAAAGCAAAGATGCATGTTTAATGCAGAGAAGCATTTTAATGTTATGTCATGTTTGGCCCTATATATTTATTTTTCAGGATTTCATGCATCCCTTTTCTATAAGAGATATAATGCTAAATTATTAAACATGTTACCTCCCACAAGAATGCAAACTGTTCTATATTTTGGAAAGTTGTTTGGCCATTCACCTGTTCTCTTTGAATTCAGACATCTCTTAAGGTACTGACACAAAATTTGGCACAAAAGTTCCTAAGATTGAGGAGCAGTTTTTCCATGTATGTTTGGGTGCCATTGAATCCCATTAGAATTACAATTTCACACCAGACATTTTTCAAAACTACACTGTTTTGGACACATCTGAAGATATTGTAACTGCTATGCCCCCTCTGGAGGAATCCTCTTGAGAGAAGTACCTGCTGCTCCACAAAGTAAGTGTTATGAAGGAGTGGGTTGCACATGGAGATGGAGAAGGGGATTTGGGATCTCCAGGGGTTATGACACCCCTGAAAGAACACCACTTAACTTCCACTTCTTAATTCCTGTGCATGCTCAGATATAATTTATCACATTGTGGTATTTTGGGATTTGACAAATGGTAGGTTTCTGGGTCCGGCCTTGGTGCAAGTCAATGCAGCATTGCATTTTATGAAGAAGAATTTTAGAAGTTCTTACAGCTGGAGTTTGGCATTGGAGAGCACTTGCTAAATGGAACTAAGAATCTTGAAGCTCCTAGAACTAGAATGTGTTTGCATTGCAGTGCCGTCCATTATTCCATAATGAACCATAATGGCAGTGGTCCATGTTCCCATTATATGTTCCTGAGAGCTTCTGAGTTTAGAGTAGTTTGCCAGAGTTTTTCGAAGCTGAGCTTTCAAACAGTTGCAAACAGTTCCAAGAAATGATGGCTTGCTCCTGTCTCCTCTATAGAGCAGTTTCATTAAGCTCTCGCCATTTGACTGTCAGCCGTATAAGGAGCATTTCAGGAGCTGTGCTATTCTCATTGCTGCTCAAGATACCCAAACTTTATTCTGTGTCGTTGCTGCTACTCTCTGAGCCACAAATTATTTAGAAGGAATCATTCTGCTGCCAGCCTTTGTTACATCAAGCAGGACTCAGCTCTTATTAGCATTTTCCACTAGTAAAAATAATAATCCCTGAAGCTATGGTGATTCACTCACTTGTTACCTTTAAGATCCCAGCTGATAATTAGTCTAATAGAAGTGTTTGGATGTCAAGGGATCAGGGGTCACAAGTGGAATTGCTTGGTAAAGCCTGTGCAGAATGTCAAACCACCATTGACAATATGAGGAGCAGCTAAAAAAATTAATGAGCAAGAAATGTGTTCTAGTGTAATCTATGTTTAGCTAGTATTGGTCTCCACTTCTCAAATGGTGTCCAGTGAGATGTTCCATAACAACTACCTGTTCATTAGTGAGCTACGTGAATTCAGAAAGAGTTGCGTGGTCATTTTCCTCTTTTCCAGCCGGTTGCACAGCAGTGATAGCAATGTTTGTTTTGGAATGTAGCATGGGTAGAATAGTTAGTCATGAAGAGAACTATACGCTGCTGCTATGGTGCTTGATTAGATCAGCACCAGCTGCCAATGGACAGCGTCCAACATTCACTTGGGAGATCAGAGCCTGCTATTCTTCTGCAAATGAAGCTCTTTTATTTTTATTATTTTCTGCTAATGTGTCCTATTGGGAGGGGGAAATGATGTTCCTTCAATATTTAAAGGCTTAGTCCTTTCTCAGAGGCATCAGCCTGGTATATGAAATGGAAATGGGGGATTGCTACAGCTGTTGGCCTCCAACTTTCAGCAGTCTCAGCCTTTTGGCCAAGTTTGCTGATGGCTCTGGATGAGTCTCACTTTTGGCTGTTAGGTGTAAAAGTAGGCAAGAGCTTTACTAAATATAATTAACACAGAGAAAAAGAACGGAGGGTGTGCAGGTACAGAAGTTCAATACCCCAAAGTAGAATTGCACAGAAAAACCAGCCTGGCTCAATAGCCACAAAGCCCCCTCTCCAATTTCAAGACAGATAATAATTTTATTATTTATACCCTGTTGTTTGAAGGAATGCAAGTGGCGCTGTGGGTTAAACCACAGAGCCTAGGACTTGCTGATCAGAAGGTCGGTGGTTCGAATCCCCGTTACGGGGTGAGCTCCCGTTGCTCGATCCCTGCTCCTGCCAACCTAGCAGTTCGAAAGCACGTCAAAGTGCAAGTAGACAAATAGGTACCGCTCCAGTGGGAAGGTAAACGGCGTTTCCGTGCGCTGCTCTGGTTCGCTGACCATTAGGTCCAGTCGTGACCGACTCCGGGGTTGCGGCGCTCATCTCGCTTTACTGGCCGAGGGAGCCGGCGTACAGCTTCCGGGTCATGTGGCCAGCATGACTTAGCCGCTTCTGGCGAACCAGAGCAGCTCACGGAAACGGCGTTTACCTTCCCGCTGGAGTGGTACCTATTTATCTACTTGCACTTTGACGTGCTTTTGAACTGCTAGGTGGGCAGGAGCAGGGACCGAGCAATGGGAGCTCACCCCGTCGCGGGATTCGAACCGCTGACCTTCTGATCTGTGGTTTAGACCACAGCGCTACCCCGACCCCAAGTCAACCCTGTACAGACCTTATAGAGGCTGATTTCTTGCTTGAAATCTTACAATGCCTACTAAGCTACACTTGCAGTCATGAGAGCCTCAAGCCAGCCTGGCCCTGAGCCCAGAAATGAGGCACCAGAAAGTGCCACCTCCTTCCTTCTCCCACAATTGCTGCCCAACCTGCAGGCTATGCGGCAAGGGAGAGGTGTTCCTCTTAGCCAGTGGTTTCTGTGCTTAAACTAGAATTTGCACAATGCTTCTTGCATTGTGCATCATTATCCCATTTACACTCATTTTGGCACCCTGTAAATCTGGACTGCTTTGCAATACCGGTGCCAATAGAAAGTACAAGCTCTGGTTGTGCTTTGCTCCCTGTTGAGTTTCCCACATGCTATTCCGGTGGGGGTGATGCTATCTTGATTGTGTGTGGGGACTGCAATAATAATAATAATAATAATAATTTATTAATTATACCCCGCCCATCTGGCTGAATTTCCCCCAGCCACTCTTGGCGGCTCCCAATCGAGTGTTAAAAACAATACAGCATTAAATATTAAAAGCCTCCCTAAATGGGGCTGCCTTCAGGTGTCTTTTAAAAATAGTATAGGTGTTTATTTCCTTGACATTTGGTGGGAGGGCATTCCACAGGGCGGGCGCCACTACTGAGAAGGCCCTCTGTCTGGTTCCCTGTAACCTCACTTCTCGCAATGAGGGAACCGCCAGAAGGCCCTCAGAGGAGGACCTCAGTGTCCGGGTAGAACGATGGGGGTGGAGACGATCCTTCAGGAATACTGGGCCGAGGCTGTTCAGGGGCCCTCGCCTGTTTTAACGTTTGCCGGCAATTCACTTGTGACAGAAATACTGCGGCAATAAAACATAAATTTTAAACAAGGAAATCCAAGCAACAACATATATACAAATTCGAATACATTTTTGCATTTGCTCCTATCAAGTAGCTTTTACAGAATCATAGCTCTATTTTGTGGCTTGCATTTTTTTTTTCCAAAAGAAAGAAAGAAAAGCTTGACTTATCCTATGTTCAGCTATCTGATTTCCAGTAGCCACTATACTTTTTGTCCAAATATATGTCTCCCCACCCCAAGGTAGTTAATTACACAGGGGTGCTTTTATGCTTTATAATTTTCTAATGCTCTATAATTGAATTCCCACTGAAGCTTTGCAGAAAGTCAAATTAATTGTTGGCATAATGAAAAATGTGTTAAATATAAAGGAAGGTGCAGTGTACCAAAACATGTTTATTAAATGCCTCGGTTTTGAGCGCTGTGGAAATGCTAAAGGATGATGTGAATCACAAGAAAAAAAGAACAGTAAGAGGGGAATATGTGCAGGTCGAACAATGTATCTCCCCCTGTGTGTTCCTATGTATGGAATCCTGGTATTGCTTGAGCAAGTAATCCATGAATAGAGACCAATGTGATTACTACTGCCATATCGTAGTGTTGACTTTGTCTTTACTCGTAGCTTCCCAGAAAACCTGAAGTTTATTTAACAGATAGTACCTGTACTTCTGGAAAATAGAAGGGGAAGAAATTGAGGCAGTGAGAGATATTTCTTTCTTGGGCTCCATGAGCACTGCAGATGGTGCATGAAATTAAAAGATGCTTGCTTCTTGGGAGAAAAGCAATGACAAACCTAGACAGCATCTTAAAAAGCAGAGACATCACCTTGCCGACAAAGGTCCGTATAGTTAAAGCCATGGTTTTCCCAGTAGTGGTGTATGGAAGTGAGAGCTGGACCATAAAGAAGGCTGATCGCCGAAGAATTGATGCTTTTGAATTATGGTGCTGGAGGAGACTCTTGAGAGTCCCATGGACTGCAAGAAGATCAAACCTATCCATTCTTAAGGAAATCAGCCCTGGGTGCTCACTGGAAGGACAGACCCTGAAACTGTGGCTCCAGTACTTTGGCCACCTCATGAGAAGAGAAAACTCCCTGGAAAAGACCCTGATGTTGGGAAGGATTGAGGGCACAAGGAGAAGGGGACAACAGAGGACAAGATGGTTGGACAGTGTTCTCGAAGCTACCAGCATGAGTTTGACCAAACTGCGGGAGGCAGTGGAAGACAGGAGTGCCTGGCATGCTGTGGTCCATGGAGTCACGAAAAGTCGGACATGACTAAACGAGTAAACAGCAGCAACCTGTACTTCTGCTCTGGTGTCGCAGACCCTGCATGATAACTGCCCTGTAGCTAGCTGTCAGGGGTTCTGGGACAGAGGCACAGGGTAGGCAGGAGATGGAGAGCGATGGGGAGGAATCCCAGGACAGCGAGGAAGAGGATGACAATGACTCAAGAGATTCCATGAGTCTTTCCAGCGAATCAGAGGATTCCCAGAAGGGGGCGCCGGTGGTCAAGCCCAGGGGAGCCCCAGGGGGGACGTGTCAGGAGCAGGGGGCCAGCTGGGCATCCCAAAGTGGCAGCTGGGTGTCAGGACCAGCCTCCCCGCCAGAGTGCAGCGAGGGGGTGGAAGTTTCAGTGTGTCAGGGAAGCGGCTCCGGCAGTAGAGAAAGGAGGGAGGTCGGAGCAAGCCATCCTCCCGGAAGGGAGGGAGCAGTGAAGGGAGTAGTGTAGCTGTTGAAAGGAAGGTTAGAGGCTGGGCGCGCGCCAAGTTCAAATGTAGAGGCGCGCGGAAGTACAGGGAGCCCGGAGGAGGGGCCAGGTCCCAAAGCCCCCAGGAGGGGGGAAGAGCAGTCTGATTCCGCGTCAGAGGAATCCAGGAGGGGCGAAACCCCAGCGGGCAGAAGGACCCTGCGGAAAAGGAAAGAGAGAAAGAGGTGGAGCAGCGCAAGTCTCTTAAATTGGTGCAGGGAGGGACGGATTCAGAGGGGACTTCAGCGGTCTAAGCGTAGCAGACGTAGGGCTGCGCGCCTAGGATGTCAAGCAAACAATGAACTGCAATAAACACTTTTGTATATAAGAAGACATAGGCGTTGGTCTTTTGTGAGCTGAGACTTGAGGCAGCCCTGACACTAGCTATCAGAGTGGGACACCCATCACAGAATTGTGGAGTTGGAAGAGACCGTTGAGGAAGGGGGAGTAACAAAGTTGAACCATGATTGACAAAGCTGAAGCATCAGTGGGGACAGGATCTGGGGACCCACCCACGGTATCATTGCTGGTTCCCATGGTATTATTGCTGGTTCAGACAGTCTGGTAGTCCCAAATCAGCATCCTCGTTCATTAAATTCCCATTCCTGCAGGTACAAAGAAATGGGCTAAAACCAGTTCTACTTATCGTGAAATTCCCATGCTAAACACAGCATGACAGCTGTGTTTTATGTATTATGGTCACAACGTGCTTAAGTTAAGCCTCCTTCCTTTGGGGCTTAGCTATTGCTTGTTTAGGGATTGTATGATGCTGACAGCCGTTTTGTCCTGCAAATGGTGTCAATATATAGGAATTGGTTTTGATTCAAAAGCTGAACAGGCTTGATTGGCCTTGTAAACTGCCTAGAGAGGGGAGTGACTGACAGAGCCACATTTTAGCTGTTGTGTGTGCCCTTTGTAAGAATGAAGTATGACTGTTAAAATAAATAAATACATGACCTATTCAGGTTGAGTTCAAAGGTCAGCTGAGATCAAAACGATCAAGTCACACATAACAGGCCTAGATTTCCTGCTTGAAGTAGATTTGTAGGCAGAGAACTAACTTCCATGAAATGAAATCTTACAGATGAATGCTGCCACATAGAACTGACAATCAAAATGAAAAAGGGAGCTTGACCTGCATCCCAGTTAACATTTACAACAAATCCAGCATGTTGTTATACAACAGAAGGTTGTATCTGCCAAGCAAATAAAACTGCATATTAACACTCCTACCACAACCAGAAAAGAGGTGAGGAGAGGGGAGCGATATCTCTGTTCATGAATTTAATGCAACGGGTTTTTACTATATGAGCTTGGTGGCTAACTGCAATTTGATTTGTTCTCCAATTAAAGATGCACATTCGTTAAATATATGCAAATAAAATAGTTTATTTGTTTTAATAGATGATGCATGTGACGAGCCTCTTGTGTGTCAATGAGACCAAAGACAGAAGCTTCTTCTAAGATGCTACTAGCAAGGATTTGTATTTTAAAACAGAGGCAATATTTTTTTAATTGATCAAAAGGTTTCAAATTAATTTTAATTGACTAAATTCTGCAGCTCTAGTAAAAAACAAACATTAAAGCCCTTTGGTGTCTTCTGCTGAACTGAACCAAGTTACACACTACACTTATGGGATTACTCTGGAATGAATTGGAGTAAAGTGGTTTAAAGATGCAATTATAGAGACAATTAATGATTGGGGCTATCAGGGAGATGGTAGGATATATAAGGCACAGGATGCATTACATAGGGAAACAAGAGTTATATCCTGTTGGGTCCTGTACCCAAATTCTTAGGCTGGTGCCCGGCAGGCTTTCTGGCAAACCTTAAAAAGATTATGTCCAAAGTATGGCTGCTACATACATATGGCAATTTGTGTGTGTTGCAGAGCATTGGACTAGGTGTCCCTTCCAATTCTACAATTCTATGGAAAATGTAGGGTAAGATCTGTTGTCTGTACAGAGCAGGGTAGAAGGCTCTGTTTTTAGGTGGCAGAAGTGAAGCGAACTCCATTTCTGCAACAACTGGATGGTTTCTGCATTGCATGGCAGTTAAGGGGCAGGGTTTGCTGTACAACAACAACAACAACAACAACAATAACAATAATAATAATTTATTATTTATACCCCGCCCATCTGGCTGGGTTTCTCCAGCCACTCTGGGCGGCTTCCAACAAAATATTAAAATACAATAGTGCGTCAAACATTAAAAGCTTCCCTAAACAGGGCTGCCTTCAGATGTCTTCTGAAAGTCTGGTAGTTGTTTTTCTCTTTGACATCTGTTGGGAGGGCGTTCCACAGGGCTGGTGCCATTACTGAGGAGGCCCTCTGCCTGATTCCCTGTAACTTGGCTTCTCGCAGTGAGGGAACCGCCAGAAGGCCCTTGGAGCCAGACCTCAATGTCCAGGAGGAACGATGGGGGTGGAGACGCTCCTTTAGGTCTACTGGACTGAGGCCGTTTCGGGCTTTAAAGGTCAGCCCCAACACTTTGAATTGTGCCCAGAAATGCGCTGGGAGCCAATGTAGATCTTTCAAGACCGGTGTTATGTGCAAATGCTGACTATAAAGCTCTCTGAGGTAGCAGCTTTCCAGTCTCTACATCCCCAGCCTAGAATGCTCCAGATGTTTTGGTGCAACAGATCAGTACAGTAGACTTACTGTTCTGGAAGGCATGTGAAAGTTATTCCTTCTTACCTCATGCACGCCCGCCACTCATTGCATAGCAGCCTTCCGCAACATAATGTCCTCCAAATGTCTTGGACCACAGCTCTCGCCATCCTTGACCTCTGGCCAAGCTGGCTGGGGCTGATGGGAATTTGAGTCCAACAAAACCGAGCAGCATCTTGCTGGGAAAAACTCTTCTGCATTGATTACAGAATCGATGCCTGTTGCTGCCTCCACTGCACACGAAGTCAGTCTTGCTATGTTTAGCACCTGCTCAAGCCAGGGCCTATGTGGGGACGAGGTATGGAGAACTTTTGTATTTTAATTTCATTTAATAATTGTGTTGGCCATCATCTAAAACAGTGTTATCCTCTCTGTGGCTTACAACGTACCAATAACATTGCATACCCTCCAACGTTTCTCTAACCTTTAAAGCCTTATATGGCCTAGGATGCTCGTACCTATGGGACCGCCTCTCCTGGTATGTCCCATGGAGGACCTTACAGTCTTCAAATAAAAACATCTTGGAGATCCTGGGCCACAGGGAGGTTAGGCTGGCCTCAATCAGAGCCAGGGCTTTTTCGGCCATGGATCCGATCTGGTGGGACGCTCTGTCACAAGAGACTAGGGCCCTGTGGGACCTGACATCTTTCCGCAGGGCCTGCAAGACAGAGCTGTTCCACCAGGCCTTTGGCCAAGGCACAGTCTGACCTCCCCTCTCCTTCTGTAATCCTCATAGAACTCTAGCCCAATGGTTGCCATTAATTTGATTCTGAACTGATTTTAGAATGTATTTCAATTAATTGACTGTGATTTTATGTAAACTGCTATTTTTACTGTTGTTAGCCGCTCTGAGCCCAGCTTTGGCTGGGGAGGGCGGAATATAAACAAAATATTATTAATGAAAGTAGGGACATCCTAAGGAAAAATGGGGCATTCTGGGATCAAATCAGAAACCGGGACGGCTTCTGTAAATCCAGGACTGTCCCTGCAAAATAGGGACACTTGGAGGGTCTGGGACACCATGTTGACTGCCCTTGCTCTAAAGGATGTCACTCTGAGCTTCCATCTTTGTAGCATGAATATCTGTAAGCCAAATGGCGATTTTTATTTTGGTGTATTCCCTCATTAGGAACAGTTCAGACAGAAACACCCAAGGACATTGGACCCTGGATCTCCTGCTTCCTGCTAAAAACAACAACAACCCAAAACCTTAAAAAACTTGCTTGCAGGGTTGGTGAGAGATCCCTTGTGATCTCGTGGTCACCATGTTGGACTAGAAGCTGGGAGACCAGGACTGAAATCCTCACTTAGCCATGAAACTCACTGGGTGCCCTTGGACCTCTTCTCAGGCCAGCTTCCCTCACAGGGTTATTGTAATGATATTATGCAGAAAGGAGAACCCAGTATGACTCCTTGAACTTCTTGGAGAAAAGATGGCATATACAAGCAGTAATAAAACAATACAGCGCTGTGGTGGCAATAGCAGAAGATGCCTTGCATAACGAATCTCCATATTTATTGCTGCTGCTCCAGGGAGGCTAGCAGGATCTGTGTGGGCGGCACAGCAGTTGTTATGGCAAAACAGCAGCCGTAGCTCCAAACCCCAGTTTGATAAAGGCCTAGAGGCCACATGCCCACATAATGTAAGACAGCCGAGAGTTTCAAACTGCAGACTCTAGGACCCAGACCCAGGCATCTTGCTCTTTGCAACACTGTCCTCCTAATTGGACCATCTTCGCTTGGTGAATAAGCAGTTCCTCACATCTCCAGACTCTCTCAAAAGCAAGCATGGAAAGCAAATTAGCCTACATATCCTCAACGTGTAAAAATACAGTGTTTGTGCGGGGGGCGGGGGAGAACGAGGCTGAAAGTGTAGGCTTTTAGAGATGGTTTGTCTTCTTCTGAAAAATCTATCATGCTTCTGCAGGTGACAGATCCTTTCACAGCATGCGGTTTTGCTTGTAAGCAGGGCTTCAGAAATTGTGCACAATTTGTATGGCATGTGAAAGATAAGAGCGAAAGAGATTTATTTTTTTCCAAATATATTGTCAGTCAGTTTATTTAGAGTTCTGAGTGCTGGTTAGCAGGCACAAGAGAGCCTTTCTGGCAGCAGTTTGGAAATTTCTTCCTGTGTGTGCTTTAAGTGTTTAACTGGCTATAAGGCTTTAAAAACTTTTCAGGTCACTTATTATGCTGGCTTGATTAGCATACTTCCAGGGGCATCTTATCCAAGTCTGCATCTGTATTGAACTATATTTATTATTATATTTAATAGTATCATATATTTATTATAATATTTAATAATATATCTTCTATTCTATTTCTACTACTGCTACTACTACCACTACTACTATATTTAACTGTTTTATAGGTGGAATTATTTTTAAATGCTTATATTGTTTTTATATATGGAATTGTTTTCTATATGGAACTTTTTTTAAAAAAATAGTTTTTACACTTGTTTTATAGTTGTCACTATTTCATCAGTTTGAGAATGTGTGTTCTGTTGTTGCAACTCACACTGGGACTTTCTGGTAAAGGGAGGTTCAGAAATCTAATATAAATAAATGGTTGTAGGGGAAATCTGGCTGCCCCACAAACATGGCAGACTATTGAAAACTTAAGTCCTGTCTCATTTATCCCCCCCACCATGGACGTTGAAAGGTTGAAAGATTTCACCAGTCCTCCAAGGACTGTGGTTTCCTTTTCCTTCTGATCTGCTCCCAACCCCTACACAATGTGCCCCCAACGTTCTGTCGGGAATTTCAGCCCAGCCCAGCTTGTGAGCACCCTCTGATTCACTGGGAAGTATAATGCTGGTTCACCAAGTTTTATTCATTCATTCATTGTTGCATTTATATACCACTGTCTTCCTCCCATGAGTTCAAGGTGGTATACTTGACTCGCCTCACTTAGTCCCCACAGCAACCCCAAGATGCAGAGACTGGCTCAAGGTCACTCTGTGAACTTTGACCAGGGTCCAGTGGGGATCTGAACCCGCGTCTCCCAGCTCCTGGCTCTTAATGGCTGTGTATATGCCACCTTATTTTCTAGCTCTAACCAACACTGGACAAAACTGAATAGTAACTGGACTTTCAGGAAGAGATTCCTGTTGAATTTTTAGACTGCTCACACCTCACTTTTCTTCTGTTTTGTTGCTAGGCAACCTTGACTTTCCTGGTTGTGACAGTGAATACCAACTGCTGTTTTGCTTGATTCTTCCTCTCTCCTCTCTCTCTCCTCCCTTTTTTAACCGAGGAAGCTGTCTGTGGCATAATGTCAGATGCTCTTTTCCACATATCAAGATTTACAAAGCCAAACTGCGCTCAGGGGTTTTGTTCCCCCCAGTTTTTAACAATTGAAATATGCACTCGTGTTGGTTTTTTTAATAAAGTGTTTGCATTCTTAGTACGTAAAACAGAAATTTCCAGACAGATATTTCAAGATTGGATGACAGGCAATGTGAAAATGATTTTGCGCCTTGGACGCATTCACATTTTACATTTTTTTAGGTGTGCACAGGAATATCATGTGGCAGATTACACTCATTGTATGTTGCTGTCAACCTCCTTTCAAAGAAATCCTCTGACAGGATTTCCTCTTTCCCTCATAAATATTGTGTGGCTATTGCCTAATTCTGAATATTTTTGATTTAGTAAAATGTCAAGCCACTGGGTGGAATCCAATGTAGTGCTAAGGCAATTGGCCCATCAATGCCACGATGTTTGCTTGCACAATGTAACGCTCTCCTTCTACACACTCCCTAAGGTTTTCCTCAACTCTGGGTGACGCCCAGTTTTGGATGAACAGACTATCCCTTGCACTCCTTCTCCTCTGCCACTCCCTGTATGCCTCAAAAATCTTGTCTGGAGCACATTTTGGGGGTATGAAGAGGGAATGAAAGGAAGGAGAAGTTCGGCTTTGGAAGCAGAAATGGGTCATACAACCCTGTGGGGGGGAAAAGGTAAAGGCAAAGGACCCCTGGATGGTTAAGTTCAGTCAAAGGTAACTATGGGGGTGCAGCGCTCATCTCGCTTTCAGGCCAAGGGAGCCGGCGTTTGTCCACAGACAGCTTTCTGGGTCACGTGACCAGCAAGACTAAACCGCTTCTGGTGCAACAGGACATGGTGACGGAAACCAGAGCGTACAGAAACTGTTGAGAATTCTGTTCCACCTTAAGGAACAGACATGTGGAATTGTTGCATGTCACATGTCTGTTTACATTCCAGCACAGTATGCTGGGAACTTCTGTTTGTGTATAGCTTTTGCTTTTGCTGTTCTCTCCGAGATGACATGAGAGAGAGACGACATGTTTCTTTGTTCTGATTTATGTTTAATAAATCTGTAGCTGTAGCATGACTTACGCCTCACGCCTACTTCTGTGTGCGGACCACACTCTGCTAATTGCGTGCCCTGGTTTTTGAAGTTCGGGTCGCTGATTTACGTCAGAGCACGGGCCAATGGAAGGAGATGTCTGAGCTGGGCTTGCCAGCTGGCCTCCCGACCCCTCTGCATGTTGACAGAAATGCCATTTACCTTCCCGCCGCAGCGGTACCTATTTATCTACTTGCACTGGTGTGCTTTCGAAGTGCTAGGTTGGCAGGAGCTGGGACAGAGCAATGGGAGCTCACCCCGTCACAGGGATTTGAACTGCCAGTGTTTTTAACAGCATGCCCAAGGTGGTTTAGACCACAGAGCCACCTGCGTCCCTGTGGGTATCACTGGATGACACCCTCTAAATTGCCAAAGAGTGTGCTGTTCCATAAGGGATGCTATGCTTGGTGCAGATATATAGCATGGCTTTCTTTTGAAGTACTCTTACACCAAAATAGATTGCCTGCATTTTGATGATGTCCTACTGGTTTAGTGGCTCAGTGCGTCTGGCTGGTAACCAGAAGGTTGGTGGTCTAAGGCCATGCAGGGATGGCGAAGGGCAGGGTTCCTGCATTGCCGGAGGTTGGAGTAGATGACCCTTTGGGTCCCTTCCAGTTCTATGATCTATGATTTTAGGTTGATTAGATACAGTTTCAAGCACCTGGTGGAACTATTTGAAGAAGCCAGGCTGACATCTGATGCTTTGTGACTGCAAGAATTATGCCTGGCTCACTGGGAGAGAGATCATGGCCAAGCCTATTAGAACACATTGTGAGTAAATCTGTCAAGTAATTTGCATTGCATTATCTGGCTTGTAAACAATTTCCATCTTCTTGACTGTTAGGCTTATATTGAATGAGGACTGGGAGCAAATCCTGGGAGCAAAGGACTGATGGGCAAGGTATTATGGGATGGATGTTTGCACAAATATCTTCTGTGTATTTATACAGGCGATTTTTGGCAGACACCATTCCATTGGGCCCCAATTTACTAAACGCTCCGGTGTATAATGATGAATAAGGCAAACAATTATTCACACCATTACTAGCAGCACATGTTAGTACTATGCTGAATTTTTGTGAGGGCCAAAACTTTGCTGCAAAAGTTGCTATTCTGCTTCGGAAATATTCATGAATCCTTGCTCCTACCCTTCCACATTATAAGGCTTTCTCTTCTCTTTAACCTCTTTACTGCCATTGTTGTCCTACTTTTAGGGAGCAATATTAAAATGTCAATACAATTCAATATTTCCCCCCATTAAGTAAATATTCCTTGGTCAGAGAAGCATTGACTGTTGCCCCCATGAGAACAGTTAAAGACAACCTAAAAATGTGTTTGTGTGGAGTCAACCTAGAATAACTGAAATCACATTTAAGGATTAATTAATGGCCATGAGCACTACCAGACAACACATTTATAAATCAAGGAATCAATATATAGACCATGTCTCCTGCATTTTCCGCCCTGGCTGGATTTTCCTTTAGTTCCTAGGTTGTATAGTCATGACACTGAAAATGTCATAGCAGCCACATTCAAACAGAGTTCTGCACTTCAACATCTGCCTGATCCAGCCCATCTAACTGGATTGAACCATCTAACCTGAGTTGCAGGATTATACAGGTGCAAAAGACTCAATTCTCTATTCCTTCCCCACTCTAAGACGTTCAAATTAATAATTGCACCAGGCCCTTTCGTACAGTGTGCAGAGGCAATCAACAGGCATTGACAGCCAGTCATGAGATCCTGCTGAGTGTTACAATATGGAACTTTTGTGTTAGTCACACTGTGGGGAGGAAAACCATGGGTGCGCAAAAATTGTCTGTAGGTTAATTAAGTCTTTTCATTTGGTTCAAGAACACTCATGATCATCCCAGAATAGCTGTAACCACAGAATTGGGTATTATTCTCTCAGATCAGAGCCCCTAGAGTTGGGGGGGGGAGTATGTATCACCTTTCTTTAATCACTGCATGTGCATTGGGACATAATTGGGCTGGAGGTTATTAAAAGTTCCCACTTTTCAATTCTTAGCTCTCAGTGGTGAAAGAACAAGAAGAAAAACCCTACCCATCCAGCGCTTAGTTTCTGCCAGAGGAGTTTGCTTAACAGAGGCTGGTGGCCTTAAGGTCTCTCTGGAGATCTCATAACCGTAACAAGTAACCAGCACATGTTTCATGTTTGCCACGAGAGCTTATTTGCTAGCTTGGGACGTCTGTTTATCGAAATAAAATATATTGTGTTTTGCGGAAAGAACCGTAGAATTACTACAACTTCATTCTCCCTGACATGTTTTGTGATTACTTTAATATCAAGCAGTAATCCTGTATTTGGAAGGATTTATCCAGAACAAGCACAAGCAGAACTCGCTTCACTTTGGATCCTGAATTACCGTATTTTTTGCTCTATAAGACTCATTTTTTCCCTCCTAAAAAGTAAGGGGAAATGTGTGTGCGTCTTATGGAGCGAATGCAGGCTGCACAGCTATCCCAGAAGCCAGAACAGCAAGAGGGATTGCTGCTTTCACTGCGTAGCGATCCCTCTTGCTGTTCTGGCTTCTGAGATTCAGAATATTTTTTTTTCTTGTTTTCCTCCTCCAAAAACTCGGTGCGTCTTGTGGTCTGGTGCGTCTTATAGAGCGAAAAATACGGTACCTACAGTCTATTTTATTTTTTTAAGCCTTTGAGAGTGCTTGATAGAAAATCTCTGTTAAGAAATGCAGATTCTGGCCCAGGACACTTTTCTGTCCAGACAAAAGTGTTGTTTGCTGCCGTTCTTAGTGTTGTTATGCCCTAATTGTTATGCCCCCACATGCAGCTGCTGGGTGACCTTGGGCCAGTCACACTTCTTTGAAGTCTCTCAGCCCCACTCACCTCACAGAGTGTTTGTTATGGGGGAGGAAGGGAAAGGAGAATGTTAGCCGCTTTGAGACTCCTGAAGGGGAGTGAAAGGCAGAATATCAAGTCCAAACTCTAATTAAATATTACGTTGCAAAAATAATAGGGATGGGTGGGTGGAAAGCAGGTGGGGAATGAGAAGAGATAGGAGCTAAAAAGCTCTGGGGGAGGAAAACATTGACATATCCAGAGAAGCTCCAGTTTGGCAGTGGCCAGCTAATGCACTCTAGGGCAGTCTTCCTTAACCTGGTGCCCTCCCATGATTCGGACTACAACTCCCATCATTCCTGGCAATTTGCCATCTTGCTTGTGGCTGATGGGAGTTGTAGTCCAAAACATCTGGCAGGTTGACTACAGCTGCAATGGGGCGCGGCTTCTCCCAACAGCTGATAACTAATTCCCCTATCACACTAACAACTCTTTATGTGTTTGTATACGTCTCTTTACTTCTGGAAAGAGGCATTTAAAATTAGCACTAAAATTGCCTGGACATGACTTTGCTATCCTTCCTTGCCTTCCTCCCCACCCCAGTATCCTTATGTTTGAGTTGAGAAGATTGGGATTACTTTGCCATTTTGCTTATCCTTAGAAAAAACACCACACAACCCAACTAATCCTGGATTTTGCTGTGAAGTGATTTCAACCACTGCTTTTTCCTGCACCTTGAAATAGTTACAGCTTCATCTCCATTGAGGCTCAGTGCAGTGGAACTTACATAATGCTCTGGCAGCATTTTTAAATAAATGACAATGTAGCATGTTTTGAGAATTTCAAGTCCACAGGAGCTCAGAGATGTCTCTGCTGCATTTGGCTTTAATTGGACAGCAAACCAAAAAGACACTGAGCTCTCCAGTTGTGTGCAGGTTGAAGTTGCCTCGCATGTAAGTCATTTTAAGGAAATAGCACCAGCATGTTGTTGGTACTTGCGAGGGCTCTCCCACCCCGTGGAGATGGCAACATTGACCCTTAGAGTGAAATCTAACTCCTTGAGTTTGCAAGCTTCACAGAATAACACGCTTTCCAGAACGCAAGTCACAGAATTGGAGACAATTAACCAAAACAATAATAAATAATAATAAATTTTTATTTATACCCCACCCTTCCCGGTTCAGAAACCGGGCTCAGGGCGGCTAACAACAAATTTTAACAAGCAGCATAAAATACAGTATAAAAACATGAATAACAATAAAATTCAAAGTTCAGAAATCAATTTGGGGGAAATCCATCTAATAAGCATTAGATAATCACCAGGGCTAGCTGGCTGAATTGGTCCTACTTGGGCCAGTGAGGAGGCCAGGGGAGAATTAGCTGTGGGGTCTCAGAGCGGGTAATCTTCATAAAAGGGGAAGGGGAGGAAAGAGAAGGGAAATAAAAGATCAGGCTGAATTCAAAGTAAAGGCCAGGCGGAATAGCTCTGTCTTACAGGCCTAACGGAAGGAGGTTAAATCTTGAAGGGCCCTAGTCTCATGGGACAGAGCATTCCACCAGGTTGGAGCCATCACTGAGAAGGCCTTGGCCCTGGTGGAGGATAATATAACTTCCTTAGGGCCCGGGACCTCTAAACTATGGTTATTCATGGACCTTAAGCAAGCATTGTGTTTATGTGTGTGTGTTTTTTGAAGAAATGCTATGCAATGGTTTAAATGCAAAGCATATTTATGTGATTAATTGCAACACATCCCAGCTGGATGGCATTAACATGGTAAGCTGATCTCACTCTGGCAAATGTGGACAGCCACCACATGTGCTACTCTTGAGCTAGGAAACACAGACTGCTTGCATGTTGTTAGCTTGGTGGCATACAGTGCTGAGCATGAAAAGGAGTAAAGGTATTAGTTTAAAAAAATCACAAAAGAAACATAGGAAATGATCTTCTATATGTGTACGTAAGGCCTAACTTCTTATGTGTATTAAGTAAAAAATATAGAATGTGTGTGGGAAGAGCGAGCAAACTGGGGAAACATGCAGAAAAAAAACCCATGGTTATCACTGGTCTCTGGTGGGTTGGTCTTGCTATCTAGTCCCAGTTATGCAGACAGCTATACATTGTCACAAGAATAATGCTGTAGTCCTTCTAGCTAACTGAGATAATGGCCCACAATGTCCCTGTCAGTACAATTCTTTGCATGTTTGCTCTGAAGCAAGCCCAGCCATGTTCAATGTAGTAAGTTTGGTTAAAACTAGAAGCAAATCTCATAATTTGTCATTTAAATGTAGCAAGACATTTGTTTTGTTTGTCATTTAAACAAGTGATTTAAAAGCTGCAGCAGATGGCCATGCAAACCACTTGAGACTGACCACACAGAAAGATCCATTGGATTCCTGATGGGAGGAGTGCCACTAGTGTCTTAATTCTGCCCTGAAACCAGCAGCTTCTTTTATTCAAAAATAGCCCCTTCTTCCCACATTTCCAATTGGCTCTCTTCTTTTTTTTATGGTGATGCCTAGCAGAGCTTTGGTATGATGTCGTACTTCCTTAATAGCTTCTGTTCTTTGCATATTTAATCTGGGCTAATTTTAGGAGCTACTTCTCAGCGAAATTCCAGTTTAGAATTAGCTTAATGCAGGAAGTCAGATTAATGAGCCTGAAGTTAGCAAATAGCTCTGCCTTCACAGAGAGCTAGTAGAAGCTGCAAGGGTGGATTCATACATAATTTGAAGCCATCAAGGGAAGAAATGGACTTGAAGTAGCTTTGTTGGCAAGGTGAACATAATTGCAAACCACATGACATTATGCAGATTTCTGTGTGGTTCTGTGCCTAGGGAGTTCTGCTAGTGGCATGGTTGCCATAGAAAAGAAAACATCTGAAGGACTGTTCAGATGGTCTAAACTGGAGGGCGTAGGGCAGAGGATATGGTACAAAACGGCTATGTCTGATTAACCACACACATCTGTTCTGCGTGTAGTTTGTGGGCACATAGGCTGTGTACATGCTGTTGGGGATGGATTCTCCCACCCTCAATCTTCTGACTGTGCATATATAATAGCAGGAAAAAGGTAAAGGACCCTTGGACGGTTAAGACCAGTCAAAGGCGACTATGGGGTTGCGGCGCTCATCTCACTTTCAGGCTGAGGGAGACGGCGTTGGTCCACAGGCAGTTTTCTGGGTCATGTGGCCAGCATGACTAAACCGCTTCTGGCGCAACGGGACACTGTGACAGAAACCAGAGCACACGGAAACGCTGTTTACCTTCCTGCCCCAGTGGTACCTATTTATCTGCTTGCAGGCTTTCGAACTGCTAGGTTGGCAGGAGCTGGGACCGAGCAACAGGAGCTCACCCCGTCGCGGGGATTCAAACTGCCGACCTTTCTGATCGGCAAGCCCAAGAGGCTCAGTGGTTTAGACCGCAGCGCCACCCCTGTCCCTATATGTAATAGCACTGCCATACACACACTGTTTAACAAATGTACAGACCGTTTGGGTGGTAGTGTGAATGCACGTCATTCCCTTCTACATGCATAGAGACACATTTCCCTTATTATATGGGAACAGAGTTATTATTATTATTATTATTATTATTACTATTCTATGCAGAAGCTGCATTACAGTGGTACCTCAGGTTACATACAGTTCAGGTTACATACGCTTCAGGTTACAGACTCCGCTAACCCAGAATTAGTGCTTCAGGTTAAGAACTTTGCTTCAGGATGAGAACAGAAATCGTGCTCCTGCGGTGCGGCGGCAGCAGGAGGCCCCATTAGCTAAAGTGGTGCTTCAGGTTAAGAACAGTTTCAGGTTAAGTACGGACCTCCTGAACGAATTAAGTACCTCAGGTTGAGGTACCACTGTATTTGCAAATGAACTAATTCTGTAGTTGAGGCTGAACATCTGGCATGTGCCACAGCCGCAGGCAGATGAGCAGTGCCGTGTATGGGGCCCATCATGAAATCAGTCGTAACCATGTGACAGGTTGTTTCTAAGGGCTCAGCCACACTTCTGCTTCAACAAAGGGCTCGGCCGACAACGACAAGAACCCGGCAACAGTAATCAAATCAATCAGGCTAACCTGACTCAAAAACACCCACCCACCCCACTCACACATGAAAACAAAGTTCACCACAGCCAATCACAACCAACCAACCAACCACATCCTTGTCCAACCCCAACCTCTCTCACCCCCAAAGGAATACAAGTGAATAGTAAAGAGAACCCACACAAGAGATGCTGACACAAAACCCCACACATACAATAAGTAGACGAATAGAAGCATTGCCACCCGACCCCACCCCCACTCACCATGGCTCCCTCCACCTCTTTCCCCTTTTCTTCCTAATGTAACACTAATGTCTCACAACAAATGAAACTGATCTGTAGAAATTGCAACTTGAGACATTGCACGTACTGTACTTTTGTAAACCAAGAAATCCTTAATAAAAATACGTTAAAAAACCCCAAAAAAACCCCAAAGGGTTCAGCCACGCTTCCGCTTCTCCAATGCCTAGAAAGCTTGGCTCTGAGCCATTCTCCACCAGTCTCACGCTTTCTAGGAAGAGGTCTGAGCAGTTGTATGTTTGCTCTGTAACTTTTCCCTGAAAAATAAGCTCTTTACTTCTGAATCGGAACAAATAATTCATGGAAAACCCCATTGCCACTTGGTCCTATTCAGCAATATGTGGTGGATTTCCCCGGGGGAAAGCAGTGGGGTATAGGGAGGTATGGAGGAGCCCAAAGTCATCCCATTAGTTCAAGGACTTCCTTCTGCACAACAGGGCTTCCTCTCCCCAAATATGCTTTGGACAGTTGGGAGAACCCCAGAAAAGATTTGCTTGGGGAAGGTCATGAGAAGGAAAGGAAGCCCCATTGCACAGGGGGAAGACTTTGCACTAATGGGACAATTTTGTCCTAAGTGTTACAGGTTTGGGTGGCACCATTTTTCGGTGGAACTGATCTTGAAGTCTGGTTCAAATGCTAAGCTTCCTGCAGCAAAGGGATGAGGATCTGATGGATGGGTATAGACATGATTGTTTGTTTAGTCGTTTAGTCATGTCCGACTCTTCGGGACCCCATGGACCAGAGCACGCCAGGCACTCCTGTCTTCCACTGCTGGTAGCTTCGAGAACACTGTCCAACCATCTTGTCCTCTGTCGTCCCCATCTCCTTGTGTCCTCCATCTTTCTCAACATCAGGGTCTTTTCCAGGGAGTCTTCTCTTCTCATGAGGTGGCCAAAGTCTTGGAGCCTCAGCTTCACAATCTGTCCTTCCAGTGAGCACTCAGGGATGATTTCCTTAAGAATGGATAGGCTCGATCTTACTGCAGTCCGTGGGACTCTCAAGAGTCTCCTCCAGCACCATAATTCAAAAGCATCAATTCTTCGGCGATCAGCCTTCTTGATGGTCCAGCTCTCACTTCCATACATCACTACTGGGAAAACCATAGCTTTAACTATACGGACCTTTGTTGGCAAGGTGATGTCTCTGCTTTTTAAGATGCAGTCTAGGTTTGTCACTGCTTTTCTAAAGTTATGTTAAGAGAACCAATGTGGTGTAAGCCTAGACTTGGAGACCCACTGGGTGACCTTGCTTTTCTCATGCTCCCTCAGCTTAATCTACCTCAGAGAGCTGTTGTAAGGATTAAATAGGGAGAAGAGATCTGTGTGTGCCGCCGTGAGCTCCTTGAAGGAAAGGTGGGACATGAACCTCCCCCAAAGTCTTCTGTATATGACCTCCCCCCCCCCTTCCATAACAGCAAGTTTGTTGTTCGCTTGCTTCTGTTTAGATGATAGCACTGCAGACTACAAATGCCTGGCAGTGATCAGTAACAATGCTGGAGATTCTGTGAGTCACAGTACATCATCAGCCTCCAGCCATCTCTGCAAAGAGCGCCAGAGTTCTGTGAGTAGCAGTGACCTTTACTCCCTGTTATTTGGGGGACCAAAAATCCAGATCAGAAGCAAGAATATAAGAGTGCTTGTGATATGTCTGATCCTAGCCGAGGATATTGAACTGCTGGCAGAAGCTTCAGCTGCATCACTTACTGTCACTGTAACATCTCTCTGGATAAAATATGGAGGAAAGGGAGAAGCACATATGCCAACTTAAACTCTTTGCTGGGCAGGTGGGACATTTCTTTTTCATTTATTTCAATTGGACATTTTGTATACAGTCATACTTTGGAAGTCAAATGGAATCCATTCCGGAAGTCTGTTCGACTTCCAAAACGTTCAAAAACCAAATTGCGACTTCTGATCAACTGCAGGAAGCTCCTGCAGCCAATCAGAAGCTGCGGAAGCCCCGTCAGATGTTCGGGTTCCAAAAGAATGTTCACAAACTGGAACACTCACGTCTGGGTTTGCGGCATTCAGGAGCAAAACGTCTGAGTTCCAGGACGTTCGGAATCCAAGGTCCGACTGTACTGCTTAATTATGTTGATCTCTTAGCAGTGTAGAAAAAAAATCACTACAATTAAAATAAAAGCCAGGTAAAATTATAAACTCAGAATCCAGTTAAAATTCCTGCTAGATTTTTTTTTAAAGGATTCAGTAGGCAATGGAAGTTCAGTGGGGAGAGGGCTTGTCTGACCTCAGCTACAAGGGAGTTTCATAAAATTAGGCCCACATTTCTGGTGGTGGGAAAATAGGAAAGACTAGGATGAGAGATGTGTTATAAACAAACCCCAGCAAGAGCCCTGCTGCCCCAAGGGTTGTTGCTGGGGTGAGTTTCCGCTTGGGAGCAAAAGGAGTTCTCCATTTGCTTGCATAGGTAAAGACACAGATCTAAATGCAAAACAAACCATTTCAATGTTGGTAAGAACATAAGAGTCTTAATCTCAGGGCTGTTGGGCAAAATGATTCCTCCTCTCCAGAGTTTTCCCCAAGCAATCGGAGACTACGCCTGTGAGAAACCAACATCTCCTCCTCCCTTTTCATGCCTCTTCTGGTTCTGGGAGACCAGGGGAGAGGGGAGCTTGTCACAGCAGGAGGGCGAGAGATACCCGTGCCTCTTCACCAGTCTGACTCAATTCTGCCTCTTGGCCTTCCTCCTCCCCTGCTTCAGCTTCTGCCTCTGATTCTGGACTCTGCCACAGACTCTCCCAGCTCACTAACCCCTGTTACTTCTTTCCTGGTCTTCTCCCTCTGACCCCTTATTGTTGTCCCACCACCAATCCCTGGGCTCTGAGCCTCCTTCCTTTGGTGGTTCCTCAGCTGGTCCCTGCCACCATTCTTCTGAATCCAACCAGCCCATGACATCTGGCAATCCATCTCAAAATGTAAACAAGGGTATCTAGAGGTCAGCTTTCACAATGCAGAGTCAATGTGAAAGGAGACATTGGGCACACAATTCTGAACTTTGGGTTAATGCATCCTGTGTTGTGTTTCACATTGCATTGCATATTTTGACTGAAATGGAATCACAACTGTGCATGGCTACTCCAAACACAATATATGCCATCGTTGGCATCGTTTACCAAATTAATTTGCCTTGGAAGCATCAGCCAAATGAATAATGGTCACAGATCAAACATAGCACCAGACATACTGTTTTCCCAGCTGTAATGTTCCAGCTGTAGATATAGCTTTGCTAGTCAAGGGTACTGAATTAAGCATGATGCCATTGACACAGCTAGCTTGCTCAAGAAAAATGAAACCTTTAATTTGTAGAGCTGTGGCTTATTAGGAAAGAAGCATCACACAGAGTTAGTATTAGTAGAAAATTAAATGAACTGTGGGATGCAAACTAGTTTTAATCTATCTTGCAATTTAAAGGATCTTCCAAATCTGGTCATGGGGAAAAATTCTCAATCACAAAAGCAATTCTACAAAAAGTTATCTAACTCCTCGGCTCAGTAGAGCTTTATTCCTTTATAAAAGGAATAAAATAAAGATGCTGATTTGTTGATATTAGCAAACAGTATTTAGTTCCTGTCTATGTCAGATAAACATGAAATTTCAGAACTGCAGCTGAGAACTGCAGATAAAGAGAACACAGGTTGGGACTCAAGAAATTCATGTGGGATCTCTTTCAGTTGCAGCTTATTGGTTTTTAACCCAGTTGTAGCCAAGCTGTGGAACTCCACATGGGGCTGAACTATAGCTCTCACCATTCCTGACCATTGGCCATGCTGGCTGAGATTGATGGGAATTATAGGATAACAGGATAACAAGCTCCATTTTTATGTCTTTATATATTACATCTATATATTACCTTCCTCCCAAGGTATCCAGGGTGGTTTACAATTTTAAATATTTGAAGAAAGGCTATGAAATATTCCCAGACCAATTTCAGGAGCTAATAGCATGAGCTCCCTAGTTTGGGCTTCTCTTAACCAAACAGGTCTAATCAGTGACTTTGGTACAGGAAATACTTGTGAGATTGGCTGCTCAGAACATTGTTAGTATCTGGTTAAGAACATAGCAACATTCATCAAGAAGAAGGAATAAACCAAAATCACAGCCATAATATCACTTCGAGAATATGATGTTAATTTGCACAAACGTTCTCCTACATTGTGCCTATATATTGGGGTTGTTTCCCTCCCCCCCCCCCCGATGATGATATATGGTATTCAGCTAGGTTTTATTTAGAGTAGACCCATTGAAATCAGTGAACATGAACATGATAGGCATTTCGCTAGCAAATAAATATTGGCCAGAGCATGATGCATCTTTTCTACTCACGATGAGTAGTGTACTGGTTTGTCAGCAATCCTTCTGGATAGGCTGAGATGTCACATTACAAAAACAAAAAAAACAAAACTACCCAACATTATGCACATGGAGATGGAATGACTCATGATTCAAGGCGAAGCTGGAGTGCTGTGTGTGCTCAGCATAATTCTGATAGCTTAGGGATATTTGAAGGAAGGTGTTTATTGGCTTCCCGTGGTTTGTTGATTGATTGGGTTTTTGTGTGTGCAAATAAATAACATTAAACTGCAAGATAAATGAATAAAAATGCATTTATTCCATCTGTCTGTCTCCTTGCATTAACTATTATAACTTTGAATCTTCTCTGCTGCCTTTGATAGAGTCAAACCAAACTTTGAATAAAGTTTAGAATACTGTACTGCGCTGAAATTATTCATATTAGTGAGAAGTTCATGCTAGCGATTTCTGCAGCAATACAACAAAGGCACATCACAGTATTGGGGGCGGTGGCCAGGGGATCCTGTGTATTTGCTGCTTATAAATGGTCCGTGTGTGTTGATTCTGCAGCTACCTAGGATCTGACAATGGACTTTAAGACTGGAATAAAATCTGTCATTTACCTTAAAGATGTGAAGGCTAGGATCCTAGGACTGGGCTATTGCAGTAGCTTTAAATATACTAGGAATGAAAAAAATGAGTATCTCTATATTAAGGTGAATACCAAAGGATTCTCCAACTACCTACCAGGATAGAATAGTTGACTGCAACTACTAACTAAAACATACAAACAAACAAACAAACAAACAAACAAACAAAAACAAACATACAGGCTATTCTTGAACACCTTATGCAATCTGCAATGGTTTCAAGTGCTCTCCTGTTCAGTTCTGCCCTTGAGCAGTTAATCTATTGTGTTTCCTAGACATGCTCTCTCTCTGAAGATGCTTGGAGATAATGCACAACCTAATTTTACGTGCCTGTTTCAAAATAAAATACAGCCTCCTTTTTAAATAGTAAGACTGTGTACACTCCATGCATTTAAAGCATTTTCCTCCTTCCCAGGAATCCAGCTCATCACAGAACTACAATTTCTAGCACCCTTAACAAACTACCATTCCCAAGATTCGGGGCGGGGGGGGATAATGATGCTTAAATTTATGATGTGTATGCAACCTAGGTGAGAGCCTAAATGCAGGTGGTAGATCTCAGACAACTGCCTTTCCTCAAAGGTGTTACATTGAGGCCGCACATGTATTACTGTGATTGCTTGATTAAATATGTGCATTTTTGTAGCCATCAGTGTCACATCAAAGCAGAGAGTGTGGCAACATTTGAAATTTCAGAAGTGGCTGTGTCTGCTCTTCCTCCTTCCCCTGGAAGCCTATACAGTGGTATCTTGGGTTAAGAACTTAATTCATTCTGGAAGTCTGTTCTTAACCTGAAACTGTTCTTAACCTGAAGCACCACTTTAGCTAATGGGGTCTCCCGCTGCTGCTGCCGTGTCTCCGCCACGCGATTTCTGTTCTCATCCTGAAGCAAAGTTCTTAACCCGAGGTACTATTTCTGGGTTAGTGGAGTCTGTAACCTGAACCATCTGTAACCTGAGGTACCACTGTATTTGTAGAAACCTTCACCTACCTAAATTGCAAACAGCAGCAACGAGAAATTTCAAAAGTTCTACATGTTCAGAATGATCTTACCAAGCCTTGTAGCCCTGAAATATAGGTGGAGACACAGGCTGAGAAACTGCTCATAATTCTCTGTTAGCATCACCACCTAAGATGACTTGACCAGCCTCCACAGCAGTTCATACCCAGGGAGAGCATGCTTGCATGTGAGGAATGGTGCGTTCTGGTTAAGTTCAGCTATCAGGATATCTGCTACCAGCTGGTGAGAGCAAGTGATAACTTGTCAGCCAGATGATCAGGGATGCTAAAGCCGGCTTTCTGAGCAGAAATTTGGCAGTGGGGGGGAGGGGGAGACACACAAAAACAAAAGCTGCTCCTAAGGTCCGCATAAAACAATTGCACAAATACTTCCATAATGCAAACGAAGCATCCTTGTTCTTCCGAATGTTCCCTTTCTGCGTTATCACTTGAACTGTTGCTGACTTGGCATTATGCTACGCTATGCAAATCTCTTCCCCCTGAAATTAGCAACATTGATTTACTTTTAGGATGTGCCGTGTGTCCCTGGCTGACATCATTTGTCCTGCGGCGTTGCTGACCTTGTGCACGGCAGATCTGCTGTATCGTGAGGGACTTTCACACCGCTGCTCTTTCTGTCCTCCCACGCAGACGTTGCCTTTTGGTCCCCGGTGGATGTGTAGCTTTTAGGTGGAATGCAATAGCACTGCAGCAGAGACTCTGCAGCGGTGGGCTGGAAGAATACGCAGCAGAGCCGTTGCTGCCAAACTAGGTACCGGCTATGGCTCAGATCCTTTGCTCTTGTTCTTTGCTGCCTGAGTCACAGGAATGTACTAGATCGTGCAGCCTTAAACTGTTGAGCAAGGCTAGAAGGAATCTTATGTTAAAAGTTGTGGTTTTTTAAAAAAGAAATCACCACCAGATAAACTGAAATCAAATGCTAATTCCAAACAAGGGGAACTTGGGTCTTCCAGTTCAATCAATCAATCAATCAATCAATCTTTATTACGGTCCAGAGACCCAACAAATCGTTACAAAGCAATGCACAATTCAGACAGCCTACCTCCAGGTTAAACAAGCATTTTGTTCAGACTTAAAGATAGGCATCATTGGTTCTTGCAACCACCGATAAAAACTTCGCCATTGCTAATGTTCTAGCGTTTGTCCGGTCTTCCAATAGGAACCTGACATAGTGAGCCTCTGCTTTTCCTGGGAAAGGTACCAGCAAGGGTAATATCAGTTCAGCCCTGGCTTGCTCATATTTCGCATAGTGCAGCAAAATATGTTTTATAGAATCGATGTCTTGAGCACACGAGCAAAGTCTGTCCTGGTAGGGAACTCCTCTCAACCTGCCACCTAACACTGCAGAAGGAAAGACGTGTAGTCTGGCTTTGGTGAATAACCTTCGATAATTTGGTGCTGTCAGGTTTTTAATGTAAGGTGTTAACTTAAAGACATGCCCATATTGTACTCCTACTGCCAGCGGACTACAGACTGCGTGTGATCGAGATCGCAAGTCACTGTGTGTATTATCCCATAATCTTTGCTTTAACGTCTTTAGGGCACCTTCATAACCCAGGTAATAAAGTTGGGGGGGTGACAGACCAATAGAGGTGGCTTTTCTAGCCATGGTTTTCTGCCATTTGCTGACAAACTCCTCATTGGTCAGGTGTTGGTACAAACCCTTCCCTAGATCAAATACTGAAATCCTGAGCCAATGTTTTAGGGCAGCCCACCATGCTTTAGTTGAAATTGGGCATTCACCAGCTTCTAACAGAAGTATGGAGTTGGGGACACAGTTACGTACCTTGGGTCTTCCGGATGTTGCTGTATTCCATCAGCCCAGAAGCATGACCACTGGCCAGTGATGGTTAGAGTTGTAATTTGGCAACATCTCGAAGACCAAACGTTCCCTTCCTACGTGCTGCTTTATCATACTTGCCCTCTATGTGGTCTAAAAGTGGAAACCTTCACAAGTTAAACAATGGATGTTCTTTATTGCTGGGTGTCCATTGAGACAAACCTCAAATTCCTTGGGGCCAGCATTAACTTCAGGGGGTCCTGAACCAGAGAAACTTGATATGTGAGAGTATGGGCAGATCTATACCACATCTTTGAAGCACATCTAAGGCACAGTTAAAAACATGGCTTCCTCCTTAGAATCCTGGGAGCTGTAGTTTGTCAAGATTGCTGATAATGATAGAATCATAGAATTGTAGAGTTAGAAGGGAGCCTGAGGATCATCTAGTCCAACCCCGGCAATGCAGGAATCTCAACAAAAGCATCCCTGGCAGATGGCCAAGGAAGGAAGAGTCCACAACTTCCCAAGGGAGACCGTTCCACTGTCTCTTACTGTCAGAAAGTTCTTCCTGAAGTGAAATTTAGTTGGAATCTCTTTTCTTGTAACTCCACGCCATTGGTTTGAATCCTGCCCTCCAGAGCAGCTCTGTGAGGGTAGTTCCGTGAGAGTGAAACTACAGGATTCTTTGGGGAAAGTGATGTCTTTTTAATGTGCATTGGATCTGCTTTACATGTTTGGTGTGGATCTGTGCTGGCTGTGGTGGAGGAAAATTACAAGCTCCTCCAGATCTAGAGCAGATAAGAAGTTTTCCATTTCTTTAGTTATTGGTGGTGGTAGGGTACTCAAATAAGACATTGCGCGGGGGCCTGTTTCCTACATTACTTGACAGCAGTCTTGGAAATGTCATGCCACTGGGAGCCATAGTTCATCTTGGTTTTCTTTTTTGTTTTTGTTTTTGCGGGTGTACCTGCATGGTGTATGCAGATATTATTGCTGCATTAAAATGTACAAACTATTGTTAGGGTGGCATATTAAAGATGAAGAAGTTAAGACGGTTATGATTAAATGGGCTAAAGATTTTGGTTATAATATTCAATTAGGAATGTGGGAAAGATGATGGACAAAAACTATTAATTTTACTGTATGTATGGCACTTAAGGAAAATTTCATGAAGATGATCTATAGGTGGTATTTGACACCGACCAAACTTGCTTAAATGTATAGGACCCAAGATAAGGTTTGCTGGAAATGTAAGGAAAAGGAAGGGACTTTATATCACATGTGGTGGACTTGTACTAAGATCAAAGCCTACTGGGATATGATACATAATGAATTGAAAAAGGTATTTAAAAACACTTTTAGTTAAAAAAAAAAAAAACCCCAGAGGCTTTTCTATTGGGTATAATAGGAGATGAAATTCCCCAAAAGGACTTAAATATATTTATGTATGCAGACCAAGATGATTGAATATGCAGAATTGGCGAAGCTGACAGGGGAAATCCGAAAGCAGTGTGATGAACTGTTTGAAAAGGACTGGAGTAAATTCTTGCAATATATGAAGGAACATTGTAAACATTTCAAAACGTTTGCAGGATTGATTTAAAATATTTTGTAACGTTACGATTAGATACCTCTTTACAAATATTTGAATTGATTTATAAGCATAGAAAGAAGCTAAATAGGGTAATAGAGAAATGCTAATAGAGAAATGCTAAGATTAGTATTTATAGAAGCCGGGGAATGGGGGGGGGGGGAGTCGATGCTCTGATTGAGCAAAGATGTATGTGATGATAAAATTTTATTTTGATTGTAATTTAAAAAAGAGAAAAATTGATAAATATTATTTTAAAATTACATTTTCAAGGTGTACACACAAAAAAAATCTAGAATGACAACTTAAAAAACAACATTTGAAATGGCTTCAAAAAAGAAGGCAGCAAATAAATGTGAGAACCCTGAATTGTTCAAAATAGAAGATGTGCAGTTAAGATCTTTACAAAACAGAAGGCAGATTTCTGTATTTATTTATTTTTAAAAAGCAACTTGCAATTACGCACTATCCTGGCATTATTAAAAGAAGCATGAAAATGTTCACTTGAACTGCTCTTTGAGGACAGGTACTCTAACTAGGGTGAGAGGATGATACTGAAACCACGTTATATTTGATCCCCTCTTTTGTCATAGGAGTAGCGATAGATTAGTTACGGTCACCTTCATGTGTTAAAAGTCCTTGGGATGCCATTCCCTTCATCGGTCTCCTCTTTAGTTGCCGAGGTACTTAGACCAACACTGTGTTTTAAAATAAGTAAATAAATGATAAACCACTGAAGTTGTCAAGGATGTTGCTTCAGGGTTGATGTGACCAAGCGTTGGTTACTCTGGCTGTGCTCCAAGTTTAATAAAGAACATTTAGTTTTCAATTCTCCTGTACGATATTGCAGGACTCTTTTCTCTCCCTGCCCTCCGATTCTCCCTTCAGTAGATTGCCAACCATTCCAATTCTTGCCTGGTTTGTTCTTGGTTAGTATGGGAAATAGAAGGAACAAGATGCTGGTCAGTTGGGGATGGCCTGCAGTGGGGCTGGTCAGCTATTTTCTGCCACTTGGGATGCAAAGATGCTAGGTAGACAACCCCTACACTGTGCTGCCCACAAGAAGCTTCCCTTTCTTCCTCCTGCAGTACTACAGATGACAATGAGGTTTATAGATTCAGGTAGGTAGCTGCGTTGGTCTGACACAGTCGAAATAAATAAAAAAATTGTCCAGTAGCACCTTAGGTAAAGGTAAAGGGACCCCTGACCATTAGGTCCAGTCGTGACCGACTCTGGGGTTGCGGCGCTTATCTCGCTCTATAGGCCAAGGGAGCCAGCGTACGGCATCCGGGTCATGTGGCCAGCATGACTAAGCCGCTTCTGGCAAACCAGAGCAGCACACGGAAACGCCATTTACCTTCCCGCCGGAGCGGTACCTATTTATCTGTTTGCACTTTGATGTGCTTTCGAACTGCTAGGTGGGCAGGAGCAGGGACCGAGCAACAGGAGCTCACCCAGTCATGGGGATTCGAACCGCCGATCTTCTGATCAGCAAGTCCTAGGCTCTGTGGTTTAACCCACAGCGCCACCTGCGTCCCTAGTAGCACCTTAGAGATCAAGTAAGTTTGTTCTGGGTCTAAGCTTTCGTGTGCATGCACACCTCTTCAGATACACTGAAACAGAAGTCACCAGGCCCTTATATATAGTGGGAGGGTGGGGTTTTTCTTAGAAGTGTAGTAGGAGATGGGTGATTGACTTAATGGGTATGGTAAACCTGTTGATGACTGTTAACGAATGCAATTAGTCCTACAGGAAAAACAGTAGGCAACGGATTTACCATACCCATTGACTCAATCACCCATCTCCTGCAGTGGTACCTCGGGTTACATACGCTTCAGGTTACAGACTCCGCTAACCCAGAAATAGTACTTCAGGTTAAGAACTTTGCTTCAGGATGAGAACAGAAATCGTGCTCTGGCGGCGCGGCGGCAGTGGGAGGCCCCATTAGCTAAAGTGGTATCTCAGGTTAAGAACAGTTTCAGGTTAAGAATGGACCTCCAGAACGAATTAAGTTCTTAACCCGAGATACCACTGTACTACCCTTCTGAGAAAAACCCCACCGCACCCTCCCACTAAATATAAGGGTCTGGGGACTTCTGTTTCAATGCACAGTGGTACCTCGGGTTAAGTACTTAATTTGTTCCGGAGGTCCATACTTAACCTGAAACTGTTCTTAACCTGAAGCACCACTTTAGCTAATGGGGCCTCCTGCTGCCGCCACGCCGCCAGAGCACGATTTCTGTTCTCATCCTGAAGCAAAGTTTTCTGGGTTAGCGGAGTCTGTAACCTGAAACGTATGTAACCTGTATCGTATGTAACCCGAGGTACCGCTGTATCTGAAGAGGTGTGCATGCACACAAAAGCTTATGCCCAGAACAAACATAGTTGGTCTCTAAGGTGTTACTGGACAATTTATTTATTTATTTCGTGAGGTTTATGTTTATTCAGACATGGGGCACTCCAGATCCAAACAGCCTTAAATTCATCCCGGGGAAACTGGTGCTGGTATCTAGAACTGTAGAATTCTCCTCTCCATCTGCCACATATTGCTCACCCTTAGCAAGACAGGTCTTCAGGGCTGAAGGAATTGAAAGCACCTTCTTCTTTGCAACAGGCCTTGCCACAGTCGCAAAGAAAAGCGAAGATGTGGATTGGCATTTAATAAAGCCATATATTTATGCAACTATTATGCTTAACATCAAGCACCAGCCAGCCAACCCTGACTGTAAAAACCCATTCTCACGGCGTCTTAATTTCTCACACTCTGATTTCAAGCAGAGCTTTTGTCACCTAGCGGTGGTCTCATTTAGCTTTTCAATTTCAATATGAGAGATAAAGCCGAGCAATAAGAAATCATTTGTATTCCTTCTAGGCAATTGCGTGGCAAATGTCACCCATTAGCGTAGAGGATTAACACTGTTCTCTCTGTGTGTATTTCTATTTGCAAGAGTGAGAAAAAACACAATGCTAAATGGACAGGTGCATATGGATATGGATATGGATATGGATATGGGATGGTACAAGGATGGGAAAACCTTTTGCGGTCAGAAAGACCACAAAGGTGGGTGGAACAATAGAGGAACTCTTACCTTTATACAGTAGGGTTTACGCGAACTGTGCAAAAATCAGACGTTCCTACAACAGATCTCTCCATCCTCCATTCAGGCCTGTTTCCAGGCACAATTCAAAGCGCTGGTTATGCCTTATAAAGCCCTTTACAGGTTTAGGTCCAAGCTATCTGAAAGACCATATTCTCCCTTATGAACTTGCCCAGGTTCTGAGATCTTTGTGGGAGGCACTTCTCTCACCCTGCCACCTTCACAGATGCGCTTGGTAGGGATGCAGGACAGGGCCTTCTTGCGCGGTGCTCCCAGACTTCGGAACTCTCTCCCTGGAGAAGCCAGACTGGCTCCCTCCTTGCTGTCCTTCCACTGGCAGGTGAAGACTTTCTTATTCCAACAGACTTTGGGGAGCTGGCTGCTTTCAGTGAAAGGGCTGGTGCCATGCTGGGTTTTATTATAATTATTTGTATGTTTTTGAGGGGGAGGGGGGAGATGAGGAGGAGGCAGAGATTTAACAGAATCATTTTTTAAAATCATTGCATTATTTCTACGTTTTTAGCTGTTATTATTTTATCTGTAACTTGCACTGAGTCCATGTCAGGGAACAAGGCTGAGGAGTAGTAGGAGTGATGATGATGATGATAATAATAATAGACATCAGGGGAAGGGGTTATGTATATTGTTAAATATAATCCATTTCATTGGTAAAAAGAATAGATTACATGGGAAAGTAGCTGGAATTGACACCCGCAGGATTAATTTTTCATTTCTAGCTATTGCAAATAGTTGTTTCGACTGAGATGCATTATAACAATGCTAAATCCTGCTCTTAACCTTGACTTTCGGTTTCCATGTGCAAAGCATTCTGCAAACTAAACCGGTAGCACTTGAAACAGGAAAGAAAACATGGGAATAGCCATCATTTAAAGCACTGCAATCTTTCTTAACCAAGAAAAGTTTTAACAGTCTCCAATTTTGAATATCCTGTTTTATTGGGGGGGGGGTCAAAGTTTTGCCTCTTAAGCTGTTTCAAATCATAATAATCAGTTCTAAACATTTTTAGCTGCAATTTAAGGTTTGATAAGAGAGATGCTTAGCCACAATGTTTCTGACTTGGCAAATAAATCTCTAAGCCAGTAGCCAATTCAGTATGTTTCTGACAGGACATCTCTCAAATTACTGAAAGAAGCAGCATACCAGCTCCAACAATATTTAACATTGACTGTAACACGTCTCACTTTCAGATTAGTACGTCCTGATTCTGCAAATGTTTCTATAACTATTCTGGAAAGAAGAGCTGATAGTGAACACCCTTGATTTATTCCCCTGTGCAGCCAGACTTGAGGTGAATATAGCTGGGCAATAACTGCTGAAAAAAACCTGTCTCCAAAGTAATCTTAGAAGGAAGTTCCATTCAAACTGCTCAAAAGCTTGAAGATGTCTAATTGGATTAGAAGGATTTAGGATTTAGTTTGGGGGCACCATGGTAGACCACATTCAGTGCCCTCCTGACTGAATGGCTGGATGGGCATAAAGAACATTATTTACGCATTTTCAGAATGAACTGATTAAATCTTGTTAGTCATCATTATCAAGAAAATGGTTTTCTCACTTAACGTTGCTGCCAAAAAAGATCTATACATCATGATTTATCAACGTGAACAGGCTGTACAAGTTCATTGATTGAGGGTCCTTATCTGGTTTGGGTGCAACAACGTGTCTGGATTGCTTCCAAGAAGCAGGAATAACACTTCCATCCAGGATAGAATTAAGCAGAAGTGAAAGATGAGGGACTCAGATATCTGCTAAATGTCCGTAAACTCTTAAGTTAGACCATCATTACTCAGTATTTACCATTTTAAGGTGTGGGGGGGTTGTTGTTTTTTGGAAAAATTCAGCATCAACTTCTTCAGCTAAAATGGTCTGATTCAGATCACCTTGATGCTCTGCTTTTAGAGCCATTCTGGTCCAGCTCCATGTCATCAAGTGATATAATTAGATTGTCTAAAGAAGCCCAGTATATAGTATCGCCCGCTTTGGAAGTCTTCCTTGAAATCCATTGTGAGTGTGGATTTCATGCATAGAATGCCTTTTGAAACCTCTAAAGCTATGGTCTCGTGCTCTTTTCCTTGCCTTGCATAAATCCTTTACAGGAAGATATTCTGACTCTGTTGATTATTAAGCCTGATGGTAACAAAAGTGTATTTCTGGCTTGCAAACAAAATCATGATGCTTAAGAACAAACACCGTCACCGATCCTGGCACAATTGCACTAGCTGCCAATTAGGTTCCAGGTGTGATTCAAAGTGCTGGTGTGGATTTATAAAGCCTTACATGGCTCAGGACCTCAATACCTTAAGGATGGCCTCTCCTCATATGAACTGACCTGGACCTGAACTGACTTGTCACCTGAGGCCCTTCTCTATGTCCCTCCCTCCCAGAGAGGTTTGGAGGGTGGCAACAAGAGAACGGGGCCTTTTCTGCGGTGGCTCTCCAGTTGTGGAATTCTCACCCCAGAGAGGCTCACCTGGCACCATCATTACATGTCTTTAGGTGCCAGGCAAAAACTTTCCTCTTTACCCAGGCCTATGGCTATTAAATAACCTACAGCCTGTGAAAGTGTGGGGGAGAGGACTGCTGTTATAATAAGTACTTTATTATTAGGCTGGCTGTCAGTATGCTTTGGTCATGTTCTGTAATGTGTTTTTAAAGTTGTTCACCACCCTGGGAGCTTTTGATAAATGGTGGCATATAAATGGAATTAATAATAATTTTAAAACATCACTCCATCCTTATTTCCTTTAAGGAAAGGCATTCTACGCTGGGAATTAAAGTCTCATATCAAAGTTCCTTCTGGCTTATCAGTTTCACCTGGATTTATCTTGTTTTGCTTTTCTTTGTCTGCAGAAAGTGAGTGAGAAGGTTGGTGGAGCAGAAGGAACCAAGCTAGATGAGGATTTCAAGGAAATGGAAAGGGTAAGTCTGAAAGACTGCTATTACATCGTTCATATTATTTCAGCAATGCCTGATATTAAAGCACTGTTGCAATTAGGGCCAAAATGTATAGTTGATTAATCATTTGGAACAATTGATTAAAAACCTTTTGAATGTTATTTTAAAAATGTGCCTCTGATTAATTGATTGCACGGGCAGCAGATTTCAAGGGGCAGATTTCATTTTTTGAAAAGTTTGTTTTAAGTACAAGCTTTTACAAAGCCACAAATGACAGGCACCATTTTAGCTGGGGAGGGTATCTCTTTTAAGATGGTGCTTGTTGTGATTTGTGTGTGCTCCATCTGGAAACCAACTCTGATTTTTAATAATAATAATAATAATAATAATAATAATAATAATAATAATAATATTTGTATCCCGCCCATATGGCTGGGTTTCCCCAGCCACTCTGGGTGGCTTTCAACAAAGATTAAAAATACATTAAAATGTCACACATTAAAAACTTCCCTGAACAGGGCTGCCTTCAGATGTCTTCTAAATGTCAGGTAGTTGTTTATCTCTTTGACATCTGGTGGGAGGGCATTGCACTGGGTGTGCACCACCACCGAGAAGGCCCTCTGCTTGGTTCCCTGTAGCTTTGCTTCTTGCAGTGAGGGAACCGCCAGAAGGCCCTCAGCGCTGGACCTCAGTGTCCGGGCAGAACGATGGGGGTGGAGACGCTCCTTCAGGTCTACTGGGCCGAGGCCATTTAGGGCTTTAAAGGTCAACACCAACACTTTGAATTGTTCTTGGAAACGTACTGGGAGCCAATGATAGTTGACTTCAGAATGATAGTTGACTTCATTTTTTTTGTTATTAACATTTATACACCCCCTCCCCATGTTCTTCCCACCTCCTCACAACAAACCCATGAGGGAGGTCAGACTGAGAGACTGTGCTTGTTCCAGTGAGCTGCGTCGCCGAGTGTGGATTTCAACCATTGCAAGGAGGAAAACCAAGACCTACTTAACCTGGGACTTAACCCCATTGAATTCAAAAGGACTTAACCTCGGAACAGGCATGCATAGGACTGCATTGCTAGTAATTCAGGCAGCAATCTCGTACCTACCTAGGGATAAGCTCCATTGAAATGAATGGAACATATATAGAGGTTTTAAACCCCTACTACTAATTGACGCTGATGGCTTTGATCAAATGTTGGACCTAGTTACGATAAAACAATTAGCACACTGTGTAGGAAATCAGGGATTCAAAGGACACCCGGTGTCTTATTACCACTGAATTCGGAAGAGACTATTACTTTTATCTTGTCATATGCCGCCATATCACAGCTGAATAAAAGGATTAAGAAAGCGAACTCCCGTGCCCCAATCTGGCAGGAGAGATTGAATATTTCGCATGGCCTCTGGTCTTTCTTTCATACCCATTGCAGTTGCCAATATAAATGTGGATGGTACACATTCCCATCCACAACATGATGCTGATCTGAGCCCCATTGAAAGAGCTGGATGCTACTTTTGATGTGAACGGACGACGTCTGGATTGGAGCCCAATTTTCAGCAGCTACAACAACGACCACTTATTTTGCCTTCCAATGAAATTTGTGTTGATCTACTTTTGCTTTGTGCTTTAAGCCCATGACTCATTAGGGAAAATGGATAAAGGCAGAGAATTGAATGAACCTAAAAGCGGAAGATGGGCAGCCAGATGAAAGCTAGATCCTTGCATATGCTTGTTCTATTTTCTTTGGACATGTACAAGCTGTTTTAATGATTGGTGGGCTGTTGAGTGTTCACTGCAGTAAAGGAAGATTACTAGGTCTGTGTTTGCTCTGATGAACACCTGTGCCAGAAACATGGAAGGGAGGAGGAAGTGGCAAAGGCAACGAGACATCTATAAATGCTTCCTCCTGCAAAGGAACAAGCAGGCCAGGTGCGCTTGGGCTGTACCACTGGGTTGTCCCAATATTCTAACAGAATGACACCAACTGTTCCTAATAAAAGGGTTGCTTGTTCATGATCACAAGGAGGCAGGTTTTGCCTGTGTCTTGCAGTGGTGATTTTGGAGACCTGCTTCCAGGGCCTGTCATTATCCCCTTCCAGTCATTCAAAGCATTGTGGGAGGGTGGCATCACAGTAGCAGTGAGGAAATTCTGGAGCAGAAGGCAAGGAAAATATTCCGGGGAGAGGGGTGGAAGAGGGATAATTTCATGTCCCTTGGTGTGATACTGGAGCTCCCCATCTAGGTCCAACTTAAAAAAAGAATGAAAATATTCAATAGTTTGTTAAAAATATATATACCTGTTTCCTTAAAACTATATAACAGATTAGGGATGCGGGTGGCACTGTGGGTTAAACCACAGAGCCTAGGGCTTGCCGATCTCTGATCAGCAGTTCGAATCCCCATGATGGGGTGAGCTCCCGTTGCTCGGTCCCAGCTCCTGCCAACCTAGCAGTTCAAAAGCATGTCAAAGTGCAAGTAGATCAATAGGTACCGCTCTGGTGGGAAGGTAAACGGCGTTTCAGTGCGCTGCTCTGGTTCGCCAGAAGCGGCTTAGTCATGCTGGCCACATGACCCGGAAGCTGTACGCCAGCTCCCTCAGCCAATAAAGCAAGATAAGCGCTGCAACTCCAGAGTCGGCCACGACTGGACCTATGGTCAGGGGTCCCTTTACTTTTACCTTTACATAACAGATTTGCACATATGATAGAGGAGAACAGAGGAGGCTCTGAAAACCCTAAATGCAACTGTTATTCCAGGCCCAAAGATGTGATGTTGAATGTATGGTTGCATCTCATGTACACATTTTCAGAATGCAAATAGCAGCTTCAGGTGGGGAGGGACAAATGACTGATAACTGACAGAATTTCAGCAGGCAGGGAAGAGAAGTTTAACCCTTTCCACCCCTGCTGTGCTCCTGTTGGAAATTACTCCTTGAATTGAGAGGAAAGGCCCCATTGGGAAGCTTCATAGTAATGTTGAAAATGTTGAACTTCTTAAATTAAGGGCAGTACTTGTCCTGATTGAAACAGGTAAGTGGCCAAGAATATGCAGCAAGCCAAAAATTTCCTCCTTGCTCCCATTCATTCTTTGTAGAGCCAATGTGGTTAAGAGTATGATACTGTGAAGACCTAGATTCAATTCTCCACTCAGTCATGAACCTGGGATCAGTTATTGTCTCTCAGCCTAACCCACCTCACCAAATTGTTGTAAGGTTAAAATGGGTGACACAGAACCACATGCAGACCGCTCTGAGCTGTACGGAGGAAGGATAGGATATACCATATTTTTTGCTCTATAAGACACCCCAGACCACAAGACGGACCTAGTTTTTGGAGGAGGAAAACAAGAAAAAAAGTATTCTGAATCTCAGAAGCCAGAACAGCAAGAGGGATCGCTGCGCAGTGAAAGCAATCCCTCTTGCTGTTCTGGCTTCTGTGATAGCTGTGCAGCCTGCATTCGCTCCATAAGACGCACACACATTTCCCCTTACTTTTTAGGAGGGAAAAAGTAAGTCTTATAGAGCAAAAAATACGGTAATTGCAATAAATCAATGGAAAGGCCATTGCATTCAAGAATCTGCATTTCAGACCTGGTGTTGTTAGATCTGCTACTTCCTGGGCTTCCTTCACTGCCTTTATTATTCCAGCCTTTTGATTTTATGTTGCTCTGAGACCTCAATTAGGCCAGTACTTCACTGTGCTAAGCATTGTAATGACACATAATAAACTTTAATTATTCCCCGGCCCTCAAAGTGCTTACTGTCGTATAAACAACAAAGCAGGTGGGTGAACAAATGAAATGAGGGCATGGAAAGGAGATTAACAATATAAGCAGGTATCTGTTGTGTACATAACAATGCAGATGTACTTGAAAAGAATGGGGTAGATATTTGGTCAAGGATGGTAGCTGAGCAAGTGCAGGAGGACTATTTTCAGGTTTCTGCATAAGCCATTGAAAGTTGGCCATGTTCTGCTGGGTTTGGGAGCACGGACGGTCCTATTGTTCTGCAGAGTGATGTGGCCACCTCATGCAATAGTTTGGCAGAGGTGCTGAAAGACAGAGCTTTATGTGTGCCACATGACCTGCTCTGCAGCCTCTAAGCCAGCCTCCTACTTTGCGGGGCAGTGGAGGCACTGTCTCATTGCTCGTTCTTCCAGTTAAGATTCCACTGCATGTCTGATGAGCTTCCATTTGTGGAATGAGGAAGGGATGCCATTTTGGCCTCAAGGTGCCACATGTCTTTAGTGTATCCACACTGAACCTTATCAAGTGTTTTAATACCAGTGAATGGGGCTGAATAATCTCCAGAACTCTCCCCCTGCTTCAAAATGTGACTCAGTTTCCCAGCTATCGCATTGTTTACCATAATGGTTCCATTTTAGGAGATACATTGTAAAATATTCAGAGTAGAATATTGAGAATATCTAGAGCCCAGAAGACTGGTAATAGCTTATTGAGCCTTAGCTTCTCTGAAAGGAAGGCTTGAGTCATATGTTCACCTCTCAATGAGGCATAACATACATAGAAGCCTCCCAGAGCCTGTAGATGACTCTCTGTCTTGACATCTTTGATGCCTGACACTCAAAGTCGGAGATCCCCCTTGTGCTCTCGGTGAGTAAAGGGCTTCAGCTGCTCACTAACCAACTAATAGGTGCCTTGCTTTTATTTTTAAGGATGGAAGTAGACAATTGCTCCCCAGTTTTCCTTTCTTGTCCTGTCTGACATTGGTTGCTTTTCCCTACTCTTCTCCTTCCCAACTGCAGGCAGGAGATGTCAACAAAAGAGGGAACAAGGAAGGAAAACAGTCAGGGAGTGACTTCCTTGATCTTCTCTGCAAGAAAAAGCAAGGTACTGCCAGAGGATGAGTGAGTAGCAGCTCTCGCCCTCCCAGAAACTGGGGCCAGGTGAAATCTGGAAGCGGGCTCACCTGTGCCAGGTGTCTGTAGTGGCTATCAGAACCAGTGGTTTCTATAGGCTCTTGAAGGTTTCTGTCCCTGTTCTGGCTCATTAAGGAGGTTGTTGCATGAGGCAGAGTCTGCGGCATTATAGATTTTCTATCATGGCAGGCATAGGATTTTGCCACATACCCAGTAACATGTTAGGGGAGAACAGCAGTGTGTTGGGTCTGTTAATCTGTAGTTGCTATTGACACAACTAGCACATTTGTGTCATCTACCACATATAATGAAGAATGATGGAAGAATAAGTACAGAAAACCAAAAGTATTGGATTATCCATCCTCATTGGGTGTTTCCTCTCTCCCTTTTATATCTTCTTCTTCGTCTTCTAATTGCAGAAAGTAGATGTCACCAGCAGGGCTGTGATGGAAATAATGGCCAGGACAACAGAATACCTTCAACCTAACCCAGGTAATTTTCCTTCTTTGGGAATCAGAGTGCATGTTGATTAAAAGTTCACTCACTTTATTCCAGTGCTGCTTCAGATGGGCTTTTATCGAAAAACAGCAGCAGAGTAGGAAATGATGTGTAGGAGAGATATTCTCTGTGCAAAGTATGACGTATATAGATGGTTTTAAGAGCTTTGTCATTACTGATGCATGGGCACTGAATCTAAGGTGAGGAATTCACTAGCCTTTGTTGCCATACTTCTTGAATGTACATCAGTGCAAGGAACATCCTAATGTACACAGAAGGCTGTTCTGCTTTCCCCTTTTCAGCAGAGTCTCACTTCCTCAAGTTGATCAGAATCTCAACATTCAGGGCTCCTTTGTACAGTGAAAAGAAAAGACACCCGACACTATCATATCCTGAACCCCCTTTGCCTTAGTTCTTAAGATGCTCTTGTATGAGTGGTAGGTGCTTCAGCTAGGACAAGAGGAGCCTGGTATTTGTCAGTTCTCTCTTCCTCCTTAAGTGCCTTGTGCCCAATGCCTTCCTCTTCCCCAAGACTTGGGGATGGATTTTGAGGGCTACAGAGGAGGCGGTAGAGCCCTGCCATGTCAGCAAAATTCTGCTCCATAAGGAGAATGGATGTTAGGAACCAAGCCATTGCCTACTCCACCAGGGCCAGGGCCTTCTCAGTGATGGCTCCGACCTGGTGGAATGCTCTGTCCCATGAGACCAGGGCCCTGCAGGATTGAACTTCCTTCTGCAGGGCCTGTAAGACAGAGCTATTCCCCCTGGCTTTCAATTTGAACTTAGCCTGATCTTTTATTCCCCTTCCTTCCCTCCCCCTGGGATCCCACAGCTAATTCTCCCCTGGTCTCCTCGCTGGCCCAAAACTAATTTAGCCAGCTAGCCCTGGTGATCACCTAATGTTTATTGGATGGATTTCCCCCCTAAATTGATTGCTGAATTTGGAATTTGTTGTTATTCACATTTTATACTGTATTTTAAGCTGTTTTTTGTTGCATCAATTAAGTGTTTTAAATTTGTTGTTAGCCACCCTGAGCCCGGTTTTCTGAACTGGGAAGGGCGGGTGTCAGGGAACTGCCATCAGTACTGGAGGGAGAGCGCAAAAGCCAGAGGGATTCCAGAGAGCATCCAGGGATCGGGAGAAGCAGCCCATCTTCTGGGGAAGAGAATCAGCGTAGCACCAGTGGAGAAGGGGGGCAGGTGGGGGAAGTGGCGAGGTGGTCCCATGACTCCTTTCCTGGGACCAGCGGGGAGAGTAGGGGTCCTCCGTTGCCCACGCCCTCCCTGCACAGAAGGCTTTCGCGCAGAGAGGGTAGGTGGAGACTAGGCGTCAAAGAGCTTCTTTGCTGGAAGAAGTTTAAGAAACGCCCACTCACGGATTCTGCCAGCGACTGAGTCAGCCATGGGTGAGTGGCGGTCCGGACAGATAAGGTTCACTTTGGCAGCCCAGCCAGGTGTTTGCACCCAGCCAGGGAGATAGGTGCCTGCTTACGCACGAGCAACCCCTTAGAAACCATTACAGTGGGGTATAAATAAAAATTTATTATTATTTATTATTATTATTACTCTGACTGTCAACGCCTGTCTACTTCTCAGCATGCTGTAAAGACAAAGGAAGAATCTGCTGGGTCAGGCCAATGTCCAGTCTAGTCCAGCCTCCTGTTCCCACAATGGCAGACGAAATGCCTGCAAGCTGGTCATCAGTTCAACAGCACTCTGGCCACCTGTGATTCCCAGAAAATGAGTATTTGGAGCTGCCCTTGAGACTGACCCAGAAACTCCAGCGGGTTCAGAATGCCATGGCGAGACTCCTTACGGGGTCCTCGCTGCAGGATCACATTCACCCTGTGCTATACCAGCTGCACTGGCTCCCGGTGGAGTACAGGGTCAGGTTTAAGGTGCTGGTTTTAACCATTAAAGCCCTATATGGCCTAGGACCCTCGTACCTACGGGACCGCCTCTCCTGGTATGCCCCACAGAGGAACTTATGGTCTTCAAACAAAAACATCTTGGAGGTCCCAGGCCACAGAGAGGTTAGGCTGGCCTCAACCAGAGCCAGGGCTTTTTCGGCTGTGGCCCCAATCTGGTGGAACGCTCTGTCACAAGAGACTAGGGCCCTGCGGGACTTGACATCTTTCCGTAGGGCCTGCAAGAAAGAGCTGTTCCACCAGGCCTTTGGCCAAGGCACAGCCTAACCCCCTCCTTTGGTAATTCTTCACAGAACTGTAGCCCAATGGTTGCCATCAATTTGATTTGAACTGATTTTATAATGAATTGATTTTAGAATGCTGTGTTATTTTACTGTTGTTAGCCGCTCTGAGCCTGACTTCGGCTGGGGAGGGTGGGATATAAATAAATTTTTATTTATTTATTTATTTATTTATTTATTTATTTATTTATTATAATGCATCTGGCAGCATCGGTAGAGCATAGCCACTGTGACTAGTAGCCATGGATAAAATGTCAGGGATGGAATCTGGGGTTTTGTGTGTGCTGTTGGTCTGCCTGTATCTCTCACTGCATGTTTATCACTATGTGCAGATGTGGTAGGGAGACAATGCTGAGTCTGGTTTCTTGGTGTGTTTGTGGATTGTACACTGTGTTCGTACACATGCATTTAGAAGATGGGAAATACTTCTCAGAAATAGGTAATGGTTTTTGTCCTTCATGGTGGAAGAAGCCTGAGAAGGTATGGTCTCACTAGTTATAGTCTGCAGAGTCATTCTGTGCGTAATAGCTGTGCTTACAGGTGAAGCCTAACTGCATCGTGTCCCTAGGCTACTGAATACACCCACTTCTGTTCCAGTCAGTGCTCTTGAATTGTGCCAGCTGCTAAATGAGGCAAGAAGCTCTGACGTCCTGTTGAAAACACTTTAGATTCAAAGGGCAAACCGCAGGTTGAAAATCTTAAGCAACATAGTCTCCTCACATCCTGGTATTGACCCAGAACTCTGATGTGTATTGAATTAAAACATTGCTTATTTGCAAGGTGTTGACATCTGATTCCATATCAGAGCGTTTGGTAAAAATGGAATGGATGGAAATCAAACTTTGAAATATTTCTTGGCTATGCAAGTGATGTTGGTTCTTTTCAGTTGTTACCAACATGCATTGAGTTTCAGACAGTGGGGTGTCTGAAAAGGGGATCCTGGGCACATACAGTGTATGCATATAGGCACTGCGTGTATTCTGGATCTCTCATGGTGCAGACTTCCAGTCAGATTAAGCACCTGTGGAAAGGGGCAGGGGCACTGGGGAGTGGCAATGTCTAGTTTTGGACAGACTTCTTCATGAAAATAAACACCATTTCCACCCCAGCCTTCATCTGAAGACTGCAAGGGGGTTGTGCAACAGTTTCACTGTTTTGTTGTTCCCCGGCTCAAGGTTCCAAGAGGACTGGAAAGGATTTAGTGAGCCCGGAAAGGATTTGCAGCGGAACAAACAGAATGCAATGGCGCAAACCGTTACTTGCCATCCTCCACTCCACCGGTATCATTATAGTGTTCTGTTTCCCACTCTGAGCAACAGAATTCTGATGATTTCCCCTGCCATCTCGTGGGTTTGGTTGCGATATATACGTTATGTGTTATTGAGCAATTTGTGCTGCAGAGGCACCACAGCCAAAACACATTTTCGTAGATGAGTCACCGAGATAAGGTTTGCTTCCTATGATAGGTTTTGTACTCTGAGACAGATACCCAGCTACAAAATGTATGCGTCATGCATCCACAACGGAGGAATTGTGTGCATGCATAAATTACTCCAGGTCCCTTTACAGTTCATGTGAGTGTGGCTTCATATCTCTCCCGGTTGCAGCTGGCATATATTTTAAGGCGGGGAAACACATATCCATGCTCCTCTCATTCCTGATGTGATATGAGGATCTTTTGTGCACTCAGAAAGTCTCTTGAGCTACAGCTTCCTTGGAACCATGTAGAAAGAGTAAGTGGGTTAAGCTTATTACGACTGTCTGCTGTCCAGTGTGCTGATAGTTGTAGTGCCAGGCATTGGGGGTGGGAAAGCAGGCAGTCTGCTCACTTAATACAGAGCTTTAGAGGAAAGAAGGAAGCAAACAGTTCTGTCTCTCTTCCCTGCTGCCCAAGGCACCCATTTAGGCAGAAGAATCATAGAAAGAGAACCTTTCTATGATATGAGTTTTTGCTGTTGTTACTGATATTAACTGATATTACAGTGGTACCTCAGGTTACAGACGCTTCAGGTTACAGACTCCGCTAACCCAGAAATAGTACCTCGGGTTAAGAACTTTGCTTCAGGATGAAAACAGAAATTACGGGGCGGCAGCGGGAGGCCCCATTAGCTAAAGCGGCACCTCAGGTTAAGAACAGTTTCAGATTAAGAACGGACCTCCAGAACGAATTAAGTTCTTAACCTGAGGTACCACTGTACTGATATTAACTTTTTGTATCTTTATTTTTGTGTGGAAATTGTTCAGTTTGGCTGTGTAGATCTTAATCATGTGTTTTATTTGTTTTTATGACTACTTTGGGATGCGGGTGGCGCTGTGTGTTAAACCACAGAGCCTAGGACTTGCTGATCAGAAGGTCAGCAGTTTGGATCCCCATGACGGGGTGAGCTGCCGTTGCTCGTTCCCTGCTCCTGCCAACCTAGCAGTTCGAAAGCACGTCAAAGTGCAAGTAGATAAATATGTACCGCTCTGGCGGGAAGGTAAACGGTGTTTCTGTGTGCTGCTCTGGTTCGCCAGAAGCGGCTTAGTCATGCTGGCCACATGACCTGGAAGCTGTACGCTAGCTCCCTTGGCCAATAAAGCGAGATGAGCGCCGCAACCCCAGAGTCGGCCACGACTGGACCTAACGGTCAGGAGTCCCTTTACCTTTACTTTATGACTACTTTGCTATGTTTGTGATCATGTAAATCTTTTCATATTGTAAGCCGCCTTGAGCATTGTTTTAACTGAGGAAAGGTGGCATACAAATAAAAAATGATGATCATGATCATGAACCTACTCAAGTGACGCTGGCACAAAACCCCCACACATGCACTAAGTAAAATAACATAAGCTTTACCACCCCACCACCCCTCTGTCTCCCATCCCCTCCTCTTTTCTTACCAACCCTATACTGCATTTGACACCAATGTCTCTCAACAAATGTAACTGAGCTGTAGAAAACACAACCTGAAGAAAGAGACAACACATGTACTTTTGTAAATAATAATAAAATAATAAAATTTTATTTATATCCCACCCTCCCCAACCAAAGCCGGGCTCAGAGCGGCTAACAACAGTAAAAGTAACACAGTTTGCCTAAAATCACAATCAATTAATTGAAATACATTCTAAAATCAATTCAATTCTAAAATCAATTCAGAGTCAAGTTAATGGCAACCACTGGGCTAGAGTTCTATGAGGATTACAGAAGGAGAGAGGGGGGTCAGACTGTGGCAAATCTTGGAGGAAATGGAGTTTCACCATGGCTGAAGAACTCACTGGGAGAACTCTTTTTAAAATTATTATTCTGTCTTTGGTCCTGTATTGTCACCTTTTCTTGGGCTAATTAGCTTGTTTGCTTGCTTGCAGCTTCCAGAGCTAGACTCAACATGCTCAACACTATGTCCAAAATTAGAGGCCAGGAGAAAGGACCAGGTTACCAACAGGCGGAGGCCCTGTTAGCAGATGCGATGCTGAAGTTTGGAAAAGAACTTGGAGATGAATGCAACTTTGGTAATGTTTTTTTTTTTTTTTTTTATCCTCACTGTAAGATACCTCTGGCTGGACGGACCTTCTCGGGGTTAGGCCTCCCGAGGTGACACAAAAATGGCAAAACCTGATTATGCCATATTTTATTTATTTAAACAAATTTATGCCTTGCTTTTTGAGAGAGGTTCCCCACAAAGTGGCTCATAACAAGATTTAAAATCACAACATACCACACATTTATTCGGGCAGATTTTTCCCATGTGGGAGGGCAAGGACTAAGCACATGCAGAGAACCCTCGTTCAAAATGTGTAGCTGCAGCCACAATTTGCTTTGAATCTCTGCATCTGGTTTGCCAAATTGTTCTTTTATGAATTAAATGTTCATAACTGGACCTTTGTAGAATAGTTTGTATCAGACACAAGCTCCCAGTACAAAAATTCAACAACACGCCATATGTAGGGTTGCCATATTTCAAAAAGTAAAAACCAGGACACCCCAAAAGTTTTTGAGCTTTTTTAAAGAGAACCCTAAAGTTGTTGAGCCAAAACATGCAATTTTTCAATTGACTTGCCTAAGATCCAGGACAAAGCGGATATTCCTCCCGGATGTCAATTCCGCTTATTTTCTGACAGTTAAACATTTGGGGCTGTTGCACACAAAGGCTAACTATTCAGAATATACACACTGTTGGGCATAGTAGCATCCCTTGGGCTCATGTAATTTTCTCCAGCATGCACAGATAACCTTCAGTCTGAACCAGGGCTTACAGGCATGAGTGCTTTTAATAGTAGATCTTGCTTGCATGAGATGTCCACTGAAAAGGGATGTCCTGATCCTGTGAGCATTGTCTACTCACATAAGCATAGATAGATAGATAGATAGATTAGATAGATAGATATAGGCTTTCTCACATCCTGCCATGCTTATAAGCTTTTGTTTCTAATCTTCTTAGCTGCACTAGAGCCTGATTTCCACACTAGAAGTGTGGAAAACTATTGGTTTTTACAAATAAACAAATTAATGGCTGGTATTCCCCAGGCTGGGTCTGAATGAGGCCAACATAGCAGACAACCAAAGGTCATCTGGGAGGGAGTTGCATGATTATGTGCCATGATACAGAAGTTCTGTTGCCTAGAATGCCTTTAGTGATATTCAACATTAGTTGTACATTAGAATGATTGAAATCAGTGGATTAAATCCAGCGGTTTCAGTGGGTCTATTTGTGTATGATTAATGCTGGTTTTCACCCCTGTGTTTTTGATTCCTGAGAAATTACTGAGCTTAGGAACCGTGCTAAGAATTTTATTTCTGTATGGAACTTCTCAATACTTGCCCTGCTCTATGCTGATGTGGAAGTACAGTCTTTGCTTCTTTGTCAAGATTAAGTAGACTCTTCCATTTCTTCAGGCCCAGCTCTCGGTGACGTTGGGGAAGCAATGAGGGAACTTTCTGAGGTGAAGGATTCTTTGGACATTGATGTGAAACAGAATTTTATTGATCCCCTTCAAAACCTTCATGACAAAGATCTGAGGGAAATACAGGTAATTTGCTGAGAAATTAACTGGCCGTTGCAAGATACACAGCAGAACCATTGCTCTGTAGCTCCTCCTTTCTCTTTCACATAATACAAAGTGCCAGGATAGAGAAGCACATGCACTGGCGGGAGACCTGTTTGGATCTGTTGGTGTGCTTGCACTGTATTCACCTTACCTCTGCCCTGCTCCATATCTGTAATTTAATTGTGTGTATGTGTACGTACACACACACACACAATATTTTCTATCTATCTATCCTATGTATGTATCTATCTATCATCTATCATCTACGGCCTAGGACCCTCGTACCTACGAGACCGCCTCTCCCGGTATGCCCCACGGAGAGCCTCAGAGTCCATAAATAGCAACACCCTAGAGGTCCGGGGCCCTAAGGAAGTTAGATTAGCTTCAACCAGAGCCAGGGCCTTTTCAACTCTGGCTCCGGCCTGGTGGAACGCTCTGCCTCATGGGACCAGGGCCCTGCAGGATCTGATTTCTTTCCGCAGGGCCTGTAAGACAGAGTTGTTCTGCCTGGCCTTTAGCTTGGAGTCAATTTGATTCCCTCCTGCTCTTTCTTTTTTCTTTCTCCTCCTGTGATGAGGCTGCATTTTAATATTTTAATGTTTCAATATTTTAATGTTGTATTTTAATCCTGTTTTTAAGTTGTATTCATTCAACTTGTTTTTATTATTGCTTGTTAGCCGCCCTGAGCCCAGCCTTGGCTGGGGAGGGCAGGGTATAAATAAAAATTATTATTATTATTATTATTACTATCTATCTATCATCTATCTATATCACATATCTCTATCTTAGAAGAAGTAGTTGTTAAATGGTGGTCATACCAATATATAACATTGCTCAGCTCATTTTAACTCTGCAATCCTATGTATGTTTATTCAGAAGTGAATCTTCAACGGGATGACTCCCAGGTAAGTGCATAGCATTGCAGCCGTGGTCTGGATCCAACCCTTTATGCAGCGCAGCTCAGGGAGAATGTAATTAAAAATGGAAACAAGGATTCCAAGAATAGAAATCACTCCCAGCAGCAAGTTCCTACTCCAAAGTCAAAACTAAAAGAACGTTCCCTGGTGGCCGGTGTTGCGGTCCTCATCTATAATAATAATAATAATAATTTATTACGGCCGTAGGCCCATACAGATAAAAACAAGACATAAATAACAGCCTGTGCACATGGGAAAAAAACAGCCGCTAAAACACTACTATAACAATAAGCTACTATAAGATGGAATGGCATACTACGCCTTAATTAGCTTGTGGTGCTCCTTGGCGACGCTTTTGGGTAAGGACAGCGACCAGGAACCTAGCCACTTTCAGGGTCGTATGGGCATCCTTATCCTGCAAGATTTGGGCAAGGTGGAATTTTGGTGGAGTACCCTCTAATTTCTGTATGATTGATCCCAACAAGTTTGCCCGTGGCACCTTAAATAAGGGGCAAGTGAACATAATGTGCTGAAGCGACTCCGGCATCTCCTTATCACATTCGCACATGGCGGAGGTTTGGCCCTTTGAGAATCTATGTCTCAGGACATTGGAGGGAAAAACATTAAACCTCGCTTTGGTGAAGGCCAGCCTATGGGCAACAGTCGAAAGGGAGGAGAGGTATGATGGAACGCAATAAGTTAAAGTGATACCAATGTTCTGGGGCGAACAAACACCTCCCCCCAGCATATAATTTTGCTGTAAATCGATGTCATCCAGTCTTTGGCGGATCAGTCTTTGAGCAGTGATTTGATCTAGTTTTAGGGAATCTAAGGGAGAGATTCCATAGCTCAGGAGTTTGGCATGAATTCTACTGGTCCAAAGGCTGGGGATTCATCTCGCCATAAGCATTGGGCAAGGTAATGGTCTGGTAATCTATGCCACAATGATAACCAATAATTGAAGACTTGCTTCCACAGGCAGGTTTCTAAGGATGCGATCCTCAATTCTAAACGCATGGCTGCGTTGCTTACGCACAGGGGAGCATTAGGAGCCGACGTAGGAATTGGTTTTGCAAAGTCTCAAGAGGAGCAAGGTCTGTCATCACGACCCAGAGCGGGGCAGCATAAGCAAGCACGGGAACCACTTTTGCCTTGAACACCTTTAGGGCCGAGGAACATGCAAAGCTCCATCCGAAAAGAAAAATCGGAGGAGCGCATATGACAGAGTTTTGGCCTTATTAAGTAGGTGTTGAATATGTGCTTTCCACCCCAAATTGTATTGAAAAATAACTCCTAGGTATTGAAATTTTAGGACTTGCTCTATTTTTGCTCCACCAAGCTTCCATCTCATCTACACAATAGCATCTTCCCCAGCAGCCTGAGAATTGTAGTTCTGTTCAGACACTGGTGTTTGGATACAGGCTCACTCAGAGCTCTAATGGCTTACTGGAGAGCGCTAGAAAAAATGTTTTATTTGTAAAATTATTATTTTTATTTTAGATATTCCTAAACTGTCCTTTAATTTAGTGGGCTGTAAGTACACCTTAGGCAAATGAAAGGTTGTTTATATCACAGCTTTCTAAAAAACAACAACAACACAACCCCATGCACAGATTAAAAACAAAGAAACCCAAAGAGCAATAGGAAAGCAACAGCAGCAGAAGAAGACGCCAGTCATGGTACCATCTCTTAACTTTCTGCCAATTTTTTTTTTAAGGCTAATAAGCTCCCTAGAATTGGGCAGGTGAAGTAGCTTGGCAGGATTGCCTCCATAATTGTGGCCCATATCCACCATTTTTGCTAGCAGATGGCAGGGTTTAAAGGTTGCGCAGCAAAGAAATTCAATGCAGCAGTTGCGCTAGTGGAAGTTTGTTGTGCAACAGCCAATGTTTATTGTGCAATTTGTTTCACAGCAATGCTTGGTAAAGTACTTATGTTTTCCCTTGTCCAACAATGTTTCGCCAGCGCAACAAGAACATCACTAATCAACTTTAACTTTGTGCTACATTGGATGCACTCTCAGCTCCCTCTGCAGTGAAGTCTTGTGCAGTACTGCTTTCTTCAAGGACTGCAAATTTGATGGAATTTCCTGTCAGTATAAACGCCTACTTATTGTTTTAATTGTGGTAGGAGGGTAGCCATTGAAATGCTGTACAATCAACAAAATAAAACAAGGGCGATCTCGGAGTACCACTTTTCCTGATGATCTCTAGAGCCTGGAAAGGCAACATTCTTTTTTTTTTTTTTTTTTTTTTTGCAAGTAAATTTTTATTCAGAATTTGTATAAAGAAAAGAAAAAAGAACTAACAAATACAAAAATAAACATTTTAACATAAATTATTCATCCTATTTTCATACTTTACAAAAAGAAAGCATATGTTCATACAAAAATAATAATATAACCATTAGGCTCTCCTTAGCCTTTGACTTCCCTTCACCCTTTTGGTAAGTATCAAATAAGTCCCGGGTTGCGTAATTAGTTTATTAAAGTTTATAGTTATTAGCTGATAAAGTTTTTCTAATACCGCCAGTTCCTCCTATATATCCGTTCCAATATATTTCCAAAACTTACTCCAATTTTTTGAAATTTCTGGTCGTCTTGGTCTCGTATTCTGCCTGTTAATCTATCTAGCTCGGCATAGTTGATCATTTTGACCTGCCAGTCACTTATGTTAGGAATAGTTTCTATTTTCCAGTTTTGTGCCAGCATAATTCTTGCGGCTGTGGTGGCATAGAGAAATATTTTTTTATCTTCATTTTTTATTTCCTTACCCATTATTCCCAGCAAAAAGGCCTCAGGTCTCTTGGGAAAAGTGTATTTAAAAACTTTTTTAAGTTCATTATAAATTGCTTCCCAAAAAACCCTCACCTGGAAAGGCAACATTCTTGTGATAAACATAGTTTCTGATGTAGTTGGTAGTTGTCAAAATTCAAGGAAGCAGTGTGTGGTCCTTGAATAAATAAGGATGTAATTAAGATGCACAGCTGGTCTTGAATTCACTGTGAAGCTTTCCCATCCACTACAGTGTTATGTCTGGAGTTGGCATTCTAGAATAATAGGCAGGGAGGATTCTAGAAGGCAGCATCTGATTGGCAGTGGAGCCGTCCAATCCGGCTCCAGAAGGGAAGTTTGAACTAACCTATCAGGTGTGACCTAGGGTGTGGTTACAGGATATATAGCCTGGGTCTGGGAGGGACTACAAGCCAGGCTACACCCTGACTGTTTTTATCTGGCTACCCTGAAATAAACTGATGGCCTTTCTCTGAGTATATTTCATACAGTGAGACAAAAATTAGGTTGCAAGCTAAAATTGCTTGTGTTTTTTTTTAAAGTTGCATATTTAGGCAAATAATGTTATATTAAAAATATGACTGTGTGGTTCTCCTATTCTATGTATTTCAGCCTTCACTCACTCTGATAGGCTAGTTTCACATCTAAACAGCTACCAACTATGACTTCTGCCCTTTATCTGCAATATGAGTAGCATACGGTCTTGATTCTACAGCAGAATCTGTGGGTACTTAGTCAACTCATTCCATATAAGTTTGAATGCATAGTCTTTATTTAGTCCACTGTGTTTGTAAGGCAGAGGCGATGACTTGCAGAAACTCTCTCCACCCTTCCCCCCCTCTTCAGCATCACCTTAAAAAATTGGAGGGCAGACGCCTGGATTTCGATTACAAGAAGAAAAGGCAAGGCAAAATCCCAGATGAAGAACTCCGTGCGGCTCTGGAGAAGTTTGATGAGTCAAAGGAAGTTGCTGAGTTGAGCATGTTTAATCTGCTAGAAATGGATGTGAGCAAATCTCTTATCTCCTTGGAATGTGTTGTAGTATTGACATGTTTGCTGGCAGTTTAATGACTTTTTAAATGAGTAGAAAAACAAAACAAAAGAACTGAGTTTTGTGTTCATGTTTCCTAGACTCTCTTCCATGGATATGCATCATCGTATTTCTTAAAACAACAGAGCTAGCATGCACAATAATAATGTTTTATTTGTGTGCAAGCTAGTCTGTGTATGGACTCTTAACATAAGAAGCACCTTGCTGCCCCAGGCCAACATCTATCTAGCCCTCATTCCAGAACCCAACTGGAATCGAATGATTCTTACTCAGAAAATGCCCAGTACTGATCGATCAGTCTGCCACTGGTATACCAATGGTTCTGCCCATTTCCTGCTGAAGTGAGCTCCTAACACAAGTCTACATACGTTTATGTTCACTTTGGCTTTCCAGTCCAATACAGATAGTACTTTATTCACCGTTTCTTGCATGTTGGAGTGTTAGTGCCTTTACGAAAGCTCTTTGAATAAGCTGCACGACGATACGTTTTCAATATCTCCCTTTTTCAGATCGAGCAAGTGAGCCAGCTATCTGCCCTTGTACAAGCCCAGCTGGAGTACCACAGGCAAGCCACACAGATCCTCCAGCAAGTTAGTTCCAAGTTGGAAGAGAGGTAACTAAATATTTCTGATGTTCTTAAAAAAGGGGGGAGGGGAATCTGAGGCTTAATATATGTTTCAATTTGTGTATATTGTCTGTGCAAACTTGTCAGTAGTGCTGAACCAGAAAAAACAGGCATGAAATTGTATTGTTGATCTGTTCAGTCTTTTAACACATAACTTAAATCCCATTGGTTGCAGCCACCAGGAAGTAAGATACGCAAGTGTAACTTAGGGCTGGAGCATGTTATATTTTGCAGCAGGCACTCAACTGAAAACATCATCCACTCTACCACTACCACCACCACCATCCCTAGCCTTACTAGTATTCGCACAGTTGCTCCCATGCCAGTAAAAGAACAGATACAGATGGATTGAAATGTTACTTCTAAAGACTGGTGGTGGGGTTAGTTCCCTTTTTTCATTCTGAAGTCATGTGTACCTATTTCAGGTGTTGCAAAACTTGGAGCTGGCTTCTTTGCTTGTTTTAAATTCTGTAAGTTGTTGACAGGAAGATTTTGGAGCTTCCTAAGACAGTATATGCCTTTACACTTTTACTCAACTATATATAGTCTTTCTACTGTTGACTTTAAGCACCTTGGACAAGTCCAGTCTGTTGCATTCTATCAATGGAGAGTTGAATATATTCAGTGAGCCAGGGAATCTGCATAGCTTCAGTTCCACTGCAAATTTGACCTCAAACTGCAGAACATGACAGCTTTGCAGAAACACAGCTTTCCTGAGGTCTTTTGCAATCAGACCTTCCAGGAAAAAGTACAAAAGGATCTACGATGATGAAGGGTTATAATCAGTGCTATTTTTCTAGAAAAAGAGGTACCAGAGCTCACCGTGAACTTCTCTCTTGTTCTCTTAGAATGGCAATGGTGCTCACCTGAGAGGTGCTGGCGCTCTTGTGAGCTCTGGCTGAAAAAAGCCCTGGTTATAAATATACCAAAACAAAACAGAACAAAATATCTAAGAGACTCCAGTTTATTCAGAATGCAAGGGAAACTTTTTGTCTTTCATTAGTCTTGGTGTTTACGATTTGCTGATGAATTGCATGCTCAGGATTTGCTTATCTTCTGGCAGGATAAAAGATGCCTCAGTTCAGCCCAGAAGAGAGTATCAGCCAAAGCCCCGCATGAGTTTGGACTTCTCTGAAAACAATCAGCACAACGGAGGGCTCTCTAATGCCACCACTCCCAAGCCCTCAAGTAAGAGAAGGTGGAAAGGAGGGGTGGAGAACATATGATAGTAAAGTCTCTCTGGGGGTTGCTCTGAAAATTAATACTAAACAAGGACAAACGCTGACATGAGCGACTCCTGCAATAGCATTTTCAATTTCTGGCTAGGAATGCCCAAAGGTTGAATTCTGTAGAAAGATGCATGGGCAGTATCAGATGTGGGAACACCTCACATAATTCACCATGGAAGACATGCACAGACTTTCCCCCTTGGATATGAGACAAGGAGCATTGAAAAGCAGGGGCATCTGTCAGCGCAATTCATTGGTTGATCTCTCATACATTTTCCCCACTGTTCCTCCAAAAAGACAAAGCTGGCACACATGACATTGTCTCCTTTTATTCTCACAGTACGTATGAATGAATGAATGAATATTTATTTGCACCAGCCATCGGCCATAGCAATAAAACAACAATACGATATACAAAGAATAAAAAAAGTCAATTTTATAAAAGACATTTTAGGGTTTTGAATCAATAGTCAAATAGTGGATCTTATTCTAATTGTCCCAGCTAAAAACCTTGCAGCCTTTGCTGTCACCTGCTCATCTTGATCTGCCAAGAGAAAGGACACTGGGGCAGTGGCTGAGCAACCCGGAATGGACAATAAAAGAGGGGTGATAATCTCATTCCTCAAGTCTTTATAAAGAGTGCAAACCAGAAGGGCATGTGCCACCGATTCAGTGCTGCCATCTCCACAGGGACATAAGCGTTTTTCATGTGGAATCTGTTGGAATCGTCCCTCAAGTACAGCCATGGTCAATACATTCAGTCTTGCGAGAGTAAAAGCACATCTACATTTTAGAATTGCTAGGTTATTTAGAGTGCCAGAGAGTCGAGATGGGAAGGTGGAAAATAATTATACCATGGGCAAAATTTCCTTATTGTGGCCAAGTTGTTCTGATGCTCGATATCATTTAGGCACTGACAGGTTGTGAGGTTGCAATGCCTAAAGCCTCCATGTGTTGCCGATCCAATGCCATTCGTAGATTTACCAACCCAACTGGCAGCAAAGACAGAAAAGGGTGGTGGCTCCTGAAAGAGGGGCCCATGCTCACCTTCATAATCTGTGTTGACCAAAGACCTCCTGACTCCACCCCAGCTCATTCAGTATAAAATGTGGTCCTGGTACTGGGTGCAAACCATTGAATATGTCTAGGCTGAAGTATGCAATTCTTGGTCTGAGGACATGATCTAGACCACAGGCCAGTTTCCCTCAAGATGCCCACCATGCTCCTTTAAAAAATAAAATAAAATAAAATCAAGTGTTCCTATGAAGCAAAAATTAAAAACTCAGTTGACACAGTGTTGGGGTGCATTTGTGCATGCTCCCTGTGAGGTGTGGGTCTCTGTGTGGGTTGCCTCACTTGATTTTGGCTACACCCATTTCTGGTTTGGAGGGCCTCAGAGGGCCACCAAATAAAGTTAGCTACTCCTGGCACAAGGGACGTGGGTGGCGCTGTGGTCTAAACCACAAAGCCTAGGGCTTGCCGATCAGAAGGTTGGCAGTTCAAATCCCTGTGATGGGGTGAGCTCCCATTGCTCGGTCCCTGCTCCTGCCAACCTAGCAGTTTGAAAGCACATCAAGTGCAAGTAGATGAATAGGTACCACTCTGGCGGGAAGGTAAACGGTGTTTCTGTGTGCCGTACTGGTTTGCCAGAAGTGGCTTAGTCATGCTGGCCACATGACCTGGAAGCTGTACGCCGGCTCCCTCGGCCAGTAAAGTGAGATGCGCGACGCAACCCCAGAGTCGGCCACGACTGGACCTAATGGTCAGGGGTCCCTTTACCTTTATCTTACTCCTGGCACAAATGCTTCCACACACTGGGAACCCTGCACTCTCAGGTTTCCTGGTCGTGCTTAGAGAACCTACATGTGTCCACCCCACTGAATGTAGGGGAGTCAAGCGTGTTGCCAGCAGCCACGATGTCCTTGCCATGTGTTCCATCAATGAAAGTTTTGATGGTGAGCGGAAGTCTCCAATGGCATTGTGGACGCCTGTCCTTTTACTGAGGTTTGTTGAACCCTCCATGGACTTCCGAGCATCATTCCTGGGCCGCGTTCAGCTTAGTGAGTCGAAAGTTGCACAAGGTCCATACTCGAGAATAAGAAAAAAGTTTGTGCAAATTGTGTGTGTGTTTGTGTAGGTAGCAGCCAAATTGGGATGGTTGCACGGGGATATGGAGGTTAATATGTCCTCCCATGTCCCAAACCTATGCTATAACCAGACATTTATCAGCTAGTATGACTACTCTCCTCAGCCAGTCCAAGGGCCCATCTGGTCCAGCATTTTTTTTATGCTGGACCAGATTTATTTATTTTTGCCATGTGTAGGGTACCTGGTTCCCTTCAGTTGTCACTGCCTACAGTGCCCACCATCCCTTGCCATGCTGGCTGGGGCTGATGAGGGCTGGAGGGCACCACGTTGCCTACCCCTGACTTCTGCCAGTATTGATTTCTCTCTCTCTCTCTAAGCGCCTTTGTTTTTGTTCCCCTCTCTTCCCTCTGCTTCCTCTGCAGATGTTCCCATGGACCAGCCGTGCTGTCGAGCTCTGTATGACTTCGATCCTGAAAACGAAGGGGAGCTGGGCTTTAAAGAGGGTGATATCATTACCCTCACTAACCAGATTGACGAAAACTGGTATGAAGGCATGCTTCATGGCCAGTCGGGCTTCTTCCCTATTAATTACGTGGATATTCTCGTCGCTTTGCCTCATTAGGAGGGCCGAGTCACCGTGTCTTAATCTCTCCCCCTCCCTCGAGAAATAAATAAAACAGGTCATGTGTCGACACCACTGCTTTTTAAAAACAAAGCAATGAATACATAATATGGCTGCTTACTCCACATCACAAATACAAGCTGCGGTGGTGATTTTTTCTTAAAACAAAAACAAAAAACCAGTCATCGGGCCCCCACAGACAATCCTTGGTTTTCGTGTTGTCATGCTACATCGTGGTGATGCGTGTTATCTTCTCCAGGCTGTGTGCCCAGGCACGTGGGACTTTCACGTTCACACACGCATGGTTGCCACAGAGAATGATGGGGGGAGAAAGTGGCGGTAGGCGATTTGAGTCAGTCATAGTGTTGGGAATGGGGGATGCAGTTGAGTTAGCTGGGAAGAAAAGTGTGTCGCCAGTCTACTGCCATTTTAGTTCTCCCATCGAAAGCGGGGAGCTGGGTCGCGCCCCTGATTGTTCCATCTTTCCCTTCCCAAATGTTGCGGTTTATGCGGGCCTAATATCGCTAACCAGCTTCTCATGTCGTTCTTCTCTTAAAAAGGAAAAAATAAAGGGGGAGGGGAAAGACAGAGTCCTGTCCTTGGAGAAACAGCATAGCGTATATTTCAGTTTCTCCGTAGATGAATCGCCACTATTCTATACCCGCTGTTGGCGTAGAACCAGCTTTTATATACGCAATAGTTAAATAGAGGCCTGTGCAGTATCCAGGTTACCTTTTGAAAACATCCAAAGGCCAGGCCAGGAAAGTAAAGCGCCACAAGCCAATGTGGCTTTCCTCAGAAATGTTGGACATAACAACAACAACAACAACAACAACAACAACAACAACAACCTAATGCCAGCAGCAAATAGATGATGCTAGAAGAAAAACCTAAAGAAACAAACAAACACAACTGTTTTCACTTTGTGTAAAGTCTAGGCACAGAAAAACAACAACCCCAATATTATTCTACATCTTCACTGAAAAATAATAATGAAAAGCAACTCACGTTATGTAATTTTTATTTTCATCTACCTTGTGTTCTTCGAACATCATTTGTGTATATTCTGCCCTCAGTGAGGACTAAACAAAACAAAACAGAAGAATCTTTGTGCTGAGCAATTAAAGCGACATGTGGCTATATATGCAAAAACATTCAAGTTGATTTTTCCTCTCCAGAGTCATATATATATATATATATATATATATATATATATATATATATCCCGTTCTGCGTCCTACATTTTGTGTGTGCATAGTGATGTCTCTAGCTGATTCACTGTTCCTATTTTTGGTAACTGCTGTAAGAGTTTGTTTTAATTTGAGTTGCCCAGAGTTCTATTTATCTACGTACATATATATTTCTATATGTACAGACTCTTCCTGCACTGCTTTGGACGTGCCGCTTCAGTATTGGACCATGTGAAACGACGGCAATCCTCCTGCTTTTAATGTATAAACTTATACCATGGAGAGCATTGTTATTTCAAATAAAAATGCGGATTGACTAGTGAATGAGTGTGTGTACTTTCCCCCACATATCACTGATTTGCTGTTTCTCTTGTTGTGCCAGCACAATCAAATTCTGTAGGTCAGGGCAGGGGGGTTTGGAGAGGGGGCTTGGGAGAACTCTAGTAAAAATCTGGGGGATTTGCATGAGATCAACACCTTTTTCCGACTTCCAATTGTCTAGCTATAGCAACAACTAACAACCCACTCACCCCAGTTTCCTTACCCTCCCAGAATCTTTATTTTATTCGTTTGTTCAAAATACTTATACACCACCCTTTGCCAAAATTGGCTCCAATGTAGTTTTTGTCATTAAAAATGCCACGGCAATAAGAACACAGAATAAAACAACCGCTACATAAAACAGAACCATTGGCAAATGCCTAACATGTAACAGCCTGGTGGCTTTGCCTGGTGCCTGAAAAAACCCAAAACAAAACAGGGAGGGCTTTCTATAAATGGGGTGCCACCACCAAAAAAGCCCTGTCTCTGATTGTCGCCTGCTTCACCTTTGACAAGGAAGTAACAGAGGAAAAGGTCTTTGGCTAACCCAAGATGCAGGCATCAAGATGCTATGGGAGGTAAGGGAGCTCAGTCCCAAGCTGTTAAGTCTTCACAAGTCAATATCAGCAGCTTCATCCAATTCTGTTTTATTAAGTTTCAATATTTTTAGCATATACAGTCAAAACACAATTTCATATTTTCTCTTATTTTTGTCGACTTCCCTTTTTTCCATGGAGTTGTTGTTTCTCCCGTTCTGATGCTAACTATCTTCTATCTCTCAAATCATAACCATAATGTGGTAGTACCTCTAGTTATGAACTTAATTTGTTCCGGAGGTCCGTTCTTAACCTGAAACTATTCTTAACTAGAGCTGTGCTTTCGCTAATGGGGCCTCTTGCTGCTTCTGCACCGCCAGCACACAATTTCCGTTCTCATCCTGGGGCAAAGTTCTCAGCTTGAGGTAACACTTCCAGGTTAGCGGAGTTTGTAACCTGAAACATTTGTAACCTGAGGCATTTGTAACCTGAAGCGTTTGTAACCTGAAGTGTTTGTAACCTGAGGCGTTTGTAACTCGAGGTACCACTGTGATATAGTCTAATTACTTCTGTTGCTCATAGCTCAAATCCTGCTTGCATGTTCATCATACTACGATATTTCTTTAAATAGTCTGAAAAGGGCATCCTTTCTTCCATAAAACATTCATCATTAGATTCTCTTAATTTTGCCAGTTCTGCAGATTCCATTATCTTACTTATCCATTCTTCTGTGGTTGGAGCTGCTTCTTCCTTCTGTTTCTGTGCATATAGAATCCTAGCTGCTGCTGCTACATACATAAAAAACGTTGACATTTTGGAGGGAGGGATTTCTACCCCTGTAATCCCTAACAGAAATGCTTAGGGCATGCACACACACACACACACACACACACAGAGAGAGAGAGAGAGAGAGAGAGAGAGAGAGAGAGAATCATACCTTAGTTTTTGAACAGCTTAGTTCTCAAACATTTTGGCTCCCGAATGCCGCAAACCCGGAAGAGACTGCTCCAGTTTGCGAACTATTGGGCTGATTGTATGCATCTCTTGCACCTCATCATTAAAATCTGTCTCATTAGGGCAATGTTCATGTGGGGAAGAGATGCAGTGTACTTTTCACATATATACTGTAGTGATGTGAAGTGGAAGCGTGGAGAAATGGCTCTCGTGCAATTGTGTAAGTGTGTGAAGGGCACTAATTATGTGCTTAAAACGAGGCTGCATTTAATCCTGTGGTTGCAGGAATGACCAAGGAAGTATCTTGCAATTACTTCCTTTGCAATTAGTTCGTTAGTTTGTGTGCTTTGAATACATTCCACATAATGATGATTAAAACAAGACAGAAATGTTTACATGAAATTTCACAACTGAACTGAGTTCCAGGCGTGCGCGCGAGCGCACACACACACACACCAAAATGTGCCCCAGTTTTAAGTTATAATAGAAATTTATTATTTATATGCCTCCCATCTGACTGGGTTACCCAAACCCCTCTGGGCGGCTTCTAACAAATTAGGTTGGCTAGCAAGTATCAAATCCCAGGCACTTTTAAACTGCTGTGCCTGTGGGACTACAGCACTGTTAGCTAAGCAAGCCATATTTTCTGAAGGGAGGCGATGTGCTGTCATCGACAGGTTATGCTGCCTTCAATCATTTTCGACTCCTCTAAGTTTTTATGCAGCCTTCCAGAACATTTTTAAAATGCAAAACTCTTGCTTAACTGCTATACCAGTCAGAAGTAGTTTGATTTATGAATGTTTTCAATCAAGATAAACGAAGTGGGGATGGGGAATGTTAATACTGAAATGTCGACTGGAGACAGATTGCAAACAATTTAATGCTGTTTTCTAACCAAGAGGTACATCTACCCAAAGTGACTTGGCAATCTAAGTGATGCTATTTGGGGCTGACTTTGCATTCTGTATGGAGAATCTTGGAGCAAGTTATGAAAGTGTTTAGAAAAGGGTTTGTGTAGCACCTTGGTAGAGCACACACTTCGTGCGAATAAGGTACCGCAAAGAATCTCAGGTAGCTGGAATGGGAAAAGAGCGAATTGCTGTCAGCTGCAGACAATCCTGGGAAACATAACGAATGGTTTGATACAATTGAAGAAAGCTTCATACAGGTTCCCTCACTGCGAGAAGCGACGTTACAGGGAATCAGGCAGAGGGCCTTCTCGGTGGTGGCACCCTCCCTGTGGAACACCCTCCCATCCGATGGCAAGGAAATAAACAACTATCAGACTTTTAGAAGACATCTGAAGGCAGCCCTGTTTAGGGAAACTTTTAATATTTGATGAATTATTGTATTTTAATATTTTGCTGGAAGCTGCCCAGAGTGGCTGGGGAAACCCAGCCAGATGGGCAGGGTATAAATATTATTATTATTATTCATTCCTATGTTACCCTTTAAAATCCTCTTAAGCCTGATGTGGTCTGCTGATTAATGCAGAGCCTTCCAAGTGTGTTTTGTTGCATTTCTTATTTTTAAAGTTCTCTGCGTAATTTATATTGGGATAAAACAAAACAAAAAATCTTACATTTTTAAAGGGGGAGGAATAGCTGCTCTTGGCTGTATTACTTTTTTCTCCGGCAGTCCACAGGATGGGGCCCCTTGTCATTTGAGCACTGACTTTGTTTTCCTTCTGACTCCACCACACCTGAGTCTCCTCTGATGGCAGCAGGCAGTATTTCAAGAGGTATGTCACATCTGGGGTAACTGTGGCATCGTTGACAAAAAGGTCCAACTAAATACATTTTGAATTGGTGCAAATCAAGATCGCCTTGGTATTTTACACTGCATAATTTTCGTTGCAAATCTGTTGGGGGAGGGGAGATTTTTTGTGTATGATTATTCCTTTTCCACTTCTCCTGCAAGGAGGGAATTTCTCCATAAACTCAATACTTAAATTAAATATTCAGACAGAATGGCTAGGGCCATAGGTTTCTGTAGCTCCTTCTGGCAGTTCCCTCACTGCAAGAAGCCAAGTTACAGGGAGCCAGGCAGAGGGCCTTCTTAGTAGTGGCACCTGCCCTGTGGAACGCCCTCCTGTCAGATGTCAAAGAGAAAAACAACTACCAGACTTTTAGAAGACATCTGAAGGCAGCCCTGTTCAGGGAAGCTTTTAATGTTTAATAGGTTATGGTATTTTTGTGTTCTGTTGGAAGCCGCCCAGAGTGGCTGGGGAAATTATTATTATTATTATTATTATTATAGCTTCATATACCACTCTGGTAACCTGTAGAGGGAGGCACCAAGGAGGAATGAATGCTGTGGTTTTTTTGCCGAAGTGAATATTGACTATTTCTTCCAACCCCTGGAGAGTCACCTCTGTGTCGGAAAGAAGCTCATCCTTTGCCTCTGCCCAGTATCATATTCCAAGGGCAGCTCAATACATTTTGACACAAAATGGCGGCCGCCTCCCGCCAGGGGAAAAGGAATGTGTGAAGATCTACATCAGCAACAAGGGGAGGGGGGAGATAAAGGTCTCCACTGGGAACAAGGGGGGGAGGAGACCCACAATGACTCCTATTCTCCAAGAGGCTGCTATAGAGGCAGCATTGTGAGATGGGCTGCGAAGAAGGAAGCAGATCCAGCCTCTGAGGAGTGTGGCACAGCTGTCATTGCCACTGCGGCAGCAGCACTGGGCAACGCATTCCTTGGAGGCTGGCTATGCTGCCTCTGTAGATGCTGTGGGAATGGTCAGGGATGCAGGAGAGGATATATTGTTTGATTATAGCCTTTCCAACTTGGGTAAACAAGTTTACAATTTAGCAGAGTAACAATCCCCTTTTTAAACTCACAGCGGATGCTTTTGCTCAGGCTCTCTAAAGCCTCTATTCTGGTATTTCCCCCTTATTCCCTCAGAAAAGAAAAGACACAACACAGTCTTCTATAAAAGTATAAAAAGAGTTTACTCACTCACATTCTGTTCCCAATCGGATCCCAGAAGGCAGACGTATCACCTGGAAACTATCTCATAATGAGACAGTCCCTTTGTCCTTTCTTGGCTGGAAGCCAAGAGAGCATCTGTGGCTAAGCAGATGTTGCTTCTTCTTCAACGAAAGTAGTCATAGAGAGATGGCTGCCCTGCCCTGTGCTTTTGTCATTACCTGCACAGGTGAGGCCACGCCCACCTCTAGTCACATGCAGAGGAAGTCTGTCCCAGCCCAGAAGGAAACAGGAAGTTTACCTGCTGACCAGACAAACATTCCTCATCATGTGTAAACATGTTCACTCTAGGAATGTTGTACTTGACTGCTCTTGTGTTTCACATCCCACAGATGCTACCACCTGAGGCGGTCCTCTCACTTCGCCTCATGGGTGGACCAGTCCCATGTTATCCATTTGGAAGTTGCAAGAGATGTTTAGGAAGAAAAACCAAAGGAGGCAGCCCCTGCTTGTCTTTAAATAACAGAACCTCTGCAGCTTTGTTACGGTGGCAATGAATGGATCGTAGGATTTGGGGAA